CTAAAAAGACTGAAATATGAAAAAACGTTGTTATTTTTATGAAATACACGACATTTTTTTCTCCAAAAATTGCCTTGAAATAAAAGCATTGCCAAAATTTTCTCTTTCCAAAAACTTAAGTCTGCTTCTGACGCCCACCAAAATAAACTATTAGAAATTATACATAATAGATATAATATCTATACAAAAAAGATAATTCATATTACAAATATCATTCATTATTTTGACTGTAATTATAAAAAAAATGTACATGTACCATACATACTTGAATCAGTCGAAATTGTACATACTTTATGATTAATTCATCAAAGTAAGATCGCGAAACTTGCCTTTTGGATTAACGGTAACTGGCAAGGGGACCCGAATGTAAATTTGAATGGGAATGATAATGAGACGTAATGAGACATGAATCCAAAAACTGATTCCGGCGTGATTCGATAGAAAATAGAGCAGGTAACCTGCTAGAAATTATTCCAGTCGTGCTCCAAATTAATAGGACGGTGAACCAAAGTCGCCTCCGATGAACAGCAGGAAAACTTATTTTCCATAATTTTGCTGTACTTCCGGCGAAAGTATCCAAGTCTATCACTGTACCAATCCGTTTTCATTAGGGAGGACAAATCCAGCATCCCAAATCCTGAGGGCGAACCATCCCCCACAATGCCTGACATAGAGATAACCAACGAGGGAGTGCTTACACTACTTAGGAAGCTCAACCCAAAGAAGGCAGCATGCCCAGACATGATCTCTTCGCGCATCCTGAAGGTGATGGCTGAACAGTGTTCGTCATACCTGGTCGTCATCTACAAAAAGTGCATCTTTTCTGGTAGCATACCTGAGGTGTGGATAACAGCCAACGTGTCAGCCATATTTAAGAAAAGGGAGCGTTTCAAAGCCAGCAACTATCGACCGGTATCCCTCACCTGCATAGCCTGCAAGATGCTGGAGCACATCATCGTTAGCAACATAATGAATCATCTGGACAGTCACAAGATACTAACCGACAGCCAGCATGGATTTAGAAGAAGGCGGAGCTGCAAAACCCAGCTTCTAACGCTGACACAAGAGCTCACCAAGTCTATGGACCGGCGTAAACAACATGACCTAGCAGTACTGGACTTCAGCAAAGCCTTCGACCGCGTCCCACACAGTCGCTTGCTAGTCAAGCTCCATCATTATGGCATCAGAAACCATACCCTAAAGTAGATTGAGGCATTTCTCACAGGCCGCACTCAGCGCGTAGTTGTTGATGGAGCATCGTCCGACCCAGCACCCGTTATCAGCGGAGTCCCGCAGGGAAGCGTGCTCGGACCCATACTCTTCCTGGTCTACATTAATGACCTCATTCGGAACTGCCTCGGCTATTATCTATAATAATAACCTCGGAAACAATACGAATTGAAAGTAGTTCTACCAAGTGGTTTCAGATGTAAACAGAAACAGAGATAATGTAAAACGAATGTATATATTTGACATCTAATGCCTGTTCCGGTACTCTTTTGCTTGAAAATATGTCTGACAACAATTTGTAATTAAATATGCCCACTGATGTTCAATTTTAAACAAATCCGACGAAATGTCAACAGTTTGGTTTTTTGAACTTTCGGTTTCTACAACCATAATAATAAATATATAAATAATGAATTGTTTGCTTTTGTACCTATGATATCACTTATTTAAGGTGAACTTTTACTACATATATAAACTTGTAAACAACTCCCAGCATTAAATTATTATTTGTTTACATGTTTAGTTTCTTAGCGTAGGTTAGACCGAAATACCGCATCCGTTCTGTGTATTCATACTATTTTGTTCGAGGTACTTATCCGAAGACAGACGGAAAGGGTCGAGTAGTTGCGGTTGCAATGACCTGCCACTTCATGGCACGTCCAAGGCCAGATTATTTGCTGACGACTGTTAGGTATACCGGGAAATCGCAAGCTCGAGATGGTCAAGAGGAGAGCTGCAAAATATGTGACGAACCGTTACCACAACACCAGCAGTGTATCCTCTATGATCCAACACTTGGAGTGGGAGACATTAGAGTCACGACGGAACAAAGCCCAGCTGATCATGATGTTCAAGATCACCAATGACCTTGTGGACATACCAGTCAGCGATTATCTCACCCCTGCCCCGAGCCGCACTAGAAGTGACCACTCCAAGACGTTCCATCTACCATCCACATCTACATCGTACTACAAGAACTCCTTCTTCCCTCGTACAGCCACAACGTGGAACAGCCTACCTGCCTCCGTTGCAGAGGCCCCTGACTTGGTATCCTTCAAGTAGGGGCTATCAGCCCTCACATTCTAATCCACCTTAGGGGCCCAGCTAAAAGTACCCACTAGTGATATCAAAGGCTGTGCCGGCCGCGGCCACCGTAACCGGAGAGGTTTGGGTTGAAGAGGCGAAATGTAGCTGGCCAGACTTTTTGTCTATATCTCTTCCTTTTGACCTATCCAACTCTTCTAACTTTCTATCATTTCTTGTATATTGCTTTTTCTTGACCTAGCGTTATAATCAAGTGTGATTGCGCCGACGTACGATGTATATGTAGATGTATTAATTTTCCCATAGACTTACATTATAGCAAATGACCATTAAACTACCATTAAAATTTAGTATTTGTGCTAAAGATGTGAATTCTCTAAAAGAATGACATGCCTGACACATTAAACTGATCTTGTTATATAGGGTTGTTTGACAATTATTTTTCGCAAAATGTCCCTCAAAATGATTACCCCCTTCCAATTTACTGCCGATAACAGAACTGACATATATTTTTAAATGCAAATATCCGAATGAGAAATTATCCAAGACACTATTACACGGATCATTTTCTTTCAAAAATAATGCAGTGGAAGTTTCTAAAATAATTTTCACACTGGTAAACATTACATTTTTCATCCAATCTGCACTTTTTACAGCCAATCGATGGCCATGTTACAACACAATAATCTGACCTTTAGAAGTTACCGTAATTCGCTCCACTCTTCGGGCATACGATATCTTTCGACAATGATTTCTGCATGTTTTTTTTCAATTTCTATCTGTTTATCAATTAATTTCTATTTCGCTATACTCGCATCGCTGGTATTTGAGTCATATGCCCTACTTGCCTCTATGTCCGTTATATTCTGCAGACATTTGCTCAGTTTTGATTCAAGTGAAAATATTCGATTGTCCATAGATGTCATTTTCTGTGCCAAATCATTAATTTGTTAATTTCAATTGTGGCCAATTTCCCGAGTTTATTTTCTAGAGTCTCAAATTTTCAGTCTGTCTTGTTTTCTAACTTTTCAAAAAGCAATGCAAAATCCAAAGAGGTTGCCAAGGGGGACTGCCAATGAATTTTATACAATGTATAACAATTTGTAAAATAACAATATATATTAATGTTAGAAATCCGGGATGTCATAATTTTAAACTGTTATGATAAACTATCGAGATATGGAGTCACAAAGCAGTGTCGGTAATGATGTTTACTGTCTTGATTTGTTAGCTTTAAAATATATCCAGAGACTTATGAAAATACCATCCATATTCTAAATATTGTAAAAGTGTACAATTAAATAAACCATTTTTTCAAACATAAACAAGTTAATACTTTTAGTGGATGATTAGAACATCAAAATACTTTCAAATTGATGAGCAAGATACATTTTCCGTTGTTAATGGCATTGCAACCGTTTTATCTACAGTTGCAACACAAGTATGACAATATTATTATAAGAATAATTATATAATTTGTACAAAAGTAAGTGTAAGTCTCCTAATATAGTAGCAGAACATGAGAACAGGTTTTACACCATCCAAATTTAAAAGAAAAACAGCATCAGCTAGCAAATTATGCAAAATACTAGTATACGATTCAATCTTGATAGTAGGTTTCAAATATTTAACCCATTTATCTGAAAACCTGGTGTGACAACCTCCCATCGGTTTTTAAACAAGAAAAACATTGGTCTGCACATTAATTTTATTTTCTTAGATTTAAGGGAAACTCCCTTTTGAAACAAAGACGCAAAATGCCATATTCATTTTCTATATCAGGACACTGAAATACGATGCATAGCAATGTTGCATTGTTATACCGTTATATTAATTAAATTTAATACAATATACAATATTTTACGCTGTTATTTTTCTGAAACAAACTTGAAAATCATCGTGCACATTACTTTTTCTCTTCATGTTTTACGCAAGAGTAAACATCAAATTAGACAGAGAATTTATATATATACAAATACTTGTCAGAGTTATAGACATTCTTCAGATCCCCTCCTTCAGCACGGACAAAGACAGCATGTGGCTCATGTTATATTGTGTCCAGGTTTCTAATCGAAGAATGAGCCTGAAAATAATTACTTTCCTGGTAAGAGCGGACACAAAACTACCAATGGTCGGTTAAAAATCTTTTGTTTTTTCAACGGCATTTATTATATTTGTTCTTTAGGTTCTGAAATTCAAAAAACTTTTGAAAAACCATTAATTAAATGAGTTTATCCCAGTTTCGTTAACCTGAAATATTTGCCATCGACGAGTGTTTTAAAATGTTCCGATACTAGTATATTATTAATTCAGCAAATATAGAAAGGAAGAAATCGTGTTTGAGCCACGCCTTGCATTAACCATTTACAATTAAACAAAAATTAAATGTCTTATTTTATAAAAAGGACAGCTAAGTAACAAGATGAAACGCATGCCATGTTTGATTGCAAAATGCCATCTAAAATAAATATTAATGATGTCGTTGATTTGAAACATATTTCATTTTCGTATTCTCTAATCATGGCTTTCAAGCATATTTCAAACCAGACATGAATTTTTGTAATTAAAATGATTTATTGTTATAATATTATTATAAACAAACGTAATTCAAAACCATTTTGAAATAAAGCTCAACATTAATGTTTAATGGTACATTTTGACCTGTTGACAATTTGTTACTAATGCAAGCAAAATTAATGCATTGCGCCATCTAGCCACGGTTTACTGTTGGTATTATATGAAGGAGGTTCCAAAGTGCAAGTTTAAGTTACTTAAGCTGCAAACATCTTAAGATGATTCTTTTGCTCATTATTCCGACTATCTCAGCTATTTCTGTTATAGATGAAGCCGGCACGAAAGGTAATTTATTTTGTCATTATTTAAACTAAAATCTAAATCAGTAATGGCGACATAAGAAATGTGTTTGTAAATCATATACAATATCCTTTAAATAAATCTGAGACAAATCATAGGTTCAATTTAAGCTGCATGTCTCCAGAAGAGAATAAATATTGAAACAAAAAATGACGTGGGGTTATAGTCAACATCACTATTTTTGCGTAATCACTTATTTCATGGTAATGGTATATTTCCATGTCACCAGAGTTGAAATTGACTTATTTTAATCATATACTAGTACCTAAACACTGAAGCTTTAGTGTAAAATATTTAAATCTGTATATTCTTAAGTAAAACAGAACTTGTACTTACATTTGCAAGAAAGTGACGATAGTAAGCTGAAATGTATGTGTACGCCTGGAAAAATCATCATTTACCAAATATTCTTGTTTGTTTAAAGAAAAATAACATATGTTTGTATTATGAAGGTAAAGATTGTTTGAATATTTGAAAAATGGCAATAAAACAATAAGTAATCTAAACCGAAACAAAGCTGGCCGATGGTCTATGTCTAGTCCATTAAATCTGTTTTTGATTAAATATTTTGTTGTTGCCATGTGTAATATAGCAAAAATACTTAAACGTTAAAATTGACCGTAAGTTCATTGTTTGTTTCTTGTGTTGTTAAGTAACGAGAACTGAGAGGAACACAGTATACTCGTACCAATACCCTTGACAAAGTGTTTAAAATGACAACAGTCTTGTAGAACTGCCGTAAATCAATTAGATATTTAAGGGATTTTTTCTCAATATTTAAGCAGTAAGTCCGATAAAGTAAAAAGGGAAAATATAATATTTGATGCATGTATTCGTTTTCAACACAAATACATGTATTGGCGTCCCGTTAAATATGTATAATGTCAACCAATGTCAAGAGATAAACTAAATGGTTGAATATTCATAGATTAGAATGTTTCTGTTAAAACTGATATGGATATGAATTGTATGATTTATAATCCAGTTTTAAGAATTTAATGATGCATGTAATCATTCTTTGTAGGATGTGTTTATTCACCCAAATATAATGGTACGCTGAATGTTACACGAGATGGATTTCCTTGTCAACGCTGGGACAGTCAGTCACCGCATGAACATAATAGAAATAAAGATGACAACTTTCCAAACGATGGTTCCGTGTCCGATGCCAACAATTATTGCCGGGATGCAGACGGTACCTGTGAGTAGCAGACACACTTATACATTTAATGTTGCCATGATCACAGCATCTTATTTGCCCAAAACCTTATCAGACATTCATTTGTTAACTGGTGTCATCCTGCCGACTAAAATAACACCTAGTCATTTGCTTTTAAACGAAGATTGCCGTTCTTTTAATACGTTTTGTACTGTTAGATTCGAGAATTCCATAGTACATTAGATATATGGGCAACGACCATACATTGGTAATCAAAGATAAAAAAACCTTTTCTCGACAATGTGAAATGTATGTCATATGCACTTCATATGTAAACTTCGTACTGAGAGTAAATATTGCGATGAAAGAGAATGGTTTGTGTTAGTGACCGAAGAGAGATTGGTCCAAATAAAATGATTTATCACACACCCGTGCCGATTTTGCGACTCCGTAAAAACGGTATTGCACGGCCGTGCATATATTTTGACGTGACGTCATTAGCATTATACAAACATAGTGTAAAGACACGCTAAATGTTATACTATAGGCGCGTCAATGAAAAATGACTCTTTTTTCACTTTCAACCGTCTTTATTTTGGGTATGTGATAATAATATTAAATTCGTGTAAGTTTAATACTGAATTCAGTATTGAACTTACACTCGTTCAATATCCTCTATTTATAGTTTTGTTGACTGACTGTAAAAGAATTTGCTTTTAACCGACTTCGTCCTTGGTATCTATCTTTAATGTTTATCTGAATCTAGATACCATTATATTTTCTTTCTTTAAATTAAGGAAACGTTCATTTTTAATACTATGAGTACATGATTTAGATAAATTTCAAATAACAATTGTTGCAATTTTAGATGAGCTTTGGTGCTACACAACAAATCCTGAAGTAAGGTTTCAGAAGTGTGATGTAAATGTTTGCCAGGTATGATATTGTCTTATTCACACTTTATAAAGTTTTAGCGGTTGCACCACGTGATGTCCTAGCTAATAGAAATTATCGTTGGATTCAATATTTTCAATTTTGTCTCGTTTTCTTTTCCCGTGTCCAAACAAGTCAATATATAATCCATACTCCGTGTACTCCGCCTCACCTCGTTTTCATTTCCAAGTCCAAAAAAAGTCATAAAAAATCATATTGCAACCCATCTAGTCTCATTTTTATTTTCCGAGTTCATCTCGTCAAATATAAGTTTGTCTAAATGAGTTTAGTATTGTACAATGTATAATAACCTCAAAATAATATATATGCCGACTTTTAACCAAATAATTAAACGTTTACCTGAAGAATAACGATTTTTAAACTACAAAAATGTACTTTTTACAGTTAATCTACTGCGCTATGTGAAACATGGTCTGTTGAAATCACCAAGTCCTTGAAATGCCCAAACGACAATATCCCCACGTTATTTTTGGCCGCGAGGCTGAGTTCTGTCTCAAATCTCAGTATTTCCACTTGTCAGTGAACATTCTGATTCAGCTTTTTTATCAATCAAATAAGTGAGATGTGAGTTTGAGCCAAATTAAACAGCATATCTTCCGTACTCATTAGTAAAGGGGCACATATTTTGGTGATCGCGACTAATTAGAATGTAATTTATGTAATATCGACGTTATCTTGAGGGAACAGTATTTTTTATACGATTGAGTAATTAGTAAATAAATTATGAGTACTCGGCATATTTGAAATACATTCGAAAAGAAAAACATGCGCACTTTATTTGTAAGCAATCGCTTGTAGAAACGATCGAGGAGTCTTAAATTATATACATATAAGGTTATCCCGCTCAATAATACAACCATATTGCCAGAAAAATCAAGATTATTGCTGAAATTTCACGTCTTTGGGGCAAAACGATAATATATAAGTTTTCTTAATCCTTCAAAATATGAATATTTTTAACATTTTATGTATTTTATTGTTATGAATATTCTCAGAAATTATTATCAACTGATCTGAAAATTAACAGGTTAAATCAATATCTGCCATTAGTTGTATCTCAAATTGCAATCAATTTCTTAAAGAATATGGTTGTATTGCAAGATATGACCGGGCTTCTTTCTTAACCCTTCCTTAACCTTCACTTAAACGTACTTTGAAAACTGGAAATGAGATGAAACAAAATCAAATCAAAGTCTGCAATATTTCTATTTTTGCAGTATATCTAACAAAAACTATGATTTTCCCCAAAGGACTGGGTCAGAATAATGAAACTTTCCATACTTTTCGTACGTATCTGTTGAGGTCAAATACTTCGAATTGTACAGCTTTTATACAGAGAGATAACATCGAGCAGATATTTTGGATATTTTGAAATGTCAAAATTGTCTTTAAGCTTGTCTTTATAACAATGGGTCGTTTCATGCTTTAAAGCTAGTTTATATAACAATCAAGTATGAAATTATTTTCTTGCACTAGCTGTCATATGAAACAGACTTACAGGACTTTATGACTATTTAACACTCAAAAGGGAATCTTCGGCATACAGCGTAATGATTTATTTATTTATTTATTTATTTATTCGTTAAAGAATGTTGTGTAAATTAAAAATGTAAACAAGCAGCAGTCACAGACTGCCAAAATCCCCAGCAGAACAGGGGAAGAGTTATATAAGGAGGAAATGTCCTTTTGCATACACTGACATTTTGATTCACATCAAGGGGGATAACGTCATAAAGTACAAAGTTATGAGAGTTATTTATCCCTTAAATTTCAAGCTGACAGTTTTCTAACCATTTTGAGTTTTATCCTGGAAAAGATAGCAAAATAACAAAGGGAAATCACTCCAAATTTATGACATGCAGAGTTGTCATTCTTGCCATCTGTATTTCTTCTTACTGTGATCTATCATTCAATGAAGTTTCGAATTAAGTTAACATGTCGCAAGTTTTACGAGTTATGGTCTGCACATAAATTATGCAAGAAAAGAAACTTAGTTTAAAACTAATGCTAAAAGGTGTATGATTATTTTCCCTTCAATCCTCCTCAATGAGATCTACCCACCTATAAATGCTAAAAACTGCCCGAGTTGTGTTCTTAACAAAATAAGGCATGAAAGATAACAAAGTGCAATGACTATAAAAACTATCACTGCATCCATCATTAAATTTTGATATATACAATTCTTTTTGAGTGACACTCCGGACAAACATGTGGAATATTCTTGTCTACATGTGGTTTTTTGCGAGTATTTCAAAAACTTGGGTAATGAAATAAATATCACACGAATGATATTAAAGCAAGATACAAAGATGGAAACTTACAGAAATCAAATTATAAGGGCATAAATGACATAAAGTACAATACCTTGAGTGCATTAATTATTTTTCAAAGTGAAAATCGTTATATCCGTAGATTTAGATACAAATCCTGATACTATTAAATAAAATATATTGTAAATAACCAAACAGTTATATATACCAACTCATCATGATATTTTTAGCCTCCAAGAGTCAGACAAAGCGATTGTGGTGACAGACTACCATCAAACAAGACTTCTAGACATTGCCCAATAGATACAGTATACTACATGTGTTTCCTTGGTCCAATGTCATTCCCAAGGAGTATAGAATACCACGTCGACTGTGACTTGTATTATTGTTGTAATCCGAACATGAATGATACGACTTCAAAAGATCCACTAGTTACATCGAAAGTTGATTACATAGATTCAAATAAATCAGAATCTTCACCAAGGATATATCACATCACAACTGAACTAAGTAGCACTAGTGAAGTGATTACATACACTACTACAATGTCAAGATCGTCGAAAACGTTCGTCTCAACTTCTGACACAGTGAATGGATCAGATACAAATTACTTCAAATTCAAGTTGAATGACTTGGTATTCTGTTTGTTTATATTCGTTTACAAACGTATGCTCTAAGTAAACAATTATTATCTTGGAACAATACATTTAAAGTATTCCAAATTTGTGTGATGTAAAGTAAATACTGTACTGCGTATTACTGTTAGAGCTACTTAATGGATGATTTTAATTTGTTTGAATAATTTATAAAGAATGCAAATGTTCATAAAATGCAGTGTTTCAACAGCAACAACACCAAAAGAGAGAACTTACCGATATTTATGTTTATTTGAAGCCAGTTGTAAGGTCACCATATCTTCAAGATTGACCTCATTTCATTTTGTAAGCTAATACGCAATATAGTATATAATTTTCACTTCCAAATGTAAACAATGTATATATTTTAGCTAGGGCTAGTAAATTTATTATTTTCGATCATCCGAGGGTATTTCTTCATTTTAAAGTGTATAAAGCTATATCAAACTATGTAGGGCCTACATAGTTACATGCCAACGTTATTATAAAACGAATACTTCCAAAATGCTTGTATAAAAGAAAAATAAAAGGATATTGCCTTAAAGCGAATGGTCTATTCATTATTATTTAAATCGCTTTTAAATACATCTGTATGCTATTTATTTATTGATGAAGTATGTATACTTTTCATTACTGTAGTGTGTATGTATTGTAAATAAATCTTATGACTTAAGTCCAAAAAGATCAATGTTCTGTTCTGCTCTGTTTTGTCCTTCTGTGTGATTTTAACATAATTATGGAACAAGAACAACAGAGTATAGTAATTTGACCAATTCACAGCTCTTTGCATAATGAACTTGTTATGCTCGAAGTGGAGACTGCCCATTGTAAGAATGATATTGAAATAGTTGGTGTAAGCTGCAAATAGTATATAACTTGGTTTAACGTCAATAGCGACGGGCACGTATTGACATGGTACTGGTAACGAAAAAGAGACAAACAAAGCATTGTTTCTGATATTTAAATGATACAGCTTTATTTCAATATTGCTCTGGATTAGAAAGTCTAAACACGATGGCCCTAACGGTATTCCGTAATATTGTCACGTTATACGAGTTGTCTATGTTTATCACTTTACCTGTAAAGTTGATACCCTTGATACAGACAAAAGCACCGTCTGTGTATCGTCTATTACCTTATTGAAATATAAATCCTTGCGAGTATCTATTTTGCTTATTAAGATCACAGAGAAATGAAAACAGAATTTGTCAGATATAAACTGATATATGTAAAGTTTTACAATGTTGTGATATCTATATTCTTAATTATGCTGTCTCGTTTTCAAAATGTTTTACATTAATTTATTAAAATTCAATAAAATAATGTTTGATTGTTTTTGATTAGATTTATCAAACTTTTTGTTATGTTGTAGTAATATGGATTTGTAAATGATATTCTTTGTAAAACAATACATATATATATAGATCTACCTGTCTACAAACGTGTTATATCTGCTAAGAAATTCAGTATTTAATTAAATGTAAACTTACACTATCTTTCATGACGATGCAATTTTGATGAAACACTGCTATATTCTATCATCTATGTTCATACTTTGTATGATGATGTACTTTGTACAAGTCTGAATTAAAGTTTCTGTTCTGTTCTGTTAAATTGATTTATTACATATAAAGCACCTACAAACGTGAATATTTAAATAATTTTACGAATATTTCAGTTTATCCGTGAATACAAATATTTTCAAAATTTTTTTAAATTTCGGTAAATTGCTACATAAATAGTTATTTCTCTAATGATTTTTTTCTAATGGTTGTAACGATGTTAGTAGATAATTCGCTATTACAGGCTATATAAACTGTACATTTATCAAATATGAATTGCGCTAGAAACGATTTACCTAATTTTACTAGCAATTTGTTTGTATTTCTCAAAGTATAGTTCAAGCTGTATCTCACTTTTATAGTAAAATGGAGTAAAAACAGAATCTCTAAAGAAACCCCAATTAACACGGCAACATTGAAAATGCTGCAGGCTCGGTTTGATAGAGCATGTTCATAGACGGTACTGTCAAGTGCCAAGTTACCGTCCACGCCCTCTAGCACCGGCTTAAGCAGAATTCAACATTTAAACACAAAAATGGTGAACTTTTAACTTTAGAAACATCCGTAGATGTGTTCATACGGCGGTTATCATGGAACCTTCAATGTGACACAGTAGTGCCATTCCATGAAAAGCGGCGTATGTTCCCAAGTAAAAGAATGCGTGTGCCTTAAACGAGAAAACTATGGGCGGAACTAAAGAAAATGGAATTTTGAAAGGGGATCAGAGGTTATGAAGCCTGCATATCACAGATAAGACGTCAAAAGACAAATTTAAAAAGCAGGCAACATATCCTAAGGTTGATATACACTATTCAAGTAGGAATAATGGAACCACCTAAGCTGAAAAGGCGAAATTGAAGAAACTAAAAACACCACACGACATGTATACACAACAATAATGCCGTGTTGAAATCGAGAAATTTACAACGCCGTTGACTTATTATGCCCCACCATCCAAATTAAGAAAATAACTTTCAAGGTTACTCTCAATAAACAATTTCATAAGGCTCACATTTCAATAAATGATACGAATAAAGCATATAAATATAGGAAAAAATGATCCCTTAAAACGTCCAAACGACAAAATTGTCGTATGCTCGGTTAGATTGAGCCTGTTCATTCAATTAAAGCTGGCGTAAGGTTTTAATGGAAGTGGTTTCTGATAATGCTGATTGTATTCGATTTCTTCAAATAAGATTCCGATTGTTCGTATAAACTTTAAAAGGTATACTTTTTATTTATTTTTTTTCGACGAATCGGTATGAATTAGATATCTTACGTGTTGTTACGTTTCATTAACGAATGAGTAATTGTATGTTATTATAGTTGAATATCGGGTTTTTTTTACATACACTGGTTACTATATATGGTAACAAAATTGCCTACGATGGGTCTCACGTGACTGATTATGACCCATCAGTTCCAGCACATTGTGTTTAAGATTGAATATATTCAAGTCGGTGCAAGGAGGTGTGAGAGGCCACAGACACTTGGGGTTATGTGCGTGGCTCCCCTTCTTGATCCGCACTTGTATACACCATGTCTATTTTTATCGTGCAAACCGTGCATCAAAATATGTTTGCATATTATTACGACCTGGTCGCATGCCTTGAATATAAAACTTGTTTCCCGCTATTTTAACAACGTTTAAAAAAGTCCCTAAAATATCATAATTTTCATTTTGAAGCGTTGGTAAAAAATTGACTTTTTTAAAACGTTCTGAAATTCTATTCAAACTTGTTCACGTGTTAGACACTTAGCCGTCTCATACTAATATAAGCACAAATTTAAAACTAATTCTTGTAATAAATAATACTTTTAGTTTTTAATATTCAGGGGCGGAGAAGGGCGGGGTCTATACTCCAAGTGTCTGTGTGAGAGGCATGCCTTTATCGCATTAAGTATGCGAATTCTGAAATTTTTACATGTAAATTGACCTGTTATAAAAGACGGTAACCTTTATAAACGTCTTGGCCATTTTTAAAATAAGTGCATTTTAATAATTAATTTTAGAATTTTTAAACCTTGCCCCATCTTCCTCCCATGGCAGAGGTTGTACATAGAGACTACCCTGTCATGGGGGATATGGTATGCGCATAACACATGTACGGATATAACAATAATAAAAGAAACATCAGCTCCCCTATTATTAGGTTATGCTCGCTCATATGGTCTCTTTCCGGTGGCGAGGGTAAACAAACGCAAACACACACACAGAGGTGTGAGAGTTGTTGCGCCTTTCCATATCTCACATGAACAGACTCGATTTAACCAGAGTGTGCAATTTTCGTGTAAATTTGTTGATAATGTGTCCCATCTGATGTATGTTGCATGGGTCTCAGTAGAGTTTCTTTAAGATATATCAAGTCAACCTTGTTCACTAGTTATATGCTCGGATTCATGAATATCACGTCAGCTTTAACGTTTCTTGTATAATTGTGATGAAGGTGGCTTAAATTTCTTTATATAAGATACCAACTGCTTGTAAATAGCTCCGAGATGACTATTTAAGATATTTTGTCTGAGAATAATGTACAAAATAATGTAGATTTTGTTTGGTTTAGTTTCAATAACATTATATTTTTCCGTCTGGGCGGTACATAGCCGGTGTTCTAGCTGTATACTTACAGTCTTAACTTAATGCCGAATACTATATATAAATATACAATTTAATACAGCACTGACTGAATATAATTAAGGTGTTAGAATGCGGACATCAACCATATCCTCATGATAAAGCATTGTCTACCAAGATTAAAACGCGTTAAGTTACACTCCATAGTTGGGTTGCTGTTCAAGTCTTCAAGATGTTAGTTCAATGAAACAAATCACAATAACAAAAGTTTTTTTTTATCAAATAATGTATTTTCTTCTGCACTTTTTCTCATAATCAGAATCAACAGATAGATTGTAACAAATATATTTGTAAAGAGCAAAATATACATAATTAAAAATTTGGACAAATAAACAAAGGCAAAAAGTGGAAAAAAACCTTGTGGATGAATATTGTCATTGAACATGCTCATTATAACATTAATAAAGTAAGTGTAATGAAAGTAGTTTGCTACATCTATATCAAGTAAGCTGCCTCTAGTTGAAATTAACAGATATTTGTACACAGAAACATAATTACAGTATTTAGACATATAAACAGTGTATTTAGTAAAATGGACATGATAAATGGTAAAAAAACCTAAAACTGTTCTAGGGTTTAAGCTCCATATAAATTTGATTGTTTCATTTAATTTTTGACTATAAATATGCTGTTAACTAAGGAATTTTCTTGAAAATAGCACTGTCTTGAAGGTTTCATCTACAAAATTTACAAACACATTTATATGTTAACAAAATACAAGACATTGCGTGAGAAGAATTGCATCTTCTAATCTTTATGCTATTTTGAACAAACACTATAATATACACAATTCATTTTATATACATACAAAATAAATTGTTTTCACAGTTTTTAGATGTTTTTTTTCCTCCTTCATGGGTATATGAAAAAAATTATATTTCAACTTATTAACATATGAGCCCCGTCACGACGAAACATACGTAATGAGTTTGCAACCAGCATGGATCCAGACCAGCCTGCGCATCAGCGCAGTCTGATCAGGATCCATGCTGTTTGCTATCAGTTTCTCTAATTGTAATAGGGTTTGTAAGCGAACAGCATGGATCCTGATCAGAATCTGGTCTGGATCCATGCTGGTCGCAAACCCATAATGTTGGTTTTGTCATGTCGCGGCTCATATATATTTTTCTTCTGTAAATGAAAATTGTGTGTTAGTGACTGACCTTTATTGTTGCACCTAAAACAAGATTTGTCGTAAAGACAGCAAGCATAACTTTTTTCAGTGCTTGATAGTAAAATGAGAGGCTGGATAATGTAGAATTTAACAAGAGCTGTCCGTAAGACAGCGCGCTCGACTTTATTATTGCTTGCCAATAAAAAAAGTTTTTGCAGTAAAAGGCAATACAAGAATCTCTGTATTTTTAAAGTGAACAATGGCCATGAGCATTAAGATATTTAGTGAAGAATTATTTTATTATGACATAATTTATGGTAAAGTGAACAAGTGGATAGGAATGAATTTTTTTAGATTTTTTAAGTTTTTTAGTGCTTGCCTATAATACAAAACATTGACAGTTAAGGGCCATAATTCAAATAAAATCTTTGACAGAATTACCTTCTCCTGGACATGTTTGGGAATCATGATTGTAAACAAGTATTCCAACTTTCAAATTAATATCTCAAACAGTTCAGTCAAAAAGTGGACTGGTACTAAAAACTTAACCAAGATTCTAAGTCGATAAAAGGCCTTAATTTTTAAAACAAATCCTTGACAGAGTTACCTTCTCTTGCGTACAGATGGGGGTAATGATGTGAAATAGCATTAAAAGTTTCAAAGCAATATCTCAAAGGGTTAAGGCAATAAGTGGATTTTACCCATATTCAATGTATTTTCTAAGTCAAAAAGGGGCATAATTCTGTCAAAAACCTTGACAGAGTTATGTCCTCTTGTCTGTTGATGAAGGTCGTGATGGTAAACAAGTATGGTCAGTTTCAAAGCAATACCTCCAATGGTTTTGAAATAAAGTGAGGTGGTACAAAAAACTTAACCAAGCTCAATACACTTTCTAAGTCAAAAAAGGGCCATAATTCTGTCAAAAACCTTGACAGAGTTATGTACTCTTGTCTGTAGATGGAGGTTATGATGGTGAACAAGTATGGTAAGTTTCAAAGCCATACTTGTAATACTTCTGAAATAAAGTGGGGTGGTACGAAAAACTTAACCAAGGTGTGACGCCAACGCCGACGCCGGGGCGAGTAGGATAGCTCCCCTTTTCATAGAAAAGTCGAGCTAAAAAAGGACCAAAATTCTGTCAAAATCTATATTAGAGTTATGGGCCTTAGACATAGACCTCCTATTATGCTCTTAAATTAGTGTTCCAAGCTTCAAGCCATTCCTTTCTGTAGTTTTGAATATCCCAACCTGCATGCAAAAGCTTAACAAAAGTAAGACACCAACCTCTTACATCTATTTTATAATGACTTTATAATATATTATATTATATAAAGTTATACGAAATTCTAAACCCTGTCTTAATGGTCTATTTTTTACTTTTACATGAAATTACATATTATGTCAAAGCAGTAACTATAGAATTTCAAGTGATTCCACAAAACATGTATGTAAAAGTATAAAATAATATCAATATTTCAACCAATAGCACTATGTCATACAATAATAATTTCACAATAATGGACAGAATTATTTATAAAATATATCTGGTGTCATAACATATCTAATAATCAATGTACTATAAATCAGCTAATTAACAAATTAATGATTCCAACATTACTCATTCAGCATCTCCTTGCATTGCAAATTATATCTGTAGCAGTTTTTACAACATAATTAAGCCTATATACATTCCAAGTTATTAACAAAAAAATTATTATATTACTTCAAGTCAACATATATCACATATCTATGTGGTTCGTCTTTGCATATCAATATAAAATAAAAATCAACAGTGTATATATATATTTGTCAATTTTATTGACAATTAAAAACTTATTTCTCAACAAAATTATAAGAACTTTTACATGTTATACTCATAATAACAACATTTCACCATACACACAGACTTGCTGATATTTTTTACCAGAGTTTATTTTGGTTGTAAATTTTAATGAAAACTTACTTATATTTCAGTGTCAGAGATTTTTGGACATAAATTTTTATGAAAACTTTGTTCTATCTCAGTATCAAAGGTTTTTTGGTTTTAACTTTAATGAAAATTTTGTTGCACCATATAACCAGCATAATAAAATTTCTGGCAAAACACAAGACAAAGCTTCTTTATGAAATAATACAGACAACTGCAAGTTTAAAACCTTAGTCTTTTTATACTTAGAAAACTGAAAAGATTTATTTCTTGTTGAAAAGATAAAGGAAACACATAAATTCCTCTTAAAGGGATGCTTCTATATTTATCTATAACTGCTTGTATTGCACTGCAAAAAGTACTCGGACTGTTGATTTAAATCAACAACCATATATTATACTGAGTCTATATGCCTCTATTAAGGGTCACAATAAACATGAAGAAAGAATTACTAACAATAATAATATAACATTTTTCTGAACAGCTGAGCAAAAAAAAAGACTTTTAAGTTTTAATAATAGTTTAATAAAAGAAATAAACAATCTTTTCATGAATTATTACTTTGGTGTACGAATAATGAGAAGTAATTTTTTTCATGTCTGATCATAACACTAAAACTAATAACTTGCAAGTTCAAATTCAGACTTCTAACTTCTTATCCACAAAATATTCCAAAAACATATAATTAAAAGCTTGTGTCTAGATTGTTTCTTACTGGTATATTCATTTATCAACAATGTTATCAATTTATTTCAAATTAAAAATGAACTCTTTTAACTGATAAAGTTCCAATATTTTCCCACCACAATGTTACATATGGATGGTCACCACTCGACAATCAGCACCTACATGTATTGCATATACATGTATATTTACCCCCTTTAACAATCACAACCTTCAAAATATTGTAACAATCTCTACACAAAGCATAACACAATGTGCTAGTGAGCCATTAACTAAATAAAACCACACTAATACTTCAAGTATTTGGTCTACGCCAACAATGGCAAGCTGAATTATTAACTATCACAATAAAAAAGCAGTCATTCAAGACACTTTCTCTACAAAACTACCTGGAAACAGTCCGGTTTTACCGGAACGTTGAAGTGTACCTTTAAACCATCCATCATCGCGCTTCTTGTGTACATAAATAACATCGCCTATCTTGAGATCCAGCTCAATTTCACTTTGTGCAGGGTAGGTTTCTACACATCTGTATCTATAATATACAGACAAATAAAATATGAATAACACGATACATTTACACAAACGACTTTCCATTCGGTACAAAATGACATTTAATTTTGACCTATTCTAATATATGCATTAAAAACTGAGAAATTAGTAATAGCAAGACATTTCTGAAGGCAACATGTTCCATTTTTCTTAGTTAAGGATAGTATGATTAAAGCAAAGCATAAAATGGGGCATGCTTCAGTGAAAGTATTTGGCAGATATTTCTCTGTGATGTTTCTAAGGAAAATGAACCTTAACAAAAAGGTTTACCAGCACAAATGAAAAGGAAACAGTTATGACATAAACCAATGGCACAAAAAGGTGTTGAACCATCTTCTTTAAAGTTATTTGCTTATCTCTACAGCTAGCTATACGATAATACAATAAGAAAGTAATCCAATGATCAAACTGTTTCCTTAATTCTGTAAAATGAAAACTTTTCTTTTACAGCAAATTTATCATACAGTAACTTTTACCTGTATAAATATGACTTACTTTTCTCTAGGAAGGGGTTTTGGCCTGGCAGGCCGATGTTGTGATTTAGGTGAAGATGAGTCAAATGATCCGGACTTTTTATGATTGGGCTCCACAGGTACAAGGGGTGAACTCTCAGAGGGGTATGATCCTGATCTACAAGCAAAGAAAGCAAATTGGTACAGTTTCACGTTCCTATAAAAGTTCAAAATAAAAGGAAAAGTTTAAAACAAGTCTGCCCTATGGGACATGCCTTTAAAAAATAAAGAAAACTTAGTAAGTTTGTTTGTCTAGATTTTAAAGGTATTTCTATAGAACTGCATTTTTTTTCCAAAGGCAAAGAAATAAAATTTTTACTTGTGCAGGGATTTTTTCTTTAAGTTTGCATTAAACTCATCCCCCTGAATTTGTTTCATTTACGATTATTTACCATCATGCAACTTGTCAATTCTCAAAAATTGTTTGTTGGTCAACATCATGGAAAGCTTCTGAGTAGAATTATACAATATGGTTCAAAAACTACTTCATCATAAAGCAGAACCATCCATCATGACATGAACTACATGAATAGCCTCCCTTATAATTTTGGTATAACCATCCAGGGTTTAAACCCTGCCAGGGGCGAGCCGCTGTCTCCTTCATCAAGAAACTTTAAATTCATTTCTTGCTACTGGTTGGTTCAAGGAATGGATTCGAGAGTGTTTCAAAAAGCTTATAGCATCCAACACAATCAAACTAAAATAAATTTGTATAAACGAAAGTTGAATGGTCCCACTAAAGTGTCGCTTGTGAAATATAAACTGAAACATAACCAGATTACAGAAGAACTAAACTGGAAATATCTTATAAAGTATAACTAGAATCCATGACATCTTATTTTTGTGAACTAACTAAATAACATCACTAAAGTTCAACAAAAATTACGCAGGATTTACTTAATGTGACAAAATATAACTGTATATACTATATACCTGCTGTGTGAAATACTTGAGTCACTAAGAGAGGCAGCTTCTACATCAGAGGATCTTGGTTTCTTCAGTTTACTTGCTGATGCTATCCTATCCATCAAACCACCCAATTTTTTCTTATCCTTTTTCTTCAATAGAAACAAAATTTCATCATCTGTAACTGCCTTAAAAAATTTGAAAGAATTATACAATATCATAAACTCCTTAATTAAGTGTGCAATCTTCAGAACATATTCTATATATCAAATATGGCACTAAAATTTAATCAAACCTTCTCTTTCTCTTTGACAGCAGGAACTTGACTGGCTGTGGCTCCGACAACAACATTAGGTGGTGTGATATTAGCACTTGCTGACATAGAATGTTTCCACACGGGACTGCTTGAACTTTTGCTGCTTTCAGGTTTAGCACCGTTGCTTGGACTTGATGATTTTGGGGCTCGGACATATCGTGTTGTTTTGGACGTAAGGAGTATTGGACTATTGGGGTTTGGTGCTGCATGACCTAAATAAGAAAACAGTTTTAATTTACATTTTGTATATAGAACAAGAGCTGTCGGTAGGACAGCACGCTCAACTATTCTAAGTGCTTGATAGTAAAAGAGCCTTGATAATGTTAAATTTTTTAAGTTCACAAAAGGGCTAATTTTTTTTTATAAATTCATGTTATAGGCCTAAGAGAGAGTCTAATTATACAGTAATGTCACAAGGGTGTTTTATTGAGTATAATAATACTAATTACCTATGAATAAATAAATTTGACAGAAAAGGTACAAAGGCTTGTTATCAAGTCAATCACTGCTTTATTATTATGAATGCATAAAATTGTCCCAAAAAAGGCACAAACCCTTCAGTAGTTATTGAGATAACAGCTTACAAGCAAAACTTTACCATGAGTTTCTAAGTTGAAAAAGGGGAGAAAAATCAGCCTAAATGCAAGATAGAATTATGGATCTTTGTCAGTGACCTACAATTATGACCCTAAATGCATATGTGAAGTTTTAAATAAATATCTTTAATAGTTATTGAGATATGTAAAACTTGCATGTAAACATTAACCAAGAGACTAAGTAGAAAAGGGGATATGAATCAGCCTTAATGCAAGATAGAGTTATGGAACTTGGTCAGTGACATACAATCATGACCCTCCAATTATGACCCTAAGTGCATGTGTAAAGTTTCAAGTAAATATCTTTGAAGACCTTTTCTGCAAATATTTTAGGCAGAGTTATGCAATTTTGCAAACTGATGTACATTGTTACTATAAAAAAGTATTTTAAATTTCAATTGAATATCTCAAGCAATCATTGAGATATTTATCTTTACAAAAAAACTTAAACCAAAATTTCTAAGTTCCAAAGGGGCATAATTCTGTCAATATTGTAGGCAGAGTTATCCAACTTGTCAATCTGATGTACCTTGTTACTATAAATAAGTATTGTAAGTTTCAATTGAATATCTCAAGCAATAATTGAGATATTTGACTTTACAAAAAACTTTAACCAAAATTTCTAAGTTAAAAAGGGGCATAATTCTGTCAATATTGTAGGCAGAGTTATCCAACTTGTCAATCTGATGTACCTTGTTACTATAAATAAGTATTGTAAGTTTCAATTGAATATCTCAAGCAATCATTGAGATATTTGACTTTACAAAAAACTTTAACCAAAATTTCTAAGTTAAAAAGGGGCATAATTCTGTCAATATTGTAGGCAGAGTTATCCAACTTGTCAATCTGATGTACCTTGTTACTATAAATAAGTATTGTAAGTTTCAATTGAATATCTCAAGTAATAATTGAGATATTTGACTTTACAAAAAACTTTAACCAACGCAGACGCCGACGTGGACGCTGACGTCGACGCCGGGGCGACTACAATAGCTCTCATATTCTTCGAATAGTCGAGCTAAAAATGAATTCCATATTTAAGTAGACTAGATAAATATCAACAATTCTTAAATGTTTGAAATCTGTAGATAACAAAATTATAATGAAATTTTAGTAATTTTAAGAAAAAGGACAAGGCCATATGCCAATATTTCCTTTTTTCAATCATCTTTTGAAATTTATATAAATAAATTTAATGCAATTTTTCAATTGAATGTTTTATTTGCTCATTTTTCATTCATATGTGAATAAGCAATGAATTTCTCCAGATATACCAACAGTTCTCTGTGTCATTATCTGCTTTTCTGCTAACAATATTACAAAGGTGAAGAAGACAGTGGCAAAGCATCAACTACATTGTTCTTAAATCACATGACAGAAAATCATATAAGATTTAGATAGAAAATGTAATTTTGTTCATTGTCAACAAAAAAAGCATTTCAAAGCTTTTAACTTGCAGGTGATAGATCAGATCAGTATGACACTTTGTTAAAAACATTCAATTCATGTCTCACAAAAAAACCCACAAACACTTGATTTATTGTGACACTATCAATACAAAATCATTTATGTACATAGTTACAAAATCTTACATAAACATTTCACTGACTAGCTTTCATATATATAGGTAAAATTGTGACTGAAGTACAAAATAAAACAAAACACAAAACAGACCTTTGCTAGTGGTTGGTGCTAAATTCTGAGAAATCCTTTGAGCCACTGCTGACCTTCTTTCATTTGCCCGTGCCCTGCCAAGTGCTTCAGAGCTGCTGGTTTTCGGTCTAGGTGGACTGACAGTTGGAGTGGCTGATACACCTGGATCAGGTGGAGGCAGTTTTGGTTTTGTTACCATTGGCTTGCTCGATGACTTATTTGAACTTGTATGAGTCCTGAAAAGTATTGTTTCATCACATATTGTTTTAGTAGATCTATCAATACTGCATTAATGAAATATAGTCAATTTGTTAACTTTCAGGGCCAATATCATTATACATAATGAGATATCAGTCTTACTGAAACTTTTTCATGACTTGATAAAATCAAGACTTGTCCAAAGACAGCACACTCCATTTTCCTCAGTACTGGATAATTTAATAAAAGCAACATAGAAAAAGGGACATCAATTTGCAAAAAAATAATTATAGGATTATCTGCCTCATTTTATGACAATAAACATGTATACCAAGTTGAAGTGAACAGCTTTCAGTATAGTTTCTGTGAAAATAGACCTTATCAAAAAGGTTAGCCAATGCCATTGCCAATTAGTGGGTCATGACACTTGTTTCACTTTTTTTATTTGAAAATTGAAGCTAAAGAATATAAGTGAAAATGATCACTTTATATTCATATTTTCATGTAATGAAACAACCTTGCTTTGAAACAGTTCAGGGATTCTAATATTGAGCAGCTTACAATGTAAAGCCTTGTCTGCCACTACAGGCATTCTGACAGGCCTGACATTACACTGATAACATATGATTGTCACTTTGAGTTCCAGTTCTCTAAGTATTAAATAATGAATTAGTCTGCAAAAAAATATTGTTTATAACTAACAATTGTTAATAAAATATTTAGCATTAAGTTTATAAAGCTGTTACTTCATTAATCTTACAGCATTTTATATTAGCAATGATATTGTTTGGAGTGTTTGATAACTCCATGTAAATCACAAGAATCAGAAATGGGAGATTTTCTTAACGTAAGTCATGTCCTGGATTTATAATTTGCTATGTTGCTTGTTATAAACCTAACAAGAAATCAAGATGATCACACAGCCTCTTTAAAGTTTATATAAAATAAAACCTTACTTTACAGACTGTACATAATTTCCTGGGAACACGCCTGAGAGGTTAGATTTTACAGCTACACCTTTATACCAGCCATCAAGGCATTTCTCTGATACAGAGTAGTAATCTCCCTTGATTAGCTCCAACTCATCTCCCTTCTGAGGTTTATAGTTGTACAATGCTATATATCTGTATACAAACAAAATAATCATTCTAACATTGATATTAACATATTCTGATCTTAAATGCAAATGTTGCAAATAGTACATCCAATATTACCAAATCCAACATTTATGATGCTGAGATACAATGTAAATGTTTTTTTACATGATGTATATTAAATTTTCACAGGATGTATATTAAATTTTCCATGATGATTAAATACTAAAGAAGAACCCATTATGATGTTGATCTAACAGATATTTTATGAATGGTATATTTTATGAGATAGGTAAATATTGATAAATATTTATATTGCAAGATAAATCAGTTTAGCAGGAAAGATCCCCGTCTTACTTCACCTCTGATTTCAATATTGATAACTCCTTAATTAACACTCAAAGAAATTGCTTTACTGGCTTAAAATGTGAAGAAAGATATGGAGCCACAACCATCATCACTCAAATCAGTTTTTTGCAATTTGTATTTCAGGCCTACAATGTTAAATAGAGACTAATGACAAGGGAAGTCCTCTAATTGCCCTTGTCAGGTAGTACCATGAACCTTATGTATGTTTGGATGGATATCTTGTCAATTCTTACTGGCAATATAAGTAATATATTTACATGGAAGCTGTTGCACCATCTTCTATATTGTTGCTGGCAAAACTTGATGACATCAAATCACCAGTATGACGTGATGTCACAGCTGGCTGATCTAACGATAGGGAGTTCTCATGTTTGTTCAAGGAAGGCACCAATGTGGATTCTAAAATTTAACCATATCAACATTTGTACATGTATCACATAATGCCCACTCCAGCAGACTAAAAAGTTGTATTAGACATCAGAATAAACTGTTAAAACTAAACACAGTATATGCTCTTGTCACTGAATTACTTTTCTAGAAACTAACACCAATTTCCTATACAGTTTACGTAATTCAAAGAAAAAATGCTGAAGAGAAAATGCTTTAAATCCGAGCTCAATACCAGCACTTTAACAAACCTGTTTCAATTTTTCTGGGAGGAATTGCAACAGCCTGATTGGCTGGCATTTTTGGTTGCACTGCCATGGCAACAGGCAAATCTGTCGTCATGGAAGCTGTCAATGGTGCTGCCATGGCAATTGGCTGACCTCCACTAGCCAAAAGGTCAGGGTCAGTATTACTATCTAAAGAGCGTCGCTGTAAAGCACTGGCAGGAGTGGTGACTGTAAGGGGAATGGAAGTGAGTGAATGACGTTTGTTGTTCACTGTGGCTACAGAGTTAGGAGAGCCCTCTTTCACTGCTCTCACTGGGTGAGCTGGGGTAACAGGCGGGTCAGATCCAGCTACTGCTATTGCACTGAAATTTAAATATTTTTTTTTCCACAAAATTCATACATATATAGAAACATAAAAGAGTAACTAATTCAGTGTTACATCAATCAGTGAAAGACTTTTGCAACAAATATACCCTTGTTTACTACATATATCATCCAGAAAGTTTACATTGCTATACTGGTGAGAAAACAAATCTATTGAAAATGCACCTTTATGAAAAAATAGTAATTTTAAGTGAACCTTACAAACATTACCAACAAAATAAAATGTAACTTATACTTTTTATCTGTTAATCGTAAGAGTTCCTTGGCTGGGTCATTTAACTGGAAAATAAATAATACAGTTAATCAATTTGTAGCTACGTAATATTCAACAGTTTCATAATCAGATAGTAAAATATATAAACATTTAGAATGTTACCTGCATGTACGAGTCAGTGAGATTATTTTCTCCTTTTCTTTCTTTAAAAAAGTATAGATAAACAAAATGAGACAAGAGTTTTTCCTAAAGGTCTTTTGTTTGAAAGAATTTTAAGATATAAAACATAAAATAAAATCATACCTTTTTTTAACACAAAAGAACAGAAAAACTATTTTAGACTTTAGTACTACAGTTTGGCATCATCAACATTAAGTGTGTACTTTTAATTCCAAATACATAAATAGCATACATTAAGTACATAAATTGAATAATATACATTTTTTCTGTTTTGTTCACCTAAATCACATTGAAAATGAAAGAAAAGAAAACTTTCTCAACCTTGTAATACTTGTCCCGTTTCACTTCCTTATAAAATAGCTATAGTAAAGTAAAATGTTTTAATACATATGTAATACATACCTCGACAAATGAAATAGGTAAAATACCAATCTTATCACCTTTCTTCACTTCTAACCAGTTATCATCTACTCTTCGTATAACAGTCATAGTTTCATCCTTAAAATATACACATTAATGTCATAAATTTCTCTTCTTCAAATAATTACAAAACTTGATAGAACAAAGTTACTGGACTTTTTCACACATACCAACTGGTAAAACATATAAAGGTTTATTTAACTTTTACAGTTTTAATGCAGCATGCCTTCAGATTCATGCTAATTTTCATGGACATATTTAAAATATATTACAAAGTTAAATACTGTCAAGTAAACAGTGAAAGATATTTAGTTTAAACATATTTATTTCAATATTTTACATATATTACATTTTATATGTGAATAATTGTTACATAAATTGAAAGGGATTAGGAATGCAACTTAATAAGACAATTGAAAGATATTTGCACATTGCAAACAGCAGTTAAACTAGAACTGTGTCCAAAGGACACGGATGCCCCCACTGACAACTTATATATAGTGAAAAAATCAACAAAGGGCCATAATTCTGTTAAATTTGGTCGCAGCAAAAATTCCTTCCTTTACTACCATCTACACATTAAGGTTGTTCATCCCTGGAAGTTTAAGCAAAATCTGCCCACCGGTTTAAGAGGAGTTGCGTTCACAAAATTTCTATATGGTACATGGTGAAAAATCAACAAAGGGCCATAATTCTGTTAAATTTGATCGCAGCAAAAAATCCTTCCTTTACTACCATCTACACATAAAGGTTGATCATCCCTGGAAGTTTAAGCAAAATCTGCCCACCTGTTTAAGAGGAGTTGCGTTCACAAGATTTCAGGACGTACGGACAGATGGATGGACGGACGTACGTACGTACGGACAAGTGCAACGCTATATGCTCCCACTTTGTGGGGGCATAAAAATAGGTATATGTGAAAATAGTCATTTCTGCGTTGATAACGCAGTACAAATATGGCAGTAAATACTGCAAAATCAATCGTTAAATGCATATAAAATATTACTTGAATCTTTTACTTTAGTTAAAATCTTAGTACATTTTTCTCAAGTTATATGTTTAAAATTTATTTGGCTCATCTGGAGGCATGCAGATTTAAAGTTTGGCAAGTGGTTTATGAATGTTGGTAGATAAGTAGCAGTCAGTAAAGTGGCCAGAACTTTACTTGCTAATAACACGCCAAAACTTCACAAAAGTAATGCATTAAAGTTAATAATACCCCATAATAAATGTCACCTGTATCTGAGTCACTGTCATACATTACAAAATTTAGTTTCACCTGGTGAAAGCCAAAACTTAAAAGCACTGATTTAGTATTAGTTTCAATGTCCCTGCCATTGTTGGGATGGTCATGTGTGTTATTTCAGGCTCAAGTTGAGATCAATTTACATTTACCTTGTCAGTTTTTTTTTTCCTTATTGTGTTATGTAATGATTTTACAATGTATTATGTTACAGCTCTATAATGTAATAGAAAATAAAGCCCGAAACGATATTGTATTTTCATGTTTAACAATTGATAAAAGGAATATACTTTTAAAAAGGTTGATAAACGTCGATTTAAGGATAATTCTATAACCGTGTAACTCAACAGGTACAGCATTGAACTGTGAATCAGATGACCCTAGTTTGAATGCCGGACAGTACAGGTCACTTTCACTGTGATTGAATATGACAGCCTTCCATGAATGTATGCCGTGGCTGAACTGTGTTCTGGTAAATTCTATGTGGCTAACTACTGTCATTCAAGCGGTAAACTACTAACGCCACCATTGATTTAATTCTATACATTTTGTATCATAAATTATTTAAATATACCTTTTTAAATGGCAGACAATCTCCTTCTTTATCATCATCCACAATAAAATCATACAGTCCTTTGCATTGAGGTATTTTTTCTGGTAATGCTGTTATAACCTACAGATACAACACATTATACCCATTATTTACAGACACAATACTAATTTATTAAAAATGAATGATCAGACATGTCGGCTTTAGCTGCAAACAAAATAAATTGAAATATACAATGGTAATTCCCGTGTAGGTTTCTCTATAAGCTTATAAACACTTGAATCTGTTCCCGGAATGAGTGTAAAGTTACTTGTTTAGAAAACAACTGCTTGCCCCGGAAGGGGTTTCAATCTAGTAAGCGATCCTTAAATTACTAGTCTGAAACGTCAACCACATATAACATTTATTATCTGTTTATCTTAAATAAAATTCATGAAAGCAGTTGTACCGTGCTCACAAAAACATGGAATCCACAACAACTTAATCATGCAGAACAACTACATTTGTAGTATGATATCTGTGATATGACATGCAAGTATGACACTAACAGGACCAGCATCTCCAGGTAAATTATTATCAGTTTTGAAGAACAGGCATGATATGTGTTTTAAAGACATGTCCTTAAAGTTCTGAAGAATGATGTAACTTACTGTAAAACACTTATTTTTCGCGAGAACCTTATTTCGCGAATTTGAGGCAAAATGTCCAAAATAATTATTTCGCGTCAACATGAATTCGCGTCTTCCCGAAAAATGTGCACACTGAGAGTCATTGGTCCAATGTTGATTCGATGGAGAGGTATTTATTACAAATTTCATAATTATTATAAATTTTAAAACGAAGCAGACGACATCTTTAAAAGACGATAATTTCCCTAGCAAGTGATAAGTTTCACTGATTAGCCATTCAAAGGCAAGCAAACGAAACTCAATTAAATGGTACTGTAATTTGCCTAACCTGTAGTAAACGATTATGTTTACCCTCCGGCTTAAACTGTAGTACAATACAATAGGATACAATAAATAGAAATGTTACAAACAACTCTCAGGTGCTAAAGTATTTGTACCAAATTGTTGGACAGATTTTCACATTAATTAGAACAATCTGTAAAAATACCATTAAAATTTTGTGATACGCATTAATTTGTTTATACTTAATTCTAGTGCAAGTCGCAGTTACCTTCCTTGACACAATTCCTCAATAATACCAAATTGTTACAGGTAAATATTTCATACTAGTAATCTGTACTTGATGTAACTAGAACTGGTTTCGACCCTTTCCCCGCAGATATATACCTATGTGTACGCATTTTGGATAGTGTTCATTTTCGGACATATATATATAGACAAAGTGAAATTTTCGCGAGAAATATGAATTCGCGTCTTAGAAAACTCGTGAATATTAGCGAAAATAAATTTCTCGCGAATAATAAGTGTTTTACAGTAGCATGTAAGTCAATCTGTATTATCATAACTAACCTGAACATAATTAACTGGAAAGAAGCCATGTTGTCCATTTAGCTCTCCCTGAAACCAATTTTCATCTACTTGTTTCCATAGATACACAACATCTCCTTTTTTAAATGACAGATCCCTTAAAAGACAACAAATTAACAGTGAGTATATGCCAAGACAATAATATAAGTTTATTATAAATTGGGGTAAACTTTTATCACAAATTGTAATACAGCTGGTGCTTAAATCTATATAAAAAATAACATAAAAACAGTAAACATTCCACTTTTGTGACTTTTGATAATAATTATCTTTTACATGTACTTTTTTAATCCCCCCCTACCCCGCCTTGGAAAATGTAAATCTCCTGGGGTGTTTATTTGAGAATATATGGTAATATACTTTTAAAAATATTTTCAAAACACAACAAAAATGTACTAATTACTTTAAAAGATGAAAAATATGAAGTGCTTAATTGTTTTTGTGTCGGGGAAGGAGGCACTATGTCTAAGTAAGTGCATGTACAGTATTATCTAAAATTTCATATAATATATTTATGTAAATTTAACCATATGATATATAGAGAGAAAAATAATAATGTAAAGCAAAATATGATTCAAAATTCATACCCTGCTTCTTTAGCATCGTAAGTAAATAAAGCTTTAGCACAAGGTCTGTTGCTGGTGCTAGCCTGCAAATAGAAAAATACAATAATATTAACTGTATATAATTTGTACTGCAAGATTTTTATCAAGCATGTCAATATTAAATCATATTTATCTATGGTTCATACACTTTATTTAGAGAAGAATACATTAATAATCACTTGTGTATATTATATATATACACATACAATGGAGTGAATGAACAACTTAGAATGCATTCTTTTTAAGTGTAGCAAAACAGAAAATCACATTTTAATCTTTTCAATTATTTATTCTAAAATGATTTTCTGTTTTGTTTTTTGTACTTTCAAACTGGAGTAAGTGTAAGAGAGTGTATTTCATGGACGCTTAGCTTAAGGTGGAAAAGAGTGGATGAATTAAACATGGACATACAAGTGTACTAAAGTGGCAGTTTAATACTAAAATACCTTATCAGTCAAGAGAATAAGTGCAATTTAAATTGATTAACACCAACATCTAAAAGCAATACCTGTCTCTGTTGTTGTTGTCTAGCAAAAGCTGCTACTGCCTGATTTGGGTTGTCTGCCTTACTAGCCCCTGGTGAACCTAGCTCTCTTCTACGCCCAGGGCCCTGTGTACCACCTATACGAGTCTGAGATTTCAAGCCCTCCAGAAGACGGATTAGCAGAATATTGGATGGCAGGTCTTCCACCCGCATCTCAACCTGGAAAACATTACTACAAAAGTATACACTTAATTTTTTTAATTTAGAGAGACTACTCCGCTAATTTAGTATGTATCAATTTACAGACTAATACCTAACTAGAACTATCATTAAATGTGATAAATTCCCTCGCAAGACTGCTTAGGAAATGAGGCTGTTACTAGTAACAGAATACCTTGTAAAAGAATTGAAATAGAATTATGGCTGTGGGCAATTAAAGATAGTTGTGGTTCTTGTATGTTGCATTTCCTTTCAATGAGGTTGACCATCGGTGAAGTTTTATTGAATTACTCTGTAATAAGTCCAGAAAGAGTTACCCTTCTTGAGCACTGCACTTCCTCCCATTGTATGAAGTTGCATTGAATTCTAAACATTAGTTTTTAATGTACAGAGTTAAACAAAATATATAACTTCCTTAAACATTATTTTTTATCATATAGTCAATATGACAGTCATTAAAAAAAACAACTTGGTGTTATATTACAATTAATCAGTCACTGATCTAATATGACTTCCTGTTGATACAATAGTTAACAATGCAAGATTATATACACGAGGATCATTTAAATTCTATTGTTATCTTAAAAAGATACATGACTGTCCCTTAGATTATTACAAATGTTTATAAAAAGAAAATTTATAACAACTTGAAAGATCTGACAAATCAAAGATTAAAAAATACCAAAATTTTTTTTTAATATAATACACATTATGTCATATAATCATATGAAACAGGTGTAACATAGTGTAGTAAGCAAACTTTAAATTTCCCTGTTCGGTACAATAAACAACACAAATTCATATAAAGAACTAACACTAAATTTTACTTAATAAGCAATTTAAATGAAAAGATAGATTTAATTAAATTTTATTGTAGCTGTCAACTAAGCTACCGGTAATCTGATGATCTTTATTCTTATTACCGAATACAGTTGTACGTTTATAGGTGCCTATTTAAATAATAGACAAACATACCAGAAAGCGGCACTCTGGACAGCGGAGCTCATGTTTTGTACTGACTATTTCCTCCAAGCACCGTTTACAAAATGTATGTTGACAAGGAAGCACTTTACTGGTGTCATCTAGTTGGTCTAGACATACTGAACACTCCAGTAACTCATTCAGTGCCTGTTCATCCATCTATTACACCATCATCTATAAATTGTAGAAAACAAATAAAACATGCAAAATACACTTGTCAAAGAATTATAGTTTAATTGAATTATTAAATTTATTTGAACTGTGGAGCAAATTCATACAAGGCATTCCAGTGATAGATGGTCATGAGGATAAAGGAGTATTTTGTTAACAGTCAGTAGTTAGAAAGTACTGCCTTTAACCCATTACTTCATATACACGCCTTTTAACGCCTTTTTCACCCCCCCCCCCTTTTTGTTGTCTCAAATGATGAAAAAATGCCTTATTTAGGCCCCAAACACTTGCTTTTGTTTGAGAAATGTTGTTAAAAAAAGTGACCTCTTTTTCGGCGCGGCCCCCCAACCAAAAGATGCATCAGGGGGTTGCCAGAAGGGGGATGTGCCCCCTTCTGTTTGGGGGGTTTGAAGGGGGGCGGAGTCCCCCTCATCGCCAAGAAAATTTTGTACTTGTCAGAGGCTGTAAATGACCCCAGATTGATCATAAGGTAACGTGTAACCAACGCTGAAAAGCATTTGACTGTATCTCAATCCATTGAGAAGTTGCAGCACTTTGAAATCAATTTTGATGGAAAAAATCAACGCAAAATAGTGATTTTTGGCAATTTTGAGATGTCCCCTCGTTGCCATGGTAACAGAAAATTTAAGCCTGAGCATGTTTTTGCAAGGGCAATGGTCCAGTCAACATTTGTGCCAAGTTTGATTAGTGTTGAAGCAGTTTTTATAGTATTATAGCAATTTGAACTTGTAACGGGAGACTTTTCAATGAAAACAGCCATTTTTCACAAAATGCTCATGAAGTAATGGGTTAAAGAAATGATATTCTTTTCAATCCTGTCTGTAAAAGGTATATAATTTTACCCTATTTCTGAAAAATATTCCTCTCCTCACTCCATCACTAAAAAAAAACAAGAGCACCGCTAGGCGGAGCATTATATGCCCGAAAGTGTTTTTTTGTTAGTAAGGATGAAACATTTGTAAGACATGGGAATTAAATACAGTATTACCTCCTTCAAAAAGCAATCCTCCTTTATAGCTGAAGAACCTTCATATATATACAGTTGCTGTTTTCAAAGCACCAGCATCAAGTTGTAGTTATGCTCCAGAAACCACAACTTTCAGTGTAAAGATCATTGTGACCCTGACCTTTGACCTTATGACCCTAAAATCAATAGGGGTCATGTATTGAACATGGCTGTTCATCCTATAAAATTTTACAGCTGTAGGTTGATTTATTCTTAAGTTATTGAGCAGAAACTGTTTTCAGTTTTAGGGTTATAGTGACCTTATTCTTTGACCTTGTGATTCCAAAATCAATAGTGGTCTTCTACCCAATATGGACAATCATCCTATGAAGTTTGGATACTGTGGGCCAAATGGACCTTAAGTTATGCTCCAGAAACCATTTTCAGTATTAGGGCAATAGTGACCTTGACCTTTGACCTTGTGACCCCAAAATCAGTAGGGGTCTTCTACCCAATATGGACAATCATCCTATGAAGTTTGCAGACTGTGGGCCAAATGGAACTTAAGTTATGCTCCGGAAACCATTTTCAGTTTTAAGGTAATAGTGACCTTGACCTTTGACCTTGTGACCCCAAAATCAATAGGGGTCTTCTACCCAATATGGGCAATCATACTATGAAGTTTGAATATTGTGGGCCAAATGGAACTTAAGTTATGCTCTGGAAACCAAATTGCTAACGGACGGACGCTAGGGGGTATAACATAATATGCCTGAAATTCTTTCGGGCATATAAAAAGATTTTTGTTTGACACTGTATCAAAGGAAAGGAAGGTTCTATGTATTTCGTTATGTCACCATGTAACATAAAAATCAGACTGTTTTCTCCATTTCTAAATTTTCCAATATTTTTCCCTTCATGACACAATTTTCATTTTTCTAAGGTAGCTGGCCCAGCATACCCCTCTAACTGACTAAAGTATAAAATAGTGCTCATAAGTATGATAATTGAAATTTCCAGTTAATCGTATGGTAGTCTGAAAAGAAAAAATGGCCACCTTATTTTGCAAATTATTTTGAAACATTTAGGCGCTAATCTACATGTAGGTCAATTCATTTTTGTTCAGACTGCTCCAACCAAGTCCAAAAGATGAGATTTTATGTAATTGTGAATGGTTTTACTGACATCTTTGGGAAGCAAAAACAGTTAATATTTTTAACTTCACATGTCTACGTCCCCATGAGGGGTTTGACATTAACGGAAGATTATAAGATAGAAACTAGTTAAAGCATTATGTCAACTTTATAGGACTACTGTTGACCATGTGACCAGTACTCAGTAGTCTAAGTAATCAAATGAGGAAGATTCAACCCATTTTACAGACTGTTTATTTCCTTGGTGCTAACCCATTATGCTAATTTTAACAATATTTTTATGCAAAAAATATTAATAGGCAACACTGTAGGTAGCTATGATCTATATAAACTGATAAAATTGTTAAAATCTGAAAACATTCTTCAGAACTTCTAAAAATTAATTATGAAAAGAAAACATAATTTTCTACTAATTTCAAGGCCCTTGAATACGGGGAAGTCAAAGTCTGGACTGTAGAGTGGGCCAGGGCTTTGGCATGCCCTGCTATAGACTACATAGGGGCAGATTTTTTTTTCAGTATCCCTATTTCTCAAATTCTTGGGGTTTCTCATTTTCTCGTGATTGAGTAAAAATGGAAGGAATCCACGCTGGTGACCAACTCGGATATCCAGAAACGCATCAACTTTTTTGCACTCATTGTTATTCGATAGTACAAGAAAGAAAATGAGACAGAAGCAGGTAAAACCGCAATCCGGTCAACTCGTCCCCTGGTCAACTCGTCCTCTGGTCAACTCGTCACCTTTTTGGTCAACTCGTCCCCTACTTTTGGTCAACTCGTCCTCAAAGAGTCAACTCGTCCCTAATATGGTCAACTCGTCCCCTACTTTCGATCTATTCGTCACTATTATGTTGTAAACCAATGTCTTTAAATAGTTCTTTTTATGTAGAATTAATAATGAATTTGATTGATATCGAAATATTAATAAAATAACGTCTTTTTTACGTAAAATTTTAAAATTTGCAAACATTCAATTAATGTTTAATCAATCGGATTTTTAATGTTAATTAAAACTTAAATTAGGTCCAACTCTTTGATTTTTAGACTGTATATGTCTTAGACAAATTTGTAGCATTAAAGAGATAAATATATCTTTTATAGTTGACCAATGCCGCTACCAACGGTAAAAAATACACCTTTCTCCAGGGACAGACGCACCAGCTGTGGGACAGGTACAGGAATGGGGAGTTGTCATCAACGGGACTTCTAAGAGAATTCGGGAACTTATATAATCCCCAAGAGTCGCAAGATGTCAAAAAAAAAAGACAATGAAATATGTGCATGCAAAAAAACAATGAAAGTGAAAGTGAATATATATGATATAATATTGACAAAAAAGACATACTATATGATTGTTGTATATTGTAAACATATGTTTCATCTTAATAATATCTTATACTGTAATGCGCATGTCCATTATCTTCCCGCCACTTATATACTTGGGATATTCAGTTTGGAGATGCTCTCAGCCGGAATTACGTAACTGACACTTTTCCTAATCTGATTGACGGCTTAGAAACACATGTACACACTGTACTGAAATCACTACCGATAAGTGATTTAAAATTGCAGGAAATTCAAACAGCAACGCAAAATGATGCTCAGTTACAAACGCTTATTAGTGTCATTTCTAACGGATGGCCTGACGACAGACAAAATTGCCCTACGACTGTATCAGAATACTGGAATCATAGAGAAGAATTGGCTTTTGAAGACAATATTGTGTTCAAGGGTCAAAAAATTGTAATACCAAAATCATTAAGACAGGACATGACTAACGCAGTACATGTGGGTCATTTTGGTGTAGAAAAAACGACAAGACGGGCTAGGGATATAATGTTTTGGCCATCAATGTCAAAACAAATTACAGATTATGTACTTAAGTGCCAGATTTGTTGTAAACATAGAGACTCAAATAAAAAAGAACCATTACATCCTCATGATACACCCCAAAGACCATGGCAATATTTATCATGTGATTTATTTACGTGGAATGGTCAAGATTTTATGGTTCTTGTTGACGCTTACAGTCGATATTTTGAGTTCGACCTATTGACTAGCACTTCTAGTACTTGTATTTTAAGAAAACTTAAGGTACATCTCAGCAGATTTGGTATCTGTGAGAAGTTAAAAACTGACAATGGGACATGCTTTACTAGCGAACAATTTCAGAACTTCCTTAAACAATGGAACATTAAACACGAAACTTCAAGTCCCACGCATGCAAGTTCAAATGGACTTAGTGAAGTATATGTTAAAATTGCAAAACGCATTCTTCAGAAAGCTAAGGATGATAATAAAGATCCTTATTTGCCCCTTTTAGAATATAGGAATACACCACTTAAATGTGGATGGTCACCCGCTCAACTTTTAATGGGCAGACGCCTCAAGTCGCTTCTCCCAACAACTAACAATCAGCTTCTGCCACAAACAGTAAATCATTGTGAAGCAAGAAAGAAAATGGAAGAATTACAATTTATTAGCAAGAATCATTACGATAAAAATGAAACCTCTAAAAATCGGTGAATCTGTCAGAATTCGAAAAGATAAGTACTGGGAACCAGCCAAGGTTATAACCCAGCATAATGAACACTCATTTCACGTGCAGACCCCTGACGGTGCTGTTTATCGTAGAAATCGCCGTTTCCTAAACAAAGCTCCTGAATTATCTGACCTGTCAAAACAAACACAGCAACCATCTAAAGTCGATGAACACCAGGAATCTATTTTAAGTGAACAAACAAGTCAAAATACCCCTACAGAGTCCCCATCTCTTGCAAATGTGCCAGGTAAATCGAGACCATTCACAATCACTAGGTCAGGTAGAGAGGTGAAACCGAATAAGCATTACTGTGGAAAAGATTGGACAAAGTGATAACAATTGTTGAATTGTTGAAATAGCCATTAGTAAAACTGTAAATCAGTTACATTTAGAAAGGATAAAAAAATTTACTTGTATATATTAATAATACATGTATATTTCAATGTCATAATTAAAAGATCATTAATTATATTTGATATACTTAAATAATTGTTTTTTACAGATTAATTTGAAATATACTAAATGTGCTTATATTTTTAAACAAGGGGAATGTTGTATATTGTAAACATATGTTTCATCTTAATAATATCTTATACTGTAATGCGCATGTCCATTATCTTCCCGCCACTTATATACTTGGGATATTCAGTTATCATTAAACGATATATAGCATTTTGTTTACTTACAAAATCTTCTAATTATTGAATGTTACATAATTTTTCATTGGTTAATATTTTTCTGCTTCACTGATTTGTATATCACTACGCGTACAGCTTTATATAGTCTTCTCGCGGTTTTTTCCTTACAGTTTTGATAGACACGTCTTTGTTCAGTGAAAATTTGAAATTTTTGTATTTCATATCCTAATTAGAACTAGTAACACGTGTCTGTGTTATATATTACAAGTGCACGCTCTGTGTACATATTAATAAATATACCCATAATACAACAATGATATTTCATCATTGCATATGAAACATGTTTTTATACAGTAAATATTGTTGCTATTGATCGTCTTCGTGTTGTTTTTTTCTGTACGTAATTTAATCAGATTTATGCATAAATATACTTATTATTAGATAAAAAAAAACTCCAAATATTCGCATACAAAAAGCGTCAAAATATGTCCAATTCAGTCATTTTATAATATATTTTAACAGTCTATAATAATTTATGGAATATATGAAAAACAAATAATAATGAAATATAGGGGACGAGTTGGGGACGAGTTGACCAGGGGCCGAGTTGTCCAAGGGACGAGTTGACCAGAGGACGAGTTGACCAGGGGACGAGTTGACTCTGAATCGGTAAAACCGATGAATATGTCATGATTTTGTCAAAATATCTCCAAAAAAACAGTATATATTTGCTATAGAAACCAAAGTTAACGTTATTTCACCAAAAGATAAAAAAAATTGGTCTGACTGTTCTGTTTTCATTTTATATTATAATCAAGGCTTTTTCAACTGAAATGGAAAATGAAAATTGCATAAATGAAAGATAAAAATGAAATAGGTTACGTATCTTGTAATTACTATCATCAGACCATTAGGCCTACAAATTTCTTAAGATGTGTATGCATCCGAAATTTCATATCCGATTATAGTTTCCGAGTATATTATTTTTTGTGTATTTTATATATTGACATACATATCTAAAATTCAAAACCAAACATTACAATGAAGTAATTGCATCCGTTAAAAACTTTTTCGTTACCTCACAAACGCCATACAACTTAATAAATCTCCAAATTTACTTCCTTTCGCAGGCAGTCGTCCATCTTGGATTTTGCATGAGTCAGGTAAAAAGTAGTACCTGTTTTATTTGTTCCAAATAGTGAAACAATGATTTATATAATCGAATACCTGTATTACAGTTAAAATATTTATTTTGTGTTATTAAAGAATCAGTTTCAGTCAAGACGTAAACGGAATGGCCGAGCAAACAGGACGTTTCGGCCCCAAACCAAATCGGCCCCAGTAGAAAAATCGGCCCCTGGACGTTTCGGCCCTTTTCCGCGAGACGTTTCGGCCCTACTATATAGTACAGACAATTAATTAACAACAATTGATTTAATTACAATTAAACAATTATTACCCTTTAATTCTTTAAATAATTATTTATTATCTTTTGATCTCTTGAACCATTTAGATATACGTTAATGTTTTTAAAGGTTTTTAACAAACAATAAAGGCAGGTTAATCCTTAATTTATAAAACAAACCACTAAAACTTCTTGATTAAGAAAGTTAATTACAATTATTCCTTAGAAAACATTATTTTTTATCTTAATTAAACTATAGGCCTACGTATTTTTTTCAAAGTGTAACTAATTAACTGTTTATAGCTTTATGTAACAAGTATCTAATCGTTGATGGTTTTGGTAAAGATTTAATCTTTTACGTAAAATATATAAGACGTATCGTAAATCTTTCAAGGTACTTGGAAATTGGCGTTCCACTTCATGAAAATTGTCATTTATGATTATTATAACTATGAAATTTTAATATACCGGTTTAAAACACAGTACTTATTCTGGGGCCGATTTGGTAAAGGGCCGAAACGTCTGGGGCCGAACCGTCTTGGGTAATTTGGGGCCGATACGTCTTGGGGCCGAAACGTCTCGAAATCATGGCCGATATAGTGTATTCATAATATGCGGAGGAATAAGCACGTGCCAACCCACAACATACAGACGCCTTACTTTCGTTTTGTTGAATGAATGGTAAATCTCTGTTGACATTACATAAATTGAGTAATTTAGCTATTTGTGTTTTTAAACTTACACATTTTTTAGCCTTTTTACATTAATTATGATTTTATGAGCATTTGATTGGAACTGTTACTTTTCAAATTCAGTTCCAACACACTCACACAAGTGTTTTGCAGTTTTGTGCTGTTGTGATACAAGAAACACACAAGGACCCGGCACAGTGTTGGGATAGTGTAAAAAAAGTAAATCTAGAAAAAATATTTACTGTATATATAAATAAACATAGAATATAAATATAATAGTAAAAAGTATTAACCGCGAGAATGACGTTTTGGGTAGACTGCCACTGTAACAATTCTCTAACTGTCTAACAACTTGTAATTCACTTAAAATCAAATTAAACTTTGAAACCTTAAAAGGGTGTATTTGTCAATGATATAATGAAATAGTAATTTATTACTAATATACTTAAACTTTGAATCCACAAGATATCATACCACTAAAGAAATACCATAAACAAATGGAGCTTTACAACTTCATTAACTTCGGTTTAGAAGACAGTTCAGTCACTTAATTCACTATAGTAATATATTTCATGGCCATTTATGGGACAATCATTGAGTCTACAAGGATAATAATGCCCACATATATAAATAACAATATATAATATTCATATGGCAGCAGACTTCTATCTATCTATCTATCTCTGGATACTGCCAACCCCTCTTACGAGTGTTACAGGCAGGTATACATTGTATACATTTAAGAAACAGCTTTAAGATACAAGGGAATCCGGGAACCAGTCCCTAGCTCTTATTGAATAGACCCCTTGGTTCTTTTACATGCCCAGTGTATAGCACTGATACATGCGAGGATTACCTGGATTTCTTACCAGTACACCAGTACAGACTTGATATTATTTACTAGTAAAATACTAGTAAAATTTTGCAATGTTATTAAATGGGTTAAAAACATAAACTATGTGTAAAAAAATGTTACACCTAATATTCAACAGTAAATATGTATAATTATGTGCACATATTACAGGGCTGCAGATAACATGCGTATTTGCGTTATTACCCAATTAAAATGTCTAAAAACCCAATAGAAATTAATTATTTAACTCAGGGTAAGAAAAAGTAAATGAAATTCTTATTTATGCAAACTACATTTAAACTGGTGGGTAATGACGTAAATTATTACTTAACACGTACATCAGGCAGATCATACTGTTTCAGACTGTTTAACCTTTAAATTATATCAGGCAGCTTGGAAATCTCCCAGGCCAACAAACTATAACGCAAAGTAGTATTAGTAGCTTTTTTATAACCATACAAAACCTACAAAGGTCTACAACGAAGGTCAGAAATTTTGGTTAAAATACAAAAACTCGTGCTTCATATAACCCAAATTGGTTAGAGGGGGTAGGGTAAAAAATACAGAAATAACTCAAAGAAAATAGAAAAAACCCAATAGATCACAAAACAAGGGGTAATTACCCAATATACACAAAACATTATCTGTAGCCCTGTATTATATATAGATATGTATTATTTTTAATGTGGGGGGTCAAACTTGTAACTTGATTTTAAGTGAGGATGTGTTATTTCCCATTACACAATATATACGCCTTTTAACGCCTTTTTCACCCCCCTTTTTTTGTTGTCTCAAATGGTGAAAAATGCCTTATTTAGGCCCCCAACACTTGTTTTTGTTTGAGAAATGTTGTTTAAAAAAGTGACCACTTTTTCGGCGCAACCCCCCAACCAAAAGATACATCAGGGGGTTGCCAGAAGGGGCCCCATGTGCCCCCTTCTGTTTGGGGAGTTTTGAAGGGGGGCGGCAGTCCCCCTCATTGCCAAGAAAATTTTGCCAAGAAAATTTTGGACTTAACCAACACTGAAAGCATTTGACTCTATGATCTCAATCCATTGAGAAGTTGCACTTTGAAATCAATTTTGATGGAAAAAATCAATTTTGAGATGTCCCCTCGTTGCCCTGGTAACAGGAATTTTAAGCCTGAGCATGTTGTTGCAAAGGCAATGGTCCAGTCAACATTTGTGCCAAGTTTGATTAGTATTGAAGCAGTTTTTATAGTTTTATAGCAATTTGAACTTGTAACGGGAGACTTTTCAATGAAAACAGCCATTTTTCACAAAATGCTCATGAAGTAATGGGTTACATTAACATTAGATCACATACTGTGCCCTGACTCTTAATTTTCTGATGACACTGAAACTGACAGTTGTACTAGCTGTAGGCATACAATAAAGCTAAGCATTTTGCTGTTACTAATGAAATGCTTTTGACTCTAAGATTAGATTGATAATAATTCTCTTTTCATTCCAATTGTAAATACCAGCATAATTACATTTGAATCATGCACACTTCATGATAATTGATTTCTGTTTTAAGCTAACATATACATGGTAGATAGCACATAAACTCATTCACATTCTCAAATGGTTTACATATCATCATAGTTTAATATTATCAGCTACATTTTGTAGTATTTGAACTGACATAATATTTTTGTGATCAGATATCTTTAAGATTATTATAAATACTATATTCTATATTAAACAGCTATCTTGATATAGGATATGTAATTAAATTAAAACCTATTTCAACTTCTGAGGAAAGAAATAGGTATTGAAAAAAGTTACAGATTACATGTATATGATATTCACATGAATAAAAATTGTAATACTAATTCATGATTTAAAGGTAGGTTAATTAATAACTTTATTTTAAATTTCTAATTTTCATAAAAAGCAAAAACAAAAATTTTTTTTAGCCAGGAGCCTTTTCCAAAATTGCTGAAAAACTCTCAGATTTCCAATTGTATTTAAAAATATTGAAGTATTAAATGTTAACTACATTGTATTTATACTATATTTATATTAAAATATCTTTTTTTTCAAAACTTCATTAACTCTTCAATTGTTTTGTTCAGTCTGTAAGAACTTAAACCTGACTTTTAGTTAGTCGATTTAATAAAAAAGAGTCACTATTACACATATTTTTGCATAAATTTTGCAGAGGTTAGGTCAGAATTAAAAAAGAAAATTCATGTAGTTATTCAAACTGTAATAGAAAATATTGCGATGAATACAACTGTAATAAACTAATAAAGTACGATTATCTAGCGTTGAATACTATAAAAATAATGAATTGATGAACTTTAATTTAGATATGCAGGAATCACATCTAAGGGAAAGTGAGTGAAAATTTAAAGTCCTTTATAATGTTCTCATTCTTTACTCTTGTAATCCTTATCATTCAGGTGTAAAATTTTGGTAAGACAATATTATCTTCATTATGTTCTAAAATCTTTGTTTTGATTTCAAGTTGGCTTCTGTCCATGTTGTGGTGTTTTTTTTTAGGGCTGTCATTGATGGAAAATTTTGTATCGATATATCAAGAGACAAATATAAACGATAAATCGATATATCGACTTGGACAATAGATACAATTAAATACATTTAAATAAGTGTTATAAATTAAAGTCTATGTGTAATGCATGCTTGTATTAGACATTACAAATACTAAAAACTAACAGAAAGTTGAAAAGGAAGTTTAAAGGTCAAGTTTACCAAGAAAACTGGAAAAAAGTGATTTATCTTATTAGGCAAAAAAGAGAGGTATACAATTTTAGCTTATGTATCGATATTTGAAAATGTGTTTCAGTATTGTATCAGATGATGGATATTGATGATATATAGATATTGTGATATTCAATGACAGTCCTAGTTTTTAAAAAAAAATATTTTAAGTAGTCTTATGCAGGAATAACTGGTTCATTAAATATTGGTCATTTAATTAAATTAAACCCAGTTTTACTATACAAAGTGACTTTAAGTCAGTATTTTTTTTTAACTTTGTGACATTTGTATTATCAAAGACAAGTAACAATAAATATAGCACTTGGCCCCCAATAAGTATTGAAGTTAATAATTTATTATTTAAATATTTTATAATGTCTAAAATTGATTGTCAACTGAGAAGGATAATCAATGGGTTTTTTTTCGCTATAATAATTTAGTATTCATATGCATTGTAGGTTAACATAATATCATTTGCATTTGATTGTACAAACAAATAATTAACATAGTATTGCCTTAAATTAGTGTTGAAAGTCAGTGGCCTTTGTCCTATTTTTTTGACAGGAAATCCTTAAAATGTGACAATCACTACCTAAAGTGGGATAAGTCATATTAATACAAGTATCTATCAAATATTTTATCTCTTGTTGTATACTTACAGATGGTGATATTAAAGGCGGACTGAAGTTTATACGGTTCATTAATTAAAGTGGATATTTGAAAATACCCTATGTGGGAAAACTTTTAATTATCAATGTTTGTGTAATATTACATATAGGATCATACAGTGTATAACATGCTTTGATTTAAACATGTTGTCCTGGATTGGTGACAAAAGTATTTACTGACAGTGTAGGTGATATATTTATAAAATCAGTAAGAAATAGAGGGACTGTTTATATCAGTGACGTTGAGATTATTTATCTGTGGTAAATTTTTTTAATTTGTGGTAATTTTAGTAACAGTCCTCATCATGATAATATAACAACTAGCTTATATAGACCTGTATGCTGTAAATGTGTCCAAAAATGAGTACACACATATTAGTGACAATTAAGATACAATATTTTATTTAATTGTGTCTGAAAAAGAGTACACATATATTAGTGAAAATTTAGATACAATATTTAATTTTTGGATTAATATTTCACAACATTATTTGAGTACATTAGCTGTTATCTGATAGTATAAGCTAGATTTAAAACAGAAAATGCCTCTAAGAACGCCGGAACAAAGTCTCGAGAAAGCTGGAGAGTCATCACCGCTACTGTCAAGCGGGTCACCGATAGAGAATGAAACCGCGATAGGTGACTTGCAGCCAGAAGATTCTGTGAATACAGTGCCAGCTGATAGACAGATATCATGTCCTGATGAATCAAGCAAGAAGGATATGGAGTACCATTTACTGACAGCTTCTGGGAGTCATATTGTAGTGAAATCTGATATACCTACAGATGCTTTAGGAGCAACAACAACGTAAGTGTTCAGTTTGAAAAACTTAAGGCTCTGCAACATATTGATGCCTTAATATATTAATTTCCTCAAAGAGAAAATTCTTTTTTTTTTGCCTTAATAAAAACAGCACTGACAGAACTAAATCAAATTATTTAATTGAAATGTTTCAATTCAATGTGTTTCATTAACCTCTTGAAAATCTTAACTTTCTCAAAACTTAAATTCCAGATTCTGGTGTTTATTTCTTTATCTAATTTTTCTACATAATGAAAGATCAAGCTCCATTGGGGTTAAAAGCTTTGAAAATTAAAATTATAAAGTTCTCCTGGGGCCTTATAAACAAATTTATGAAAATGTTTATAAAGAAATATACTAAGAATTACACTGAAAATCAGTAGTGCAAGTTTAGGTCATTTTGCACAATTTAAAAGTGATAATTGTGGACAAATTAAGGGATTTGATCTGACCTTTAAGTTTATTATATCTAAAGGTCTGATTTTACTTGAAGGCCTAGATGTTATTATTTTTGTGTTAAAATGTAAATAAAAATAATACAAAAGATGAGTTAATGATTTTAAATTTAAATAGAAACTTTATTTTCTTTTTTTTATTCAGAACATTGCATCATTGCTTGAGCAATGATTTTTGTTGTATTTTTCTAGAAATATGGAGTGTCTGATGCATCTGCTAAAAGGAATGATAGGCACTGGAATACTTGCTATGCCAGTTGCATACAAAAATGGAGGACTTTTGGCGTAAGTTGAATTGTGAGATTGCATAAGTAGTGAATTGTTGGTATGGCATCATACTGAGCTTATGAATTTATTCTGGGGACCGACAGTATTTTTAAGGGTCACAGTTTGTATGCTTAATTTAGCATTTTAATCTACTTATCTATTAATTTAATATGCCAACTTTACTTGTATTCAAAATTACACATGATCTGCACATTTCGTTAAGCCATTGTGTGATCAAAGGACAGAATATTAATAATTAAACTAGGCGAATCAAAAACTGGAACTATACATGCTTAATGTTTTTATCCATTGCATTGTTTATGATGCCAGTATCTGGCAAAAATGTATCATGCAATCCATTGCATTGTTTATGATGCCAGTATCTGGCAAAAATGTATCATGCAATCCATTGTGTTGTTTATGATGCCAGTATCTGGCAAAAATGTATCATGCAATCCATTGCATTGTTTATGATGCCAGTATCTAGCAAAAATGCATCATGCAATCCATTGCATTGTTTATGATGCCAGTATCTGGCAAAAATGTATCATGCAATCCATTGCGTTGTTTATGATGCCAGTATCTGGCAAAAATGTATCATGCAATCCATTGCGTTGTTTATGATGCCAGTATCTAGCAAAAATGTATCATGCAATTCATTGCATTGTTTATGATGCCAGTATCTGGCAAAAATGTATCATGCAATCCATTGCGTTGTTTATGATGCCAGTATCTGGCAAAAATGTATCGTGCAATCCATTGCGTTGTCATTTCTCATTAAATTTTATTGAATTATTTAACAATTAATTTATGATTGCAGGTGTCACTATACCTTAATACCGTATAAGTGGTTTTTTCTGCGGGCTCCAAATTCTGCGGTTTTTCAAAATTTTGGCATGTTTTTATTTCTGCGGACTTAATTTCTGCGGCACATTCTTTGGACAAAATGTGATTTAAATTCTGCGGCTCATCTTATCAAAGTCTAAGTCACATTACTTTACCTATTTTAACTTTGCATGTTTCAGCAAAATTAAAAAATTCAAAAAATTATGTTTTTCTTGAAAATTTAATGTGATAAATGACATTTCGTCGTTTAAATCAACCAATTTTTGCAGAAAAAAAACTATTTTAATTTTAAACAAAATATTAAAGTAATTTTTTTTATTTTCGATGAAAACAGGTTAAAGGGAATGATTGTTAATTGGGGCTTTGACAATATATGTTCTTTCCAAAGGTTCATTATACCCAAATAGACAGTTTGACTATAACCCCATAAAAAAACCAAATTATAGTGAAAGTAATAAAAGAGGGAAAGTCACATGTAATTTTTTTTCTTGGTTTTATTTCCATGTTAGAAGAAACTAGCTTTTAGTGGTCAGCAGTCATACCTTCAGACATAAACAGGCCAATCATAAGTATACATAACAAGTCAATCTGTACTTACATACATCGCCAGATTTCTCGCACTGAATACTATTCACTGTTTAATTTCATATACATCTTGTATTTGATTTTAAAATCTCCAGTATTAACAATGGACATTTTCAATTAAGAGTATGGTAAGTTCATTATATTGTCAGTTGGATAAAGCTGTATTATATATTTTAGGTGAGTCTGGCAGTTGTGTCTATTATTGGTATCATTTGTACACACTGTATGCATATACTGGTACTGTCTGGTAATGAGCTTTGTAGGAGGTAAGTTTTCTATTTTTCTATTAAATTCATTGATACACTTCCTAAAATTCTGCCATGACACAATAGGGCTTGAAATGTTTTTGATGTAACTTGTTTTTGTCAAAGGTGAGCTTTTATGATAGCATAATGGTTGTTGTTATCCAAACATTTTTTTAAACAACATCAATTTTGAACAAACTTCACAGAAATGATGCTTACAAAAATGTGGACTTCTACAAAATTATATCTATCATTACCTTGGGTCGAAAATTGCCCTTCCCACTGTTGCCTGAATAATAATGACATTTTTTAACGCTGGATCTCAGGTGAGCATTGTATGGCTATCATGTACATCCTTCCAGGTACTCAAAATTTATATCCTCACTATCCTCCGGTATAAATGTTAGAGAGGATTTAGATTGCTAAAATGTTATAACACTGTATCTTAAAATAACCCCCGCAATATACTTTTATAATAGTATACTGTGCCTAACTTTAATTGTTAATTAGTATGAGCTTTAATTTCAGAACCCAAAACTCTCATTTAGACTATGCCAGTGTGATGGAAAAGGCATTTGAAACCAGAGAAGATAGGTTGAAAAATTGGAGTAAATTTGCAAGGTACTTGTAGTTCAGTGTTCAGTGTTTAGTCTAATTAATCAACAGTGTTAATATCAATCAATATCAATTTTATTACTTGTATATCAAGACTTTCTGTAGCAATGAAAAATTGTATTCTATGATTCTAGTCTGTAATCTTTTAAATTTCACAAATGCAGATTTGAACTTTGTTTTGGACATGAATTTCTACCATTACATGTATATAAGTATATATAAGTACTTTACTGTTTACCCTAAGTAATTGTGTTCTTTCTATATGTATGAACTTCTTGAATAGGTTCAAGGTGTTTGATGGCTATTGACATGTTGTCTTCAAATATATAGCAATATAAAGTGAAGGTCATATAATTATATGTACTCATATCAAAAACCTGAAGGTCAGTTCTTACACTAAAAATCCAGAAAATATCAGCCTGAAGGTCAGTTCTTACACTGAAAATCCAGAAAATAACAACCTGTAGGTCAGTTTTCACACTGAAAATCCAGAAAATAACAACCTGTAGGTCAGTTCTTACACTGAAAATCCAGAAAATAACAACCTGTAGGTCAGTTCTTACACTGAAAATCCAGAAAACAACAACCTGTAGGTCAGTTCTTACACTGAAAATCCAGAAAATAACAACCTGAAGGTCAGTTCTTACACTGAAAATCCAGAAAATAACAACCTGTAGGTCAGTTCTTACACTGAAAATCCAGAAAATAACAACCTGTAGGTCAGTTTTTACACTGAAAATCCAGAAAATAACAACCTGTAGGTCAGTTCTTACACTGAAAATCCAGAAAATAACAACCTGAAGGTCAGTTCTTACACTGAAAATCCAGAAAACAACAACCTGTAGGTCAGTTCTTACACTGAAAATCCAGAAAATAACAACCTGAAGGTCAGTTCTTACATTGAAAATCCAGAAAATAACAACCTGAAGGTCATTTCCTACACTGAAAAAAAAGTAACCTGTAGGTCAATTCTTACACTGATTTTCCAAAAAATAAAACTTATAAATGAATTTAGAAAGTCTTCACTGGCTTATATTAGTGTTACATGTACTAGGATTATAAATACATTTTGGATAGTCTTAACTAGTTTTACACCAATGTTAGATTTACTATCTGTTGATTTAGCTGCACAGTGTACATTTATATTTTAATTTTGCAGAAATCTTGTAAATGCCTTCTTGATCATCACTCAGTATGGCTTTTGTTGTGTTTACACAGTGTTTGTTGCTCAAAACATAAAACAAGTGAGTTTAAATTCATTTTTTCAATTGTATAATATAAATTATCAAGTAGAAATTATTGAACTATTTACTGTCAGTATGGACTGCTGGTGTGAACCTTTGATTTAGCCCACCTATTGCTGTTATTATATAAATTATGCATAGATTTGTGAGTAAAGGTAAAAAATACCACCAAAGGAAAATACTGTTACCTGGGGCATCATTTATTTTATTACCCTCAACAAATACTTCACTTGGACACTGTTTCTATAGGTTTTTATTTTTCAAATTTGTACTGTGAAAAATTACTGTTACCTTTGTAACAGTACAAAATTTTTAGTCACATGGTACACATGAATTAACAGTAGGACGACACCTATTGGTCTATGGGAAATTAATGTTACTAAAATAGTGAGGGGTAATTACAGTTAAGCTGCTTCTGGTTGGGTCATAGTGTTTAGATATTCCTGTTTTACACAATATTTGTTTTATATTTTACAAAAAAATACATACAGTTGCAAGCAAAGTTACATCTTAGTATAAAAAAGGAGGGAGAAAAAGATGAAAAGGAAAATAAATGTCTTTGGTCTTAATTTTTTCAAACTTTACTCGTTAATTCTAATGTAAATGAATTTTCCTTACATATAGATAGGACATTGATTAATTATGTTAAAAAGTTGCTCATTGGCTTAAGAAATTTTGACAATGCATTACCACTTCTTTGCATATTCTGCAGTTACATATTTACATAATTTATAAGCAGAATAAAAACTGTATCATAGAATTAATTTAGAATTAGCATGATCTTAGAATATGATAGCAGAAACATTTTTAAGCAAAGAAAAAAATGGTGGTTCACTGTGCTTGTGAGGCTAGTGTATGGTCCATTTCATTGTTGCCCCTTCTACTAAAGCTGAGTTATGTAACTTTGATTCTGAGAGATAAATTGCAGATAACACAGCGAAGTGAGTGTATTTCTTAAAATATCTTGGCCACAAACTTAATACTTCTCTGACATGCTTCAACCATACTGTATGCTTATAAGCTACAGATTAAATCCTTGAACATTTTAAGTGTTTGTAAAGTATGTGGTTCAGACATTGAGAGGGAGAAACACTCAGTTTGCTATCATCCCTGCACTTTACTGTACATTGATAAAAGAAATATAATAAACTATCTACACAGTTAACAAACAAACAAAAAATACATTTAGTTTTCAACGTTACAAGCGTGAGAGTTGTCCTCTTCTTTTAGATTTCTGACATCTAAATGCTTGCCCCCACTGTTGTGAATTTGAATCTTGCATGAAACTCTTTTTGTTGTTGTTATTTTTCATTGGTGAAAATTGTATACCACGCACACTGAAGTTTGATGGTTCTACTTAGGTGCCGTTATGTGCCTGAATTAATTCATGGAGGGACTTTAGATGTCCAACAGTTTAGTTGACCTATATAACATACCCATGGTTTAAAGGAAATTTAATTTGTGATTTAAATATGCCATATTACCATTGCAGGTTGCTGAGTATAAAGATACTCAATCACTACATGCACTAGATCCGAAGATATACATCATCATCGTATCAGCATTCCTTATACCATATGTGATGGTGAAAAGTTTGAAAGCTCTTGCACCATTCTCGACCTTCGCTAACTTGCTCAACTTTGTAGGACTAACATTGATCATTGTCAACTTACTACAGGGACTTCATGATATAAAAGAACGGGCTTCTGTTGGAGAACTGAAAACAATTCCCTTGTTCTTCGGTCAGGCAATATTTGCATTTGAAGGAATAGGACTGGTAAGAAACTTTATTTCTACGAAATGTCAATAAAAATGCACAGCATGCCACATCATTGAAGAAACTTATTTACTGACCTCAAAGAAACTCCCATTTTAGTTTATTGTTTATCTGATAGACTAGACATTATGATCTAATTATAGAACAATCATGATATTTGGTCCGTTTTCAATTATAATTTTTTGACACATAATGTATTAAACATGTATAATGGGAATTGAACAAAATTGTACAAAATGTATATACTAGCAATAAATTAAAGACTATTAATATTCATAATACTGTGAAGTTCATGGCCATAAACTTTGACCACTAATAAACTAACAACTGCCTGTAGGGAAGATTAAATTTATACTGGCCAGTTGTTAATTACAGTGTATGACACCTTCACCCAGGAAGCCACAGGGGGTAAACAATTAATCTTTTAATTGTTCAAAATTATTGCCGATAATTGTTTGTTGGAAGGGGCACATAGATATACCAATCAAAGGATTAATTAGCGTCACCATTGCAATGCTGTAAGGGGATAATCATTCATTATAAGCTTTCTAGACTAGTTTATAAAATTTTGACAATAAAATTATATAAAAAAGTAAAATTTCTTGCTTCAAAGTAGATTATTTTAGTTTGTTTTTTTTCCGTGACATAAATCATCTCCGGGACAGACACCTTATTTCCAGGACTTTCCCATACATACGGGACAGTATGGCGTGTATGATTATACCATAAGTTCCTACATATGCAACAATTTAGTGGTTTTGCACTTATTTTCAAAATTTTGACAAAATGAATTATTGAATTTATGTTTGTTTTATTTTAGGTCCTTCCATTACACAATAAGATGGCAGACAAACCAGCATTTCTGGGAAAAGCTGGAGTATTGAATCTAGGGCTAACAATAACAATTGCACTATATAATGCTGTGGGTTTCTATGGTTACCTGAAGTTTGGAGATGAAACAAGAGGCAGTGTAACCTTAAATTTACCCAATGATGATTGGTAAAGTTTCTTTTCTCCTCAAAACAAATTGAATAGGTTTCATAATTTTGAAGTGAAGCAATAGAAATAAGTTTATTAATAAATATAATAGAAAATTGTTAGCATCTTCTGTTAAGTATCTCCTCTATAAAATGTGACGTCTGTGGTCAGTATGGTCAAGGTTGTTGACTCACTTGCCCGTTACCACTATGGGTAAGAATACCACCAGGGACTTTGTATTCTTTCATGTGAGGAAGCTATTTAGCTGGCTTATAGAACATTGGTAGTTCTACTTTGGTGCTGACTTGTGCCTGAAATAATGCATGGAGGGGCACCGTACAGTTTCCTTAACCAGTATACCTGAAAAATTACTGTATGACCTTTGACATAAAACCCAACAAAACAAACTTCAAAATCTAAAAAAAATTTAAAAAGTATGAATTTAATTTTTGCCTTTTATACTACTTATAAAGGCTTGACACATGTGTGTAAATTTATTAGTGCTTAGTGAATTTCTGTTGGGCATTTCTCAGTTCTGTGAAATTTAGAGCTAACAGTAACTGGAATATTATTGTGCTTAAAGTATACTGCAAATTAGAAGTCTAGTATTATGTTGCTTCTTCAACCTGATAAAGAAGGAACTCCACTGAGGTCCAAAGACTAAATACACAAAATTTGAAAATTCTAAACAATGTTTTCATACATTTCAGGTTGTATTTATCAGTGAAGCTGATGTTTGCAGTATCATTGTTTATCTCTTACGGTCTACAGTTCTATGTACCTATCAACATTATATGGCCATTTATATTGGAGAAAGCGGAACAAAGAGGAAAAGAAGTGCCAAAAATTGCTGAATATTTTTTTCGAATCGGTTTAGTTGTTTTCACATGTAAGTGTTTAAAAAAAAAATTGATTTTACTTTCATAGATTTTACTTTCTATATTTTAAGCAAGAATTTGTAAATTTTGCTTTTAATTTTGTAAAACCTTATTGATTGGTAAATGGCTAAACTTATAAATTTAGTACATTTACAATTGCAGGATTGTCAATAAGATTTCAAGATACAAAATGTATTTTGTGAAAAAATGTGTGTAATAGTTTACAGAAAAATTGAGCGTGTGACAATGTTTGAAAAGCAAATTTATAACCCAGTTGATATTGTACATTTTCAGTTTCATAAAATCATTTAAATATTGTTCATTGGGCAATTCTAAGACCTTTTTTAGGTTTTAAATTTTGACTTGACAATTTTTTTGTTTAATGTTAAATTAGTTGTATTTAAACCTTGGAGCATTTTTAGAAGAGTAAATGTATTAAAGTGGGACAAGACTTGACTGGTAAAAAAATATTCAAAAATCTGAAAAGTTTATTCTGAATATGTACAGTGTATAATAATGATGCCATAAACTTTTTATTGCTTATATTATAGCATAATATTATAGTAATAGTGTATGAATATTTTCACAATGATATCTAGTTAAGAAATCAGTATTAAATTTGAGCTGTAATTTTTTTTATCAACAGTAAATAATCACAGTACTTATAAATACTCAATAGTACTTAAATTCTTCTTTAGCACTTAAATACTTCTCTAGCACTGCAACAAATTAAGTTCAGTACTCAAAACTTATAAGTACATGTACTCCAAAATACTAGATACATAAATACTTGAACTCATAACTTGACCTATGCGACAGGAGAAGGTGAGTCTCTTCATGAAATTTAAGTGCTAAACCAATAATAAAAAATGCTCATATAGGGCTTTAGACTTGAGCCTATGTGGCAAACTACATTCTCAATTACTGTTTCTATTTTTAAATGTTCCTTTTCACCCCTTGAATATGATTTTATGTATAAAGAAATCCTGTTTTATTTTTGTAAATTTATAAAAAGGAATAAACGCTATTGACCCTTGATGTGTGACTAACTTTGACTTGTTTAAAAGTTTATTGTTCTTAGACCTTTGACCTTTATTCCATCAAGACAAAAGGTTTAAAGTACATTTCTTTCATAGAAGTTGAATAACATCTCATATTTTATCTTCTTAACATTTACTTATAAAACAAACTTTGTTTCTTAACATTTAAAACATTTTAAAGCGCAATGAACATGAGAAATAAAAGTAAATAATTACATATAAAAAAGAGGATCAAACACTGTCTGTCTACTAGTACAGACTGGTATATTTGGCTTCTAGGTAACTGCAGAGCTTGTTACTGCTTTAATCAGTTGCCATCAACCCAGATATTCACATCTGTACCAGCTTCTAATATGATGTTCTTCTAATCTTTCATTTGAACATTCTGTAAAGCTAACTTGTCTTGATATTCTTTTCTTCATCATGAAAACTTAAAAAGCAGTGTTATATAAACCTAACTACTGACATTTGGACTATACATCCTCCTAATTAACAAATGATGAAACATAAATCTATGTATCTAGCTGTTTGACATGTAGCCTATTATAATGATTATAATCATTATTCTTGTTTAATTTTCATTTCAGGTGGATTATCTGCTCTTGTACCACATCTTGATCTTCTGATATCACTTATAGGAGCATTTGCCAGCTCATTCCTGGCTCTGATTCTTCCAGCAGTCATAGATCTGGTCACATTTCCAGCCAATAAACTTATATGTTTTAAAAACTGGTTCATTATAGTGATGGGCCTGGTTGGATTTGCCACAGGCACTTATTCCTCACTTGTTGAAATAGCTAAAACATTTTAATCTTTTACCTGCTCTGATTTTAGTTATAACGGACTTCTACTACTTTGATTTTGCCGCGCAATTTGTGTTGCTAATGTTGAAGGACATTCCAATATTGAAACCATACGCTTTGTGTAATGTGGTGACGAACCAGTTGTAAAATATTCAGGGATATTATGATCTTATTCACCGAAACAAGCAACTATTTGTCATATATCCAGAGTCTAATAAGATTACACTGTTATATAAACTTGCCAGATTCTGTACCAGGTAGCATATTGATCTTGCTAATATTGTTGTTACTGCTTAAGATCTCGCTTGTATTCCATTTCATATGTACTTTATAATGCTGAATAACTTTATTATTGCTGTGCTAAGGTTTACATATCTTTCTTAGACTAGATATGAATATTTTACCATATGTTGACCATGAAAATTGTTTTAGTTTATAACATTATATATTGTGTATGTTATTGCATGTTATCTATTTTATGCCACACTTTTATATTTTTATATAGTAGAGTTATTTTTACCCATGTCTTATGTAAGATATCTAAGGAGACTCCACTGCCTTGTCGAGACTGAAAATATTTTTCCGAGATTTGTGTACCATTTGATGATGGTCTGAACCAATAACTTGTGTGCTAAATTTCAGGTCATTCCCTTACCCTGTGTTTCCACAATAATCATTTTAATTGCGCAAATTGACCCAAACATTGAAAGCGTTGCAACTCTTTTCACTCCAATTTTGCTAAAAGTCTTGCAAAAAAAACTTGATGTTCAATTTAATTCTTATTATATTTCTTTGTTCTCCTTAGCATAAATTTCCATTTTAAGTGCTTCATTTGATATTTTTCAGATTTTCAAATTTTTTGTTGTTAGGCCTTTTGACCTCAGTGGAGTTCCTTTAAATTAACAAAGTAATGTTTTAGAGCTATAGGTGTGTGGAGAATGACACTTTTATTTAGCTTGACTGTAACTGGTAAAATGTCTGTGATATAAAATTATTTTAGTGATAACGTTATCATGCCTATACTGTAGCAATTAATTTGAATTTGTGAATGAGTCATTTTTGTTTTACTTTAAATTTGCTTTTTGTTTAGAATGATTTATATAAAAACTGGACAATATTTATAAAGCTGTATTAAAAGTTGTTAGATAACGATGATTACTTTGCACATGACATGTAGAAAGTTGATATTTTCCTAACTGATAAAATAGGTAAAAATTCCCAATTAAACCTTGAAAATGTGAATCTTAATCTTATCCCAATTAGCTAGACTATATGCTTGCTTATGAAAACCACAATCTTTTATGCTTATTTTCATCAGGCTAAAACTAATTGTTTTAAAATGTTTTGTTAAAATTTCCCAATTTAACTGGTTACTTAATGATATTTTCCAAATTTTGAAGGTACATGCATTTTAGAGAAAAAGAAAGTAAAAAAAAAATCACTTGATGTACAAGTTTAAATTCTTCTTTACACATCTTTTACGTTATTGTTGATGAGCGTATATGAACATGACTTCTATGTTGCAATTTGTCTTTACACTTTCTTTGCTTGACAAATGTTTACACTTATATTAAATTGTATAGTTGTTACATATTGAATATATTTCACCATATAAATTCCTTGTATATTATTTATATTATCTTAAATACTGCATGACATGTTAAAAACTTACAGTGTTACTAGTAATTGTTATTTGAGCCGTGCCATGACAAAACCAACATAATGGGTTTGCGACCAGCATGGATCCAGACCAGCCTGCGCATCCGCGCAGTCTGATCAGGATCCATACTGTTCGCTATCAGTGTCTCTACTTGTTATAGGGTTTGTGAGCGAAAAGCATGGATCCTGATCAGTCTGCGCGGATGCGCAGCTCATTTATAGAGATATAAGAAATATACATTCTTCATCAGTTGTTATATTTTAAGCTCCCCAAAAGGTGAGCATAATATACACCACCTTGTTAATCAGTAGGTCACACAGGTCACTGTCCTCAAGGTCACCTTTGCAGAAAATAAATTATACAGTAAAAACTCGCTAATGAGACCAATGAAGGGACTTTACAAATCTGGTCTTAATAGCGGGTTGGTCTCATTAATGAGTTTGGTCAAACAGAAAATCAGGCAATATATGTACTTACTTACACAGCCTTTATTTATTGACCGATTTGCATAGAAATACCTTGACAAATTTGCAGTATTTTGAAGCATCTGTCAGCTTTAGTGATATTCTTTTTGTTATATAATATACCAAACTGTGATATCTTGATTCTGATATTTTATGGGTAAATGTAGATTGTTTGATATGGACATTTATTCTGATATTAATTTGCATACATTTTCTTTTATGATTCAACAAAGTAACACATTTGAGCCGCGTCATGACAAAACCAACGTAATGCATTTGCGACCAGCATGGATCCAGACCAGCCTGCGCATCCGCGCCGTCTGATCAGGATCCATGCTGTTCGCTTACCAACTCTTTTACAAGTAGAGAAACTGATAGCGAACAGCATGGATCCTGATCAGACTGCGCGGATGGCAGGCTGGTCTGGATCCATGCTGGTCGCAAACGCACTATGTTGGTTTTGTCGTGACGCGTCTCAAATGTTAAATACATTTCGATGAATTCCACATATCAATTCTTTCAACTTGACATATTGACCTTTGGTATCTGCTTAAATTTAGACATGTAAATATTATGTTATGACATGTTTGGCTGTTAATAACTTTTATTAAGATCAACTTTCTGGAGAATCTCATTGATAGGCGGAAGTGAAAATGCTATTTAAAGCAAAAATGCTATTATATGGGTTTTTGCACCTAAAAATAGGTACATTTTATTTGTGTAGATACCTGAAATACTGCTCAAATGAATTCATACCACACTTTTCTACCTTTCAATATATTTGATTTACCTTTTATGCAAGCTTGTCATTATGTTTCTCTTAGTTTTAACATGGTCTTTTGTAGCTCACCTTAGCACAAGGTGCTGAAAGTGATCACCTTTTTTCTGTTATTATAACTCCACACTTTGTTTGGTGTTGAAGATACTATTTGTATCCCTGTAAGTAGTTAGTATTGTCAAATAATCTCTTTCAGTATAGAGATTATTTAGAGCATTTTTAAGAATATATATTAAAAATTGCCATTATATGTAAACATTCTTTAATTATCATTGATATTTTTTGCGTTTTACTAGGTAACAATGATATTTTAGTAGTTTATATGAAGCATTCAATGATAAATTAAAGATTAAACTGTTGATATTACTTTTTGTTTTCATCTGTCTTGGTTCCTGACAACAGGTCCATTAACATGATGTCTGGCATTTGGTGCTGACATCTATCCCCCTTTAGGTTGAGGGGTTGACTTAAGGGTTTGAGACATCGGAATTGCAGTCTACATTTATCCCATCGTGGTCATAACAGGTGACTTAGAGGTAAATATACTAAGCAATTTGTTTGAAGATAAGCCTAGTTATTTCCGTTATAAAGCAAAAATATATCGCACTTTAGACATGACGCGTATATTTTTATGCCCCACCCCAGGCATATTAAAATCGCGCCGTCTGTCCGTCCGTCTGTGCGTCCCGCTTCATTATTGTCCGGTCTGTAACTTTGTCATACATTGAGGGATTTTGAAATAACTTGGCACAAATGTCTACCACACCAAGACGACGTGTCGCGTCCAAGTAACACGTCCCTCGCTCAAAGGTCAAGGTCACACTATCATTTTGAAGTTTCACATTGTCGCAATAAGAGTAAAATGGTAAATGGTGTCGGGACTATAACTTTGTCATGCATCGACTGATTTTAAAATTACTAGGCATAAATGTCTACAACATCATGACAACATGAAGTTTACAACATCAAGACGATGTGTCGCGTCTAAGAATTACTTCCCTACCTCAAAGATCAAGGTCACAATAACATTTTGAAGTTTCACATTATCAGAATTAAAATTAATAGGTACACACAATTATGTCCGGACTGTAATTTTGTCATGCATTGAAGAATTTTAGAATAACATTGGCATAAATGGACGTACGTCAGGGCGGACCGTGGGACAGGACGGACCGTACCAGGCGGACCGTATGTTTGGACGGGGCGGACCATATATTGGGACAGGGCGGACCGTGACTCGAGACGAGGAGGACCATGCATATTTTCAAATTAAACATTGCTATTTAATTTTCTATATATATTTCGGCATCATTATCCTAAGGATTCCTCATCCTAAACATGTCGTATATGAGTCATTCTATATTTTCGTAGCATTTTCTGTCCTACGGCCAAAACTTTGTATATTTAAGATATTTTACTGAAAATGCAAATGGACACGAAATGTGTAGCTGAAATCTCATATTTTCAACAGTTTCCAGTTCTTTAACGGTTATATAAACCCTTGAAAAAAATATCAGAAGTGCCAATTAGTGCTGTCCGTATACAAAAATAATAGCATTTGTGAAAATGTTACAAATCTATTGACAATTTAAATGTCAAAAACATACCCTTTTTGCATTATCTTATGTTTAAGCCAGTCAACTATGATGTAAAACGCACATTTACAACAGTTTTTGTATTATTTTTTAAAATTTGAAATCTGTCCCTAAAGTTTATGTCACTCCTGTAACATAGTCATGATCAGTAAAAGTAATAACTGATCCCTAGCTATTAAGAATAAAACAAAGCCTCTAATATAAAGAGAAGTATCTAAATAGTAACACACGAGGTGCCACAGGGGATTGTCTCGTTTGTATATTTTGGAAAATGCATACTTCTGTACGCAAGTAAATGTGTAATTTTTATTCCCGTCACTCCTGTAACGAGTAGTATGTTTTAATTGTCAGTACTGTGCATTAACAGTCCCACTGAGAATTTTGTAAAATATGTGGTAAAAGTCATTAAGAACGATTCACATCTATAAGGGATACACTTGTTATTACTTTTACTGAGATTTACATTGAATATGTCACTCATGTAACAGTCACTTCTGTTACAACTAATTTTGTAACAGTACGTAGTGACCAAATAAGTTACAGTAAATATATATAAAATAAACATCAGTTGATTAAAAAGTGTATTTTGTAGAAAAGTCCTTGAAATTTACTGTACAAACCTATTAAAATCTATAGATTATACATTAGAAATAATGGTTTACTTTTTAAATCATATGATATAAATGATACCCATTTTGCATAATATATGTTACGGAAGACGGACAAAACCCCACCAGTTAAAACCCCACCACTCAAAATTTTATAGAGTGAACAAAACCCCACCACTAAATTTTATAGAGTGGACAAAACCCCACCACTAAATTTTACAGAGTGGACAAAACCCCACCACTTACCAATTATTGGGCAAGATTTGATGAATTAAAATATATATAATATACAGTACACATTTTCACATTTTATTTTTTAATTTCAATATAACATTTGTGTAATACTGGTATAAGAGATTATACAAATAATTTACAAACTGTTAAATCAACATCAAAGAGTAGTCATTTATTTGAGACTGTGTCACATTTATGACCTTGAATTATCCATTATTTTAAGTTTCTTCAAATTCATGTCTTCAATTTATTTATATAAAAAATAAACTACTTACTATTAATCAAGAATGTAGCACATTTTCATCAATTAATGATTAGAAAATAGCACATTTTAATAGCACATTTCTAATTTATTCAGTTCAGACAATTTTCCTTCATTGTACTTCATTGTACTTAGTTTAAGTGGATACTGTGGCTGATAGCCTGAAGAAACTCGGGTACAGTTGTCTCCTTATTGATGAGTTGTTCACACATTCTTTTGAGTTTCATCTGCTGCACAATTGTTTGTTTTTTAACATGTTTACAAGAAAGTTTTGTCCACTCTATAAAACTGAAGTGGTGGGGTTTTGTCCACTCTATAAAATTAAGTGGTGGGGTTTTGTCCACTCTATAAAATTTAGTGTTGGGGTTTTGTCCACTCTATAAAATTTTGAGTGGTGGGGTTTTGTCCACTCTATAAAATTAAGTGGTGGGGTTTTGTCCACTCTATAAAATTTAGTGTTGGGGTTTTGTCCACTCTATAAAATTTTGAGTGGTGGGGTTTTAACTGGTGGGGTTTTGTCCTACATTCATATGTTACAGTAGTGATAAAATGCGTTACAGTAATTATTTATGTTATAATTATTATACCTTATCATAAGAAGAGGCCAAAATTGACCATATCCATTGTATGTAAACTATCTAAGTACTAATTTATTGATTAATCACGCCCCTACCTCAAAAGTCAAGGTCACACTAACATTTTTAAGTGTCACTTTATCACAGGTACACACATTTGTGTCCGGACCGAACTTTGTCATGCATGGAAGGATTTTAGAATAACTTGGCATTAGTGTCTACCACATCAAGACGACGTGTCGCGTCCAATAATCACGTACCTACCTCAAAGGTCGTCACACTGCCATTTTGAAGTTCACTTTACTTTATCACAATTAGAGTTTATATGTACACACATTCGTGTCCGGACTGTAACTTTGTTATGCATCAAAGGATTTTAAAACAACTTGGCATAAATGTCTACCGCATCAAGAAGACGACATGTCGCGACTTAGACCCATGTCCCTTACCTTCAAGTCCATGGTCACACTTACTGTTTGAAGAAGAGTGTGAAGATATACTTTCTTGCCCGGACTGTCACTTTGTCATACATGGAAGGATTTTAAAATTACTTGACACAAATGTCTACCACATCAAGACAATGTGTTGCGATTAAGGCTCATGTCCGTCCGTGTGTCCCCATAAAATTACACAACAATCATGTCCAGACTGTAACTTTGTCATGCATTGAGGGATTTTGAAATAACTTGGTACAGATGTCTATCTCTTAACAACATTATGTCGCGTCCAGGAACCAGCCCCTTTTTCAAAGGTCAACATCACTCTTATATTTTGAAGGTTCACGCTATCACAATTAGAGATTACAGGTACAATAATACAAAGAACAATATTAAGCAAGTAGTTACTTTCATTCTCTTTTCTTTTCATAATACCTGCATGCTTAAGAAACCTTTTCGGGGGCATTCGTCACTTGGGTGACAACTCTTGTTTAAAAGAATATCTGCTAGAGAGATGAAACTGTCGCATAATTATGCCATTTACGTGTCTTGGTAATATAATAATAGTAAATGTACAGAATTCTTTTGACAATACAGCCGACTTTGGGGACATCCGTGTCCTTTGGACACATTTCTTGTTTATGAATAAGTATTTTTTGCCGTCAATCACTTGCCACTTACATTAGATTTGAATTCAGCGAAGACAGTCGTCAGGTTAGCTTCTTAATTGTCAGAAACTACATGAAACCTAAAATACTCTCCTATTGTTAGAGATTCAACGTATCACATATATGATTCACCTTATGATATAAATAAAAAATGTGACATCAGTCCTAATCATGTTGACAATGTTATCTGTTGACTATATAGATTACATGTAAGGGAATTGTTATATTGTAATTTACTCATGCGATAGGATGTAACTAGTTTATGTTGCTGTCAGTTTTAAAGTTGTACGGAATCAAGGAAGTTATGGAAGATAACACTACTTGTCACATTGGTATGATTAGTTTATTGTTAAGATATTGTAACAAATGAATATCTAATAATGTAACTAATAATGTTAATGTTATATACTTTATGTAATATACAGCTTGTAATTGGAATATGATTACTACAATGTAGCGTTGATCTTTTGCTATGCAATGTTCATTCGAAACAGTCTTCTCAAAGTTAAATATTCAAGTAGATATGAAATATTGGTATTACTAGCGGTGGTAATTTGACAATACAAAAAAAAAAAAATAAAAAATATAAATAAATAAACCACTTCAAGAATTTCTTTACTTTGTTAAAAACGGTTATATAACTTACCATGCAGGATGTCTATAAACAAAAACTAGTCAGTTCCTTAATACTCCATAATTACAATACCTCTTATGCACCTCTAATGCATTTATAATTCAAACAAAACTTATCATGAAGTAAACTGAGTCCTATGTTATTCTCCAAGAACAATTTGTCATAGTTCAACATGTATGTCAAACAACTGAATAAACTTTGCGCACTTTGTCAGTTTTTAACAGATTAGAGCTGATATACTATTTATAGGTTATCATTTAATACTGCACCCTTGAATATAAGTTAACATCTATTGTAAACATATAATTGAATAATAACAAAGTTGAATCAGAGATAGAGGATAATATCAAATAATTACATGTTAGACAAGTGAAATTATCATATAGATAATGACATACATAACTTCATGACATTATTTAATTACTTTTAGTCATTTACTTTAAATATTCCACATCAGAGGCCCGTTTCATAAACGTATATTTCCGCTCAAGATTTGCATAAAGAATACTTACGAAAAACTTACGAAATGTTATTAAAACGGGCCCTAGTAACTTTGCTTATTTTAAGAAAGAGAGAGAGAAAAAATAATTAAAAACGTGTAACGACTGTGCCACTACAACTATTGCTTAGCTTCTCAAAGTTCCAATGTTACCTAATTGGCCGGTTTGATCTTATACCAATATACAATTTTCTTTGTTTTAAATACATATAAGAATTTTTGATATCATATATTTTTTATTAAAATATTGAAAATAATTCTTTCAGATTTCTTGCAAATTAAGGTAGAATATCCATGTAAATTAAAGACATATATCTAAACTATGGCAACCAAACATGTAAGATTTGAAGATCCTAGTACAAATGTAACAATGTCAACAGATGTTCAATTAGCCCCACATGTACAGGACATATCGGATCAAGATCAGGATAAGTTAAAAACGACGTAGGTAACATATTTATATTATTATAATTATTGTAGTTACCATAATTATTAATTCATTATTATAAATTCATTGTTATTATCTATGATTTTATTATTATTATATTTATTATTTTTATTATTATTATTATATTATTATTTCACTGGAATATTTATCTTTTTATTTAAGTTGTGTGTATTCATTTTCATACGAAAGAAAAACGGCCATTCAGTCGCATAAAGTTTTAGGTAAATTGTTTAAATAGACATATTTTCTTACACTCCCAGATAAACTATTAGAATTCCAACCAAGCATTGTAGGAGCACATTTGTCTCGCAGCACATTTGTCTTACGTAAGACCAATGCGGTCGCATTTGTCCTACATGAGGCAAATGGGACCTCAAATGTCTACCCCAAAAAACTCATTTGTGTGACAAATGTGCTCCGATCAAGTTTTTTAAGGGACAAGAAAGCACATTTGTCTCATGTGTTTTTAAGGGACAAGAAAGCACATTTGTCTCATGTCATTTTTATGAATTATTTGTCACATTATTCCCAAGGCAGAAATTCTTTTTTAGAATCGAGGTTCGCCGTTTTACGTCATGTCAAGTGTAATCATCAATAGGTTTGCTTATGCTTTCTTTATGAAAACCTAAAGACAACTATTAATCATAATATCTTTAATTCAAGTAATTGATTGGCTTAACCTGAAAGCGTACACTGAAACAAACTAAATCCCGTTCACGATGGTACAATGGTGACAGCGCGGTGGCACGATGTTACGTTGATGAAAACGCGATGGTGCGATGGTGAAAACATAATGGTACGAACGTGAAACAACGACTGTACGATGGTGAAACAACGATTGTACGATGGTGAAACAACGAAGGTTCGATGATGAAAACGTGATGATACTATGGTGAAAGACGATGTTTACGATGGCGAAAATACGATAGTACGATATGATGAAACTGCGATGGCATGATGATGAAAACGCGATATTATTTTCTCTATCGTGTCATCGCATCATCGTGACTTCACCATCGTGTTTTATTCATCGTACCATCTCAATTTCACCTTTGTACCATTGCGCATAGCTGTTCAGGGAGTCAAAAATGTTACTTTTGTCCAAACGGAACACCGTAATCGGTTGATATTGAATGATACAATATCGTGACTCGTTTCGCATCTCGCCGAAATCTCGCGTCTCGCTTCGCATCTCATTCGTCGACGCGAGACAAGAAATTGATTCCAGGTCATATACCGCTAAGTAGTATTCCCTTTATAGTCTACATAAAATCACTTAAAGGCCCATTATGCCTGAGAAATGCTTTCATTTGTATTCCTTAAAAGCTTTGTATTTTTGGTATACTTTTATAGCTCCAAAAAAGTAATCATTGACTAATTACCTAAAGCATTTTTCACCTGCTGCTTTTTTGCAGTTTGTACAGTTGAAGTGATTTAGAATTTTGTATTGAAGTCAAAATACTACATTGTTTACATTTTGCTACTTTTATGCCGCATTATTTCACATGTTTCGCGAATTTCTTTAGATTACAAGCATCTAACCCCTCAGAAAACATTATTTATATATCAATTAATTCACACTTGCTCTATCTAAAGAAGAAATTTTTATTTATTTCTGAAATCTCGTGGTACGGGATACTTCGACATTGCGAGATCTCGTGTTACAATATCGTGCCTCGCTTCGTGTCTCATCGGCGCACAATTCTGAGTGGTCCGATATTCCATAATTATGGCATTACCCGGGTTATTTTAGGAACTCGTACATGTTGTAAGTGCTTTTTCAATAGCGGATCTGAAAGCCGCAATTCTTGGAAAATGACGATTTTTACATACATATATTTCTGATGAAAACAAATTACGTGTGTAATGGTCTTCTTATTTTCTTCCATAGATCATTTAAGGGCCTCCGTGGCCGATTGATTAAAAAAAAAACACTTGTCCCTAACCGCTGTAGGTTCGACATATACACGGGGCATCGAACTATTCATCGAACTTTGCGAGGATCCCGGTCAGTGTCCAAATGCGGAATACATATCCGCGTGCGCACGTCATAGCTATCGCGTGCGCACGTAATAGTATCGCGTGGCCACGTAAAAGCTATCGTGTGCGCACGTAATAAATAAGAAAATTGTATGTCCCCTTTATGCCACCGTAGATACTACCTTGTTTTTGCTAAGAATATTTCTAGTGCCATAAATCATTTATAAAACTTTAAGCATTGAAAATAAACGTATCACAATTGATAACGATAAGAATAGACTTGCTGCATATGTGTTTAGGTTCTGGATGCTGCACTTGTAGAAATTTTCATTGTGACATGCAGAACAGGGATATTCTTTAATTTAATATATGACTCCTATGCAGAGGCAGGAAGTTTTTGACTGACCGGAAGTGACCTAAAAACGGTTTTATAAATACAGAAAACACAGAACAATGGCTGGTTGCCGGTAAACGGACGGGCATAATTATTACCTTTTAAGAATTTTATGGAAAAATGTGAGACAAATGTGCTTCGAGTGTCCTTTCTTTTGTGTGTCGAACACATCTGTCTCATTTCCTATTTGTCGCAAATATGAATGTTTACGAACACATCGGTCACACTTCGTGAGACAAATATGCTCCGAGACAAATGTGCTCCTACAAAGCATTGCAAGTCATGAATTTTATAAAGTAAAATTAAAAGACGTATTTTCATGGCAACCACAGAATATAAGTGAATTGGTTTAACATATTACAGAAATACAGAATGTCTCATGCATCTTCTCAAGGGAATGTTAGGAACGGGCATTCTAGCAATGCCCGTAGCTTTCAAAAATGGAGGTATTTGGGTAGGTAGGTTGTTGTTACTCCTAAGTTTAAAAAGTTAGTTATGATAAATTGGTTGCTACTTTTGTTTGGAGTTCTTATGTTCTTTAGTGAAGATGTGATATTTATCAGTATGAAAGTGCTCTAAATTTCGTCTAAATAACAGGCCATTCGTCTACAGATGTAAATTTTTACGAATAGCAGTTTCTTGTTTGCTTTTAAAAAAAACGATTTAATAGTAGACTTTGCCGGGTAAATGAAACTTCACTTATCATTGTGTACACTGGAATGAAAGTATATAACTACCAAATTCATATTGTACCGCTGCGGTTCGTAGTTACCGGATATGCATGATGAAGGAGGGGGAGGAATATGTCAATTTTAACTGTAGAATACATATTCAAACCAGGGAATATAATTATTTTCTGCGACAACAGTTGTGTTATGAAGTCCAAAATATGATGTATGCATCATTCACATCGACTATTATTTTTTTAAGATCTTATACTGATTTTATCATTAGAGCGGGAATTATTGTTATAATTTCAGCTGAGTATTACCGTGGTACTGGTTATAGGCTTCATTTGTACACATTGTATGCATCTCCTTGTTCTATCTGGGAATAAATTGTCTGACAGGTAATTCTTGTTTTATCGAGACTTCTTCCTGTTGAACTTACGAGCTTAATGGGTAACAAAGGTTATTTAGCAAACAGAGCTAGGCTGCTAAACTACTATATATACCATTAGTTTTAAAATCTTAAATTTTATTGTACTGTTCGAAAATTACACCTGATTATCATTTTGATTTTCAAAATACTATCTATTCTCAAACAAATGATTATAGAATTGATATCTAGCACATATAAAATTATTCAATATTTAAAATTATTATATGTTGTTTATTCTAGTATTAAAAGCAACAAAAAGCAAGTGGACTACGCGAGTGTTATGGAGGCTGCAATACTCGTAAAATATGAAAAATGGGGAAATTTTGCCAGGTAAAAAAATACAAAAGAACCAGTACTTTCATTACGAATATAAACTTGTGTACACTTATTTACAATAATTACTTTGATCAAAATATGATTATTTTTCATTTCACTTGCAAAAGGTGCACATAACGCTTCATACTGCTTGGCTATACTTTCACTATTTTCTATAATTTATAATTTCAAAACTATAGAAAAGTATCATTCATTGTGGACATGTTCGCTTGTAACTGTATCATGACGATATCTACACAAAAAGTAACAAACAAAAAAGTCAGTTTCATAGCACTTGGTCTTAAAATCTGAAACAGGATTTATATCAAAGAAATTACATTGACTATTATAAATAGCCAAGTTAATATAAAATATTTAGTTGGATATAAATATATTTTTCACTTACGATGATAATGAAAAAATCAAAGTCTAAACAGTAATAATAATATAATTTCATACATTCGGAACGTATTAGTTAAAAATGTAAAGCCATAAACAAGTTAGCGTAATATTTTCTATAAATATAACATTTTTGCTATTGCTATGTTTTCATTATGTTTATTCGCAGGAACATGGTCAACATGTTTTTGATCATCACGCAGATTGGATTCTGCTGTGTATATGCTGTGTTTGTAGCCGAAAATGTGAAACAGGTGAAGTGTTTGCTTATATCGTTTAAGCATGAATCTTTTTACTTTACGGTATATACAACCTAGAATCGACAGTTTTACCTTTTTGTATATATAAACATCTTGTATTACTAACTCCTGATCTTGTCTTGTGCATATATCTGCAAGGAATGACAATCTTCAATTAGATTTACTGGACATTAAAACTATTTGTCGCTTAGTAGCTAAGGTGTCTGCCTCTCAACCCAGGGATAATTGGTTCTAGCCCTAAACGGGTCACGACCATGTATCTTCATATGGCACCAGTACTGGTTGGCTCCAGGAAGTGGACTTGAAAGTGATAAATATAAGTTGCAAGAAAGTGTTTTGCAATCGAGCTAAAATAAATATGTTAAAACCAAGAAAATGTTAGATGGAGGGGATATTTCATGCAAGTCAAGTCGTAAATCTATCAAACAACTTTCATAGAATTTTATCTTGCTCATGCTAACATGGCCTTATGTTGTTTCTTCGAAAAAATGTCTCTTTTCTTTTTTTATAAACATGTTGAGTATTGCAATTATTTGTCATATGGGTCATGTTTCATGGTTTGCTGTAAATTCATTTTTAATTCATATTTTTTATTGTTAAAGGTAGTGGAACACGCTGGCCTCGTTTCATTGGACATTAAGATTTATATCGTGATGGTATCGGCTCTCCTTTCACCTTATGTTATGATTAAAAGTCTGAAAGCACTTGTGCCATTTTCATCATTCGCAAATGTGCTCAATTTTCTTGGACTAACATTGGTAATCGTGAATTTGCTTCAAGGACTTCCGGGGACAACAAGTATCAGACCATCAGTTGCAAGCTTTGGAACGATGCCGCTCTTCTTTGGACAAGCTATTTTCTCTTTTGAAGGAATAGGTTTGGTAAGATAAATAATAAAATCTTGGTTCAATGGATTATTGCAAGTTATCTGTACAATATTTGACGAAAGCTTTCGATTTGAAATGGGACCTTGTGTAAAGATCTGAGTTCTTTAAATTGTAATGGAGATGCTTGGATAGTTATCACAACTTAATTAATATAACTTAGAAAGAGAATTCCCGCTACAGAAAATGAATTAGATCCACTAACAATGGACACTTGTGTTTTTGCTGTTGTTTTGTTTAAAAGAAATATAAAAAAAACACATTTCATTTTGTACAATTGTAGGAATAAGTTACCTCCTTTACCTAAAGTTTTAAAGATTGCATGCCGAGTGAGTTGAAAACTAAAAGTTTCAGATATTGTTATAAAGCATTATTGAACATTGTAACAACTAACTGTTGCTACAAGCCTTAAAGCAACGTTCACTTTGTATAAGATAAAGTTTTGTTTTTTTGTGTATGATAGTTTGGTTTGGAAATGTCCAAACAAAAAAAAGAAGAAACGCATATTTAGGGCCATAAATTGTGGCAATGTTTGGACTGAACCAGAACATTAAACAAAAATAAATGTCTGTACAATCCTAATGTACAGAACATGCTAAACTTTGCAATAATTTGTTGTTTTTTTTATTTTCTAGATTCTCCCTCTACATGGACAGATGAGAGACCAGTCTGCTTTTCTGGGTAAAGCAGGGGTGTTAAATCTGGGTCTGACAATAACAATTTCACTGTATTGTGCAGTGGGTTTCTATGGTTACCTTAAATTTGGAGATGATACTAGAGGTAGTGTCACTTTAAACTTACCAAACGATCAATGGTTAGTTGAAGGAAATACCATGATTAAACTTCTTCGAATTATAATTATAATTAAAAATATCCACAAATTGTAAAAAATTAGATCATTCAAATATAATCAATTCGCATTATTTTTCATATCTACCTTCATATTCTCTGTAAAATATCTATATTGTCATTATCAGCAATATTGGAAATTATATGTCACTGTGTTTTACTTTTAGCAGTGCTCGACAAAATTATACAAACTGCACATTGTAATTGCTAGTGATAATGTAACAACGTTGGTAGAACGTCATAATACTCATAATAAGCAAAAAACTAAAGGCGGTGACTTAACACATAGGAAAGTATTCCATAACTATGTAAGGGCATAAACCACTCTCGGTGCTGAGCTAGTTTTTCACTGACAGAGTATGTGTGCCGTACATGTTTGACGTACATGTTTACAATAGTATGCCTGTCTCACTCTTGTAGAGTGCTACCGTTTGACAAGCCATTACTTTGTTGTTCATATGCAATATTTATATCAATATATATTCTGAAATCCTTTTTTAAATAAATTGAATTGTGTGTATTGCATTTTTATCCACAGGTTATATTTATCAGTGAAGCTGATGTTTGCTGTAGCTATATTCATATCGTATGGCCTCATGTTATATGTACCAGTACATATCATTTGGCCATTTATAAAAAATAAATGGTATTTTATACCTGACAAAGTGGAGTACGTTCTTCGTTTTGCGTTTGTTCTTATGATTTGTAAGTATATTCAGTGTTATTTACTTACTGTTTCGATACTATGAGCTTATTACAAATTGTTAAGTACAATACGAGATTCTATGAGACGAGTGCACAGCTGTACGTCCAATATGGATTTTACAAGTCCAACAGTGACAATGGAGTAATGTTCTCAATATTGACCTCTTGATATTGTTTTGTATTAATATGTTAAGTCTCGCATATATAAGAGAGATAACTAGTAAAAAGAATAATTACTGCGATCCGGCTATTATGGTTTTGATATGGGTTTTATTTTGACTCTGTAAATGAAAATAAAATGTTAAATGTAGAACAAGATTAAACGTGTTTTTTGTGTTTGTTTTGGACTTATGAGAAAGATGCTACGACCAAATCATGATTTTTATTGGAACATCGCATGGTGCAAATACCTGAAGTTCATCGGTAATATCTTATATGATGTGAAATTAATCATTATATCTTATGCTACATTGAGTAATGAAGTACTTTATTACAATAAATAATCAGGTAAAGTTATCCATAAGGTACAATTCATTACTAAAATGAAATGGCGTTACCAGCTTGCAAAGTATAAAATATTGTAATGAGAACAAATTAGTAGCCGATATTTCCCAAGAGTTTTTATACTTATGAAGTGAAATTACTATTTAAAAAATCTCACAAAAATTTACACATTGAATTACCTGTTGATCAACTATTTGTTTCTGAAGACAGCCTAAAACTGATGATATATTGATATATTACAGGTGGACTATCAGCTCTTGTACCTCATCTAGATCTTCTGATATCGTTGATTGGAGCGTTTGCAAGCTCGTTTTTGGCGCTCATTCTACCGGCAACAATACATCTAGTCACATTTAAACTGAATAAACTCGCCATTATCAAAGATGTCATAATTATATTACTGGGACTTGTAGGGTTTGTTACGGGAACATACACGTCACTTGCAGCAATAGCAAAAACATTCTAATATATGCTGACTTTGTTATTTTAATGAAATATGTGTGATGCGTGAAATCGTAACTGATATTAAAGTTATATTCTTTGTGCTGTTTGTATTAAACGAAGGTAAATGAACTTATGTTCAATTCCTTATTCTTTAACTGATATTCTGTTCTGTTTTAGCTGGAACATCAAATTTTCTTCTAGATTACATAAATAGATGTTAAAGATGTTATTGAAATAATGTTTTTTGGTGTTTTTTCAATAGTTCAGATATAAAATTTTGTTTCGTATATTGTTGCGTAATAGAATTGAATTTTAAATGATACGAACATGCAGTGATGTTTTGCTTTTGTATATACCATGTACATTATTGAAAATTGTTTTATAATACTTTGCTTTTTGTTTATTTTACTGATAGTGATATTTAATTTTGTTTGTAGCGGCGAAAGTAGGTGAAACTCTTTTTTGAATATTGAAAAACTAATTGAATAGTAGGCCTTATAGCCACTGTAAACCATATTATCTTAATAATCCAAAAATGTATGCGTTCATTTTCTTTCCATTTCAATAGTGTAGGACTTAATTCCATAATAAATACCAAATAACAATTATGCATGAAACGTAACTGATGAATGTCAAAATAACATTTGTGTGTAGTTAATTCATAGACAAGCATGATATACACAAACTTTCGGTCATTATGAGCTGTGTTGAATCGACTCTCAGATAAAATATCATATATGCATAGTCAGACGCCATTATGAGTGAATAAACAGGTCATATTAATTCTTACAGACTTATATATACTACGAGGATAACAGTTTTTAAATATGTTGTGTGACTTATAAGTATTCTGAAGTATATATTCGGGTAATAAAGAATATCTAGATGTCATCTTGTGTAGAAATTTTAACTGAATAAAATGCCTGTCAGGGAATTTTTAATGGAGGAATCTACACCACTTATATCAAATAGCTCATCATTTGAACATGGAAAGTATGAAACAGAATTAAAACATCATGAAACGAAAGATGACACAGATGATATTGTAACGTTTAAAGGGAATTTGTTAAAAACAGAAGTGGTAGAATATGAAATTTTCACAGCGTCTGGAAATCATATGGTTACAAAACCAGAAGAAATTTCAACTGGAACGACGTAAGCTTTAGTTAGTGCAATAACTATTTCATGCTCATGTCTTATATAAAATTTAGCATAATTGTCGATTTTGATCACCGAGCTTAGTAATTTAAAAAGTATACATTAAAATATTTATGAATTTATAAAGACAAGATTGAAACGTTTCATCCCTTCTTCAAATAAATCAACATAACTAAATCATTGTTCATGTTCTGCAATCTTTTTGTTTTGGTGTCGACTCAAGAAAGAAAAAAAATTCAGGTCATATTTTCTAAAGTGTTTGTGGAATATCAATTACTACCGTTCACATCTAATCGTTTATTTGTTATACAGGCAATACGAAAGGTTAATTAAAAGGACAAAACACAGAACGTGTATATAGTTACCGCAGGTTCGCTGCCAGATTTTGAACTCTTCTCACTTGTCAAGGAAAAATAAATGTACAAAAAGTAGATAAACATTTCTATGTAAATCTTCAAAAACTATATGTTTAATCTGATAACACTGGTGTATTTTTACTGGTCACTTATTGTATTAGTAAATTAACATTCACTGAAATGAAAATGTGCAAACTGTATTTCAAATTTTATAAATAAGACGGCATAAGTCATTTATTTACGATGGTGTGGTCAAAATAAATGTCTTTATGAATTAACGCAGATCGTATAATTCCAACTTTCATTTTATTGAGTGAAATATTTTGTACTTGGTCCAATAAGATTCAAGGTTCATTAAGCCTAAAATTGCTTACATTTTTACTTTTCAATAGCCTTTTATTTTGAAACCCTATAAGAGCTTCCAAACTTTAACTAATGAGCCATATAACTGAGCCATCTTTTACAGCATACATTTGATAAAGCGGAGTGAAAATACATACATACAAATTTAACATTGGTATTATCATTCATACATTGATACATTCTTCATATTTCCTTGTATGATACTAGATGATTAATTACAAAATATTGCTTATTTATTCTACATATATTTAAAAGATCAATAAATTCAACCATACTAGGATGCATATAGTAATAACGTGGTATATACAATATTCTTAAGTCAGAGTAAATATGACAAAATTTAACGAAATGGTATTCATCTTCCATATCGTTAAGGTTACAAAATGTTGATTTTCTTTCCGATCTCGCAATGTTTCTATGTCTGCCAGTCTCTATATAGACAATTAGTATTTCTCAATTTCGTGCCATGCATTCTATTTTAGTAATTTGATACTTCAAAGTTAATTTTTAGGTTCTTTAAACAAAGAGAGTGAGCTTTTATCACTAACATATTGTCTGCAAATTGCTGGCATTAATACCTATAAATCTTGTTCTAAATATTTGGAAAAAAAAACAACATTTCCAGATTCTGGAAAATAACCAAACATCATTAAATCCTGATTGTTGAAGCAATTGCTTAATTTTAGCAGCCCACTTTGTTTGATTTGTATCTCTATTAGCATGGAATGAGCTATAGCTTTGATAAGATGTACAAATAACGTTATGACGGCTCAAAAACCTAATTAATGTAAATGAATTTATCGGCTTTTACTAAAAAGCGAACAGAAATGAAAGCTTTATTTAACGGTTATAACAGGACGTCGGACTCAGTAAGTAGTAAGATATACGTTACATTGTTATATTACAGAAATACAGAATGCCTAATGCATCTTTTAAAGTGCATGATTGGAACTGGGGTCATGGGACTTCCGATGGCTTATAAAAATGGTGGATTGTGGGTAACAAATTAATTTCGAAAATGGATAAATATTTTTAGAAATGCAGTGCATGGTATTTTGAATTTTTGAAACAGGCAACAGACCGCCTTTGACAGAATTATGGATAATATTTGGTTTTGTCTTTTGGTTTTGCTTTACATAATATGAAGAAAAAAAGATTCTCAACTAGGCTGGTTAAATTGATTTCTAACGTTCAATCAAAACATGTAAGTATGCATAGTTAGAACGTTAATATTTTCTTATATGTGTTTTAATATAGATGGGACTGGCTGTTGTGACACTGATGGGAATAATTTGTACACACTGCATGCATATTCTTGTACAGTCCGAGAACGAATTATGTGCCAGGTATTCATTGTTTTACACACACACTTTCTGAAAAAAAATATTTAAATGTCAATTCCAATAGATACACATGAAGCTGATTTGTCCCTCACAGATGTGAGCTTGAATCTTTGGATTATTTTATATGTTAAAGCTATCTAGCGTGTTTACGGAACGTTAATGATTATTCTAAGGCGCCCGCTCGTGCCGGAAAAATTCATGGAGGGGCACCTGATCTCTACCTCAAACAGAAACATTACCTTTACTCTGTTTGTTTGACGTTAAACCAAACAAAACAAACACACAATTAATGCTTGAAAAAATCTATTTTAAAGGAAGTAAGAAATGATTTAGTGCTTTACTATTCTATTTTCAGAACAAAGATTAAAGGTCTTGATTATGCAAATGTTATGTCCACAGCATGTGCTACTAGGAATGATTGGCTGAAAAACTGGAGCAAAAGTTCTGAGTAAAACAAATGGCTTAATTAATGTTCATATGACTTTCAATCTAAAAGTTGATTTTTTTCTTTTCTAATATATTCTTAGTTATTGTATTTAAAACAGTTCTAATGTATTTCTGTTATGATACGAGTTATTCACTTTTGACGGAAAAGTTTCTTGGATCATTTTTCTCCTATATGTTGACAAAGAATTGCCATTTTTATCTTATAAGCTTAAATTGTAGGAATCTGGTGAATACGCTGTTAGTGATAACACAGCTTGGAATCTGTTGTACATATATTGTGTTTATCACCGACAATATGAAACAGGTATAGTAGTTATTAAGTTATAAAATTATTTATTTTAAATTGTTAAATACTGTCGTAAAATACTCTACTATGAGTGAAACACAAAATTGGACATTTGCAAAATTTCTGCCATAACGATCTCGATTTAACGTTGTTTAAAATTGAAATTAGGTTCCAAAGATAATATTTGCATATACATTGACATAATTATTATTGGTTATTTATTTATTTCAGGTTTTGGAAACAGCTGGACTAACGGTGTTGGACTCCAGAGTTTATGTTGTGATAATTACAGCTCTTATTGTACCTCTTGTGATGGTGAAGAAATTAAAAACACTAGCACCATTTTCAGCATTTGCAAATGTCTTAAACTTTATCGGATTCTTGGTAATTTTGGTAAATTTGTTTCAAGATTTACCAGACACTAGAGAACGCCCAGCTGTTGCTGATATTGAGACCATTCCGCTCTTTTTTGCTCAAGCTCTGTTTGCATTTGAAGCCATTGGCATGGTAAGACTAGTTTGATTGAATGTGTAACAATATGAAGCAGCAAATTTACCTAACAATAAATAACCTTCTTGAGATTTATGATACACTTTGCATAATCTTAAAAGTCCATATATATTCTGAATATTTCGTTTGCAAAAGACATTTTTAAATTTGGAAACAATTTAATATGAACCATTTTTGCGCAATAAACGCGTAACTTTTCCTGCTCATCTGTCAGAAGATGGGAAATCGACTTAGCACAATTCGATCTCATTTTCAAATAACGCTTAAAACAATTGTATGAGTTGCTCCTAATAATACGGCAACTATACCAGCCTATTACCTGGCATATTATTTTCATTATTAACAACCATTTCTTTTACCAACCTTGCAACGTTGCTGTGTTTGGCTGACAGTCATTTGATGCATCTTTTGTTGAAATTAACACACATTTTAATGACTTAATGCCTAATGCCGATAAAAAGAAAATATCTAACCAAAATTGTATGTAAACCCTTTGTCAAGAATACAACGATTCTGTATAAAGGACCGTACGTAAACGGCGCTCTCCGATTTTTGTTATCAGAATATGGTAGGCAACGTTTTGCAAGGGCTACAACTAAATGAATTTTGAGGATGTGGTATCTATGTAAAGCTTACTTGTATATCGAATCAATAATTTGATTATCTCATGATATCCATATTTCTATATTATGCAGCAGAATAACGTTCTACATGCTTATATATGAACAGTCCTTGTATTACGTATTAAGCAATGAGTAAAAGTAACAATATACTGTCATACATAAGCATAAAATTAACCATTGTACAAACTATTACATTTAATGTCATTCTGAAACTATTTGTACATTTGTTAATATGTTCATCCAAGGATATCACGATATACATTCTAAAAGGCAAGCCCACGATTTCTTTCTTTCAGGTTTTACCGTTGCATATGAAAATGATAGACAAACCAGCATTTCTTGGTAAAGCAGGTGTTTTAAATCTCGGATTAACTATAACGGTAGCGTTATATAATGCTGTCGGTTTCTATGGTTACCTTAAATTTGGAGAGGATACCCAACCGAGCATAACTGTGAATTTACCGTCTGACGATTGGTTAGTATAAAATACTTTAATAAAACAATTATTTTACAATATTGCCTATTTGTTAGCTTAATAACCAAATATTGGATGTCTGATATCAGTTTTGTACGATTTCATGTTACTCGTGCATGTATTCACGTACAGTCACTGGGTGCCTCAATCAGAAAGTTGGAAATCACTAAATTACATTAAGTGTAACAGACTGTAAATTAAAGAAGTGAAAAGGAAATGATATAGAATGTCGCCGTAAAAAAGTGCTTTTAGTGAATTGGTCCACAAGTATCAAACATGAACCCTTACCAAGAAGAAATCATGTATGGATGTCGATGTGAGATATTTTATCAAATCTTGACATGTCTTTATATAGCAGATACTAAATTATTCTGGAACAAAATATCATTATTCACCATATTAATGTTTACTGAAACTAATTTATTAATGATTTATAAAGAAATTATATTAGATAAATTTTGATTTGTACATTTCAGGTTATACCTTTCTGTGAAAGTAGTGTTTTCTGTTTCGGTATATATCACATACCCACTACAGTTTTATGTTCCAGTCACAATTCTATGGTCTATTATTGAAAACAAAGCCAAAGAAAACGGGAAAATGGTACCAAAACATAGTGATTATCTGTTTCGATTTTCACTTGTTTTACTGACATGTGAGTGACAAATGTCAAATTTCCTATGACATAAATTTACCTAACATTTTCTATATTACAATCTTAATTTATAACTGTTTAGTAAAATATATTTTTCATCTTCTGAAATGTAATATATAAAAAAGGTGTCATTTCCTTCATACAATTAGTTATAAGGAGTTAAATAATATGTACTGTTTTTATCGTAGAGACAATTTGGAAAGTTGAAATGAATTTTTGTTTCGCAATTTAATTGTTATAATTATTGTAGTAAATCTGTACATTTTGTATGACAGGTGGTTTATCTGCATTAATACCTCATCTAGATCTCCTTATTGCATTAATTGGAGCTTTTGCTGGTACGTTTTTAGCAATAATTCTTCCAGCAGTTATAGAACTTTTGACCTTTCAATGTCGTCTGCAAGTTTGGATAAAAAACGGGCTTATAATTTTTGTAGGACTAACTGGATTTACAACAGGAACGTACACCAGTATTCTTGAAATAAGTAGAACATTTTAGACACGTAAATGTGAATCAATGGTTACAGAATAGCACAATATGATAAAGTGAATGATTTGTGGTATGCAGCGTACTAATGCTACACAGATTGGATATCAAGCAGCAAAATGATATATCACCGAAACAAAGAATAAAACCGATAACTTATTAAATTAATTTACATGTCCACAGGATACGCAGTGGACCTTATAATGGAATAGAGTGATAACCTTTCTTCGTAGACATAGCAAGGTTTATTTGTACAAGGTATATTGACTGATTCAGTCATGATATATAACTTATAAATAACTTTACAATAGAATACATTAGTTTAATCAGAAAAACATTGCAATTAAGAAAACAATAAAGAATACCACAAAATAGATGTGCAAGTTTACAACAATAACAATGGAACACATTGTAGCTGATGAGCATTCTTTCGATCTGTTTTCTTAATCATTTTGTATACATTTACATATCATAGTTTTAGAAGGTTGTGCAATTTAACTTATTGATAACAGTGCTACTTAGAATACTGAAATATTTAGTCGTTTTAGGCTAATAATAAAAAGCAGTTACATTAAATAAAATCGAAAATTGTTTAAACATTGTTGAAAATGTTCAGTAGAATAAAACGTTTGATATGTTAATAATTATAACAACAATGAACAATAAACAAATGTTAATTATTTGATTGCTGACATTTTGACAGCATAACTCTAACAATTTTCCCAACGTTGAACATTTCGTCTTGTGCATCCTCCGAGGTATTTGCAATTTGCGGTTCCTTTTCTATCTGAACGTCACCAGTAACCTGAAATGTGCAAAATTGAATAAATGTGATTATTATCAATTTTAAGCAATCGATGATAGGTAGGCTAGTATCGAGAACAACTTTGTGTGAACGTGACTGCCTGGTGTTATAGTTGCTATCACATGAGACTTATGTCATGTTGAGTCTAAATCTTGTATTATTATTAATTTTTATAAAATATTTAATACTGTGCAAATGGCAAAAACTACGAAGGGGAATTACGGCTGTATAATTATAATTTATGCTTAACATGCTTATTGATAATTACACACATGACCTTACAAGATGTCTGGGACATCGCTTGATAATTATCTCAGATAGTTTTAAATACTTAAAATCGGACCAAAATATAAGCAACTGTTCTATATTGTTCTAGTTTGTTTTCAACTTACTCTTCATGAATCGAACACGAACCGATTTTACTTTCATGCTGTTACTATCATTCTCATCAGATGATGAGATTTGCAGTTTCAATAGAAACAAATTTAGTCACTTCGCAATCATAATATCAACTATACACGTCCCCGCTAGCACCGGACTACTCAGTCATCGATTTTCAAAACATTTCCGTGACTGTTGTTTTTAATGGACTTTGACATAACACTTATTATGTGGTTATCTATAGCTAGAGTAAAATGTATAATCATACCTTCCCTTTAACCACACCAAGACATACATTATTTGTGCTCAAATCTCCGATCACCAACGAACTGCTATGAAGAACATTTAAACATTTGACCAGTTGGTACACAGCTTTCGTGACAATCTTCGGTTTTAATATGTCATCTGTTTGCAGTAAAGAGCCTATGTCTTTGTACGTTGTTCGTGATCTTTTAATAACACTAAAATGACGACTAATTCGCTGGAATTTAAGAATTTGAGTACCAAACTCTGAAAACAGGAAAAAAAAAACTATGATCAAAAAGTAAGTATTTTTAAACCATTTAAATATTATCCAATATTAAAACGTATCTATCTATCTGTAGGGTTTATACAGTTCCATTTACATCAATTCATACAATAGAAGAACTATTCCACAAACAAACCCTTTTTTATTGTTATTTCCTTATTGAATATACAATACCTTACACAGTTATAAATTTAACATTTTAACAAATTATCTAATTTACCTGTTTATCAGACATCGTAAAAGAAATAAACGGATAAATATAAGAACAATTAAAACAGTGATACGAAATAATTGTCAAAATCCATTAAATTACTGGAAAGAAGTTGAAATCACTCAGCGCAATGAAAGAACAACACAAAAAAGATAAAGAAATAGTGGAATATGAGATTTTTTTAGCCTGTTCAAGACAGATAGTGTAATGATTAATATCATTCTCACGACACCCTTTCATCGGCTTAATCGGCATTCAATTCTCAACGTATCAATTGTCCCAAGGGACCAGAAAACATTTAGATAAATTACGGTGGCAACGAATTACTTGGGGACCATATGCCGCTTTTCATGGAATGGCACTAACGTGTCACATTGAAGGTTCCATGATAACCGCCATATCAATACATCTGAGGATGTTTCAAAATTCTAAATTTACCAGTTCATGTTAAATGTTGAATTCTGCTTAAGCCGGTGCTAGCGGGCGTGGACGGTAGTTTGCACTTGACAGTACCGTCCATGAACAGGCTCAATCAAACCGAGCCTGCAACATTTTCAATTTTGCCGTGTTGGGCTTTCTTTAGGGATTCTTATTTCTCTATTTAATCGCCACATCAGCGTTGTTTATGCCGTGCGGAGGCCGTAAAAGTCGCCCCGTACATTCAATCAGGGATGTTATATTTCCGACCTTTAAAGATCGTTCAGCACGACATAATTGTTGTGCTTGTCTTATTTTAGTTCTTTCTATTCGGCATCTTTCTAGTTGGGTGGTTTCAGTATTCCGAACTTGAATACTGTTGAATCACCCTTAGGATATGTGGCCTGCTTTTTAAATTTGTCTTTTGACGTAATATCTGTGATATGCAGGCTTCATAACCTCAGATCCCCTTTCAAAATTTCATTTTATTTAGTTCCGCCCATTGTTTTCTCGTTTAGGGCTGCACACGCATTTTTTTACTTGGGGACCATATGCCGCTTTTCATGGAATGGCACTTACGTGTCACATTGAAGGTTCCATGATAACCGCCATATGAATACATCTGCGGATGTTTCAAAATTCTAAATTGACCAGTTCATGTTAAATGTTGAACTCTGCTTAAGCCGGTGCTAGGGGGCGTGGACGGTAGTTTGCACTTGACAGTACCGTCCATGAACAGGCTCAATTAAACCGAGCCTGCAACATTTTCAATTTTGCCGTGTTGGGCTTTCTTTAGGGATACTTATTTCTTTTTTTTTCAGCTGTCCCACTAACGCCAAGCACAGCACAGATCATATCAACGGTTTTACGAAATTATTAAAATTGACTTTAAATTCAATAGCTTCGACTTGCCTTTTGTCATCTCAGTTCTCGATTGCTCGTCGGTGTTGGGGTTGAATGTCTATAATGTAATATATATTGTTATATAGATTCAAACTAGCCCTATTTGAATTTAACGATTCTAACACAAAATAATTTTCGACATGAAACAATCCTTGTTTAAGGGAAATATGAGTAATAATCATTTATAAATAATAACAAATAATTAATTATTCAATATTTACAATGAAAATAAATCATTGCAAGCGAAAATTAAAAAAAAGAATTGCGGAAAAATAAACCTTTCTTCCAATGATCGAGCTGACGGTGTACAATATTGGATTCAGGGCAGAATTTACTGGTAATATGAAGACTGCAGACCATGCGTAAACATCGCCAGAAATCACGTGACCGTATAAAGCCATCATCCCTGTAGAGAAATAAGATGTACTATGAATGTTGACTGTGATTTAAAGTTAGATTTAAAAACATTGAATTTCATTCGATTTTATTAAATAAGTACAAAAATCTCGTGTATCAAGATTACATTAAAAGTTTTGAAATTCAAACTATGATTTCAATTTATCAAACTTTTTTTTCCGCTTTGACATTGTTAAAATGTTTAACACTAGTATTGACAATTTTCATAGAAATATTTCAGCGAATTAGAAACTCTACAAAAAAAACCACGATATTTTGAATTGCACGGATTATCAAAACAAAATACTCCTACCCATTACACCGATCGGGAACCAGCAAAGGAAGTCAGTGAGTACCACCAGCAATAGATTACGAGCAACTGTCAAGTCATTCTTCCTTCCTGCACTTGTTATCTCCATCCCGCCACTAACACTTCTTATTTCCATGAATATAGACCATTGACCAAATGCCACCAAGACAAATGTTGCAAAGTTCAGTCCGACAAAAATTGCAACGGAATACACCCATCCTGGTGGTCGATCTCGAGTCAGTGGCAGAGCTATACACACTCCAGACTTAGTATAGAACTTGTTTTGGAAGTAGCTTTTGTACAGAATAGGCAATACAGCGAGACATGTAGAAACAACCCAAACTACACCAGCGCAAATAAGAGACTTGCGTTTGTCAAATCTGATTTGTCCAAAAGGAAATTTGATAACAAAAAGCCTGTCCAGAGTAATAAGGCATAGAAAAAATACGCTCGCCTCTGATGATATTGTGGAAAGAACGCCTGCAAGATTGCACCATGCACTGTTTCTCCAGTATTCGTCCATAAATATATATCTATAATGTAGTAAATTTTCAAATCGTCATTAGATTAACAATTTCAAAAACAAAAGTATTAACTGTTGAAAAGTAAGGATAATTGAGAAACAAAACAAAATGATATACCTCAAGCAGAAACTTCCAAAAATATGCATGAAACAATATTTTTTAAAGAAACTTATTTTTATCTGATGAAGAACTATTTCACTTGTTTGGAATAATATCAAGCACAAATACAATTAAAATGTTAAAATTATTATCTTAGCTTTTTAAAATAACTATACCTTTTCCTGAAGAAAGCGTCTGCGACGGCAATAATAAGAAGGTAAATACCCATCAGAAAATCCGCCAAAGCCAGGTTTGTTACAAAGATTCCATAGCCGAGTCTTAATCTTGAACGGTCATAGACAAGTCGGTACAAAATTGTTAAAGCATTTCCAACCAAAGCTGATAAGCCAATTAACCAAAGCATGGTCTGAAGAGCAGATAATCTCATCAGATCCTCACATGATGAAAATTCGTCTTTTGGAGGATAACATCCTTCTTCTGGCAGGTAGTTTGGTCTGATGCAACAAAATTTAAATGCAGGTGTCCGAAGCGTATCCAATCCGTCAACTCCAGTAAATATTTCTTTTCTGAATACTACAATTTTATTACTTTCAAAGTTTATACTTTTAACGGAAAGATGTCTGAATGCAAAATTTTCTATTTCTTCTATGCTGTTGTTCGATAAATCAATACTTTGTAAAACAAGTCCAGAAAATGTATCTGATCTTATTATTTTGAGTCGTGCTTCAGCCAGGTTTAGATCATATATTTGAGATAACGCATCAAAAGCCCCAGGCTCAATTTTATACAGATCAGAATTACCTTCAAGTCTTAGAACACGTAGGTGTTTCAAGTATGAAAATGTTTGTTTTTTAAGAACCTTTATAGAGTTGAAACTTAAATCGAGACTTACAAGATTTCTGATTTTCCTGAACGAGTATTTGATAACATCAGTAATATCGCAAGAAGAAAGATTCAATTTTGCAAGTATCACAATATTAAGATATGAACCTGTAAATATATCTTGTAGATTAGCATTAAAACTCAGATCTAGCAGTCGGGTTGTCACTGGTATTGACTGTAATCTGGTCAAAGTGAAATTATTGTTCGTGCAGTTAACTTTATATCCGACACATGAACAATCATTTGGACATTCAAAATTACACAATAGTTCATCATCGCCTTGAGGACATTGTAAAAGTCCATCGCAAATCTGATTCAGTGGTAAACATATCTTGCTCCATTTACATCTGTACTTGTTAATGCACCCAACCTTTGTTGTTGCTGAAATATTTAAATCAAAAATATTATTAGAAATGGTTACTTTTCTCCATTAAATCACTGTCAATAACATTTTTATTCTGGTTATCATAAACATAATTCTACTTATAATATTATTTTTATAACTTTATTAAAGGGTCATTAAATACGTGCAAATCATCGAAACAAATGTTGAATACTTAAATACAACCCCTTCTGTGGCGGAATACATGTAAGTTCCAGTTACATAATGATACATAAATATGAATAATAAAATAAAAATACATTTGTTTTATTTGCCTACAACGGCACCATTACAAGTATCGCAAAGATAAGTAAAACTTAACACAAATGTAACTATAATTATAAAATTATGAATATATAAAAGTTTTCTATTTTACCTTTACAAAACTTAGGTAGAAATTCTGCTCCAATAGTATTTAATATGTTCCATCGTCTGACACCTACTTCTATAACATTAGTTGTGGATATTATATCTGAATCATTTTTCCAGGATTCTCTTATTCTGTATACGGTTATGTTTTTACTGTTCCACTCAACATTTGTAAACATAGTATTAGAAAGGTCTAATGAGAAAGCGCTTCTGTCTTGTATAAAAATGATCCCTTTTGTCTTTTTTGTTGAGAAGTGAATACTTTCTATAACGTCTTTTGCCATGATGTTATAACGGCATTCTTGAATCCGATTTAAAGCGGACATTGGTTGTATGACTGTATCGGTAATCTGTAAAACTGCATCGTCAAGATTGAATTCTAGCAATGGTTGAGTGACAACAAAGCTCAGCATCCTTACGGTATTGTGTGTTGTAGAAAACTGTTTTGCAAAATTGTAAACATCCAATGTCTGGGAGGTTCTCTCAGAATCATACAGTATTAATATCTCATGTTCATTCTCTTTACAACCTATGAATAATTAGATTTAATAACAACAGTTATCATGTAATGATAAACAATGACTTCAATACATTTTCTGAATTACATATCATTTATACGTATGTAAATGTGTGTGTAAAATACAAACGAAATATCAGCAAAAGTAAAGACTTCAAAGAACAAGTCGTTTTAGTGATATGATTATTTATTTTGAATTTGTGAAATCAATAAAGAGGTTGTATGGATTCTTCTATATAATTTGTGTTTCCTCTTTAATACTTCTTTTATTTTCTTCAAATCTAACAGGATTAATACATTTTATTAAATAATAAAAATCATCGGCTTTACTAACCACAATCTTCCTCATCTTCTCCTTTTGGACATTGCGGTTCTCCGTCGCAGACAAATCTTAGAGGTATACAATAACTGCCGGGACATTTTACCGTACCCTCCTGACAAATATGCGTTTCTGTAATGAATGGCAATGACTGTAATGAATGGTAAATGAGTTACCTAAAATTATAAATTCTAGATTTGAAAAAGTTATGTTAAACACGTTGTCCATTATAATAATCATATAATTATGTCATTTATTTCAAGTACGTAATAATTCATATATTAAATATAATATTATATAATTTAGTGTATTGAAATTTCAGTAATTGGCTCTGATGGAAATAAACTTTTAGCGTAATGGGCAATTCTTGGGAAACATAAAATATATTACTTAATTTGATAATTAATTTCTTTTTGCATTTTGATGTGTTTTATATGTATGCTGATATATGTGACAATATATTATGTGTTTATGTATTTTTCCCGGAATAAATCGATACGATGTTATTACCACAATCCTGCAGATGACTCCCAGATCTACAGCCAAGTTTATACCCAGAAGCATCAACGTCGTAGACACAATACATAGAACTTTCAATCATCTTTACATCCCCTTCACAAGTTGTAACATTAAGCTGATAGTCGTAATCTAAAATGAAGTATAAGAACACTATTTTATTGCGTTTAAAAAAGGAATACACAATGAATTTTAAATGTGCGACAATCTCACTGAGCCAACTAACTTAGCTTTGCACAAATGACATAATGCTGCTATGATAATTAATTATACGCAAATGGTTTGATAATAAAACCGGTTTCACATCATTATAAGAAGACTTTTAATCATTACCAGCAAAATAATATCCAGCTGTAAAAATTCTTTCTTTCTTCTATCTATCCATCCAATGTAACCACATTTCACATTGAAGATTTTAAATGAATATCAATATCATCATTTAGTATACGTCACGTAAACCTTTTACTATATAGCCAAATGTGACGTCAAACATGAATGGCTCTCTGGGTAATGAATAATGATACATAGCGGTGACAAATTACATTCAAATTTTCGTTGAGTACACACACACCACTAAGGATAATAGTGCATATTAGCAACCCGTTAGCTGGAATAACACCCAAGGCGGTTAATGATATTACATAGGAAACAATTGAGAAACTAAATGTATTCTTTGGTAAGATTTGCAATTTTGGAATTGTTAAATTTTTTTAGATTTCATATATTATGTGAAGTTAACTGTTAAAACATTTCACAACATTCATATCGGAATAAGCAAGATGTTTTTGTTTCTTAATGCTTGTTAAAATATCAGTGTAAAAACTTGCATATACTATTTTACCTGATTTGAATCTCTCTAAGAACAGAATATTTGGTCTAGCAAATATTGTCAAGCATGTCCTATCAAAACTGGAACGAACAGTCACTAGGTTTGGATGTAGACACTTAGATCACAAGCTTACCTATATCAATGTCTCTACTTACCATATTCGCAATATGCCTCACCAGGCACTAACTGATATCCTTGCTCCACATAGTTGATGTTATTTTGAATGACAATCTTTCGATACAAAGTTATTGTGTTGTTGTATGTGTATATTAAATTATTGTAGTTCAAAGGTATTGCACTATTTGTGTCACAACGCTCGAGTTTGCTGTAAAAAATATTTGGTTGGTTGTAATAAAAAAGAGATATTGTTAAATTAAAATTGTGAAAATCGACATTATCCATTTGAATATTAAATATTATGTTTATTGTATTCATTTACATAAATATTTTGTATGTACAATTTATTTATTCAAAGTTCAATCTTAGTATATCAATTATTTTTGTCGATTTGGTGTTAAGATGCAGTTACACTAAAAGGTTATATAGCGACTTTCTAGCATTGTTTGTGGAGCTTTTCTGTTCATTATTTCAGGCACGAATGTGTACCAAAGTAGAAGCACCAACGCGTCCATGGACGAACTATCTGTGACGGAACAACTGCATAGTACGGTACGATCACGTGATTTATATTTGTTCAAGATAAACTGTTATTGAAATATTCCACATTTAAACACGATTCTATTTGAAGTTTGTAAAGAATCCAATCATTGGAATTAACAATACAAAATACAATGTAATGTTCTTTTTACAGAATGAGAACTTAAGTACCTGTACAAGCCTATGGAAATGATGTGGTCAAAGCACTTGCAATGTTTGAAACTATTCGAGTATTGAGGATCATCATACGCTGCTACAGTTTTATGGGAAGAAATACAACTTTGTGTTACCTGAAATTCAGTAATTTTGTTGTCATTTTTTCAAGTCTAACGCTGAAGCATTTTCGAACTTTTCATGATACAAAATATTTATAACAGTAAAGAAACAATACACAACATTTGAAAAGTTTACATTTTCAATGATTGTATTTAATTATAATTGTTAATACCAATCTATATGAACATGAAAATGTTCATGGATATAATAAAATTAGAAATACAACTGACCACCCAATCATTTTTGTATGCCGGCTTAGTATAAAAATGCAAATATTTTAAATTTTCAATGCCATACCACATGATAAGAGTATAAGACCTTTAGACAAAATATGTGTTATGAAAAAGAGAAATCGGCATAAATTAACAACTTTTCAGTGAAATTAAACTTTATCCTTAGTACACGTAATTTGATACATCGATGTGCCTTTTATAAACCAACAAATGTAAACCTTTTGATGTGGAAAAAATTGCTCTGCGTTATTAAGAAAAACAAAAATCAAATACCGCCTGAACACAGTTATAGTTTGTTCTTCTAATTATTTCATCTAGCCTTACATCCTCTTCCCGAAGCGTGTCTCTAGAATACAAATATCCGACCCCATCTCCATCCCGCCAAAGGATGTCAAAGTTTCTAATTATTGTTGACATTTTCTTGCTTTTCACTACCGAGTCGAAATCACAGAATACGGTTAGGCCACCTTTTTAATATAACAATGTCTTACATATGTTATGTATATCATGTTTTAACAATAATTGCTTTTTTATCACAACAACAACAACACAATCCTTTGCAGCATCCTTCTACGATGAATTTTCTAAATTCGTTTATTACACTGAATTTTTCACACAAAAAATCGCAAGTATAACCAGTATATATCGAGTTAATACAATCTCTATCTAATATTCTGAAACGTTATTAGAATTATTACTAAATTTTCTCTATAATTATGTGTTCAATTGCAACAAAACAAATATCTGCCAATTATCGCACACACAGTGTAGAAATGTATCTTAGCTTTAATCCTATCCAAGTTCTAATACGTATCACATCTATTCTTATTTTGCAGATGAAAGCAAACGTTATTTAGCTAAGATAAGTTTGTATTATCGTAAGAGTAAATTTAGAAAGAAAGAAAGAAAATTTTACCGATAATATAATTTCTAGACTCCCTATAGCCAGCTTCCCACCATTGCTCACAGGAAGTGAAATCTGGTTCCTTACACGACATTTCGTCACTTCCGTCTTGACAGTCTCTGTATTTATCACACACAAGTCTCTCGGGTATACACATTACAATGTCACAATGAAATGCGACACCCTCGATGCACGTGTCTTTTAAAATGACATGAAAGGTAAAGTTCAATTCAATTCAATATATTTATTGCATAAAACATGTGACATATCTATAGCAAACAAAATATATAAAATACAATGGAAATGTATGGGTTTTACCTATATGTTTATAGAAAAAAGTATTAACAAAAGTTTTCTGAAGAGCTTATTACATAAAAGAATGTTTGTTAGTTTCTCATTACATTAGCATAATATATAAATTTACATAGATTCTGAATAATTTTTCGGTTAGTTTCACTTAACAAGTTTTTGAATTTTTGTAAGTTAGGCCAGGTATAATAATAACGTTTTAGATATTTTCTACGTAGTTCTCTAAATTTTGGACATATAAGTAAAAAATGATATTCATTTTCGATCATATTAGAATTACAATTTAAACAGATTCTCTCCGTCCTAGGAATATTTATGTAGCGTCCGCGTTCTATTGCCAAATCATGTGAGGATGTACGAAATTTCGTTAAAGATATTCTGAACTTTGTTTCCTGAATAAAGTCGAGATAACTTTCTAATTTACATTCATGTTTAAATAAACAATACGTTTCGAGACGAGGAGAGTTATTTATTGATGAGCACCACTGTTGATAATACACATCCAATATCCGTTGTTTAATCATATTTACGTTAATTTGACTGTTAAATTGATTTTGCCATAAGTACATTAAACCGTGATTATAAAGTATTTCTTTAATCTGACCAGCCCAGTTATTACCATTATATGTATTTCCTAATTCAACATCCCTCATCAACATATTATAAGTTTTAAATAGTAGTGATTGATTATCCAAAGTAATTAGTTTAACCCAGTATTTTATCAATATAATTTTTCGATACACATTCATTGGTGTCCTCCCTAATTCGCCGTATAGAGCATCTACGTTTGTTGAGCGTTTTACGCTTAGGACTTTCCTACAAAATTTCGTATGTACAATCTCAATATCTGGTCCAGCGTGATGACCCCATACCTCCGCACAGTAATTAAGAGTAGACATTACAAGAGAATCAAAAAGATATATTTTTTGGGATACAGGTAGTTCTAATTGGTTGTAAACAATAAATAAATAAATTGTGAAGTGAAAACTGAGCATGTTGAGCGATTCTCTGTTGCGTGCGATTCCAATTCCCGTTTTTAAACAAATGAACACCAAGATATTTAAATGACTGAACGATGTCAATACGCGAGTTACATATATAAAAATCATATGATGTATGACGACCGTTTTCAAATATCATTATTTTTGTCTTACTGACGTTCAATCGAAGTCTCCATGTATTACAGTAAGTTTGTACATCATTTAACATTGACTGTAAAGATTGAGGGTCATAAGCAAATAATGCACCGTCGTCAGCGAACAATAATAAAAATATTTTTACGTCATCAATACTTAAAATACCATTTAAGTTACTATTTATATTTTCTACAATATCATTTAGGAAAAAAAGACAGAGTATGCTACTAGCTGGGTCTCCCTGCTTTACTCCAATAAAGGATGTTATGGGATCTGAATTCTTAGATTCATATCGAATTACTGATTTTACAACTAAGTACATGGATTTAAAAGCTGTCATAAGTTTAGTGCTTACGTTTGCAGTAATTAATTTTTGCCACAACATTACTCGATCTATTCGATCAAACATTTTTTCCCAGTCTAAAAATGCTACATATAGCTTCTTTTTCATTGATAATGTTTTCGATATAATAGCATGAAGAATGAATACACAATCATGGGTTGATTTTGATTTTTGAAAACCATATTGGTTATCTATTAATATTGAATTTTCGTCTGCCCATTTAGTAAGTCTAGTTATTAGCATTTTAGAATAAATTTTAGATAAAATATTATTCAATGTGATTCCTCGAAAGTTTTTTGCTTCAGCTGTTCCGCCTTTGAAAATCGGAACTATAATGCCTTGTTGCCAAGTTTCAGGGAAGATACCTTCGGTGAATAATTTGTTATATAATTGAAGTAAGAAAGGGGAAATAATATCAAAAGAGTGTTTAAATACTTCGGCTATCAAGTGATCTTCACCCGGACTTTTTGAATTATTTTGACTGTAAACAGCATATTTCAATTCTGAGATAGTGAATAACGCATCTAAACAATCATTTTGGACAATCTGTTCTTGTTGATCATTCAAGTTATAATCTGACACAGGTTGCGTTCCATATAAATTATTAAAATGGATATAAAAATCATCAATAGATATATTATTTGGACCTCCGTTATTTTGTTTATATTGCGATTTAACGTCCTTCCAAAAAGCCTTTGGATTTGAACTTGCTAATTTTGAAACACGTTTACCCTCGTTACGTTTAAAAAGTTTTTTACATTTATTCTTTACACTGTTATATTTTATTTTTTATTCAAATCATTATTTTTATTTTCTGTTGTTTTATGTCTTAAATAGTAGTTTCTCGCTACATTGAATTCATTGCGGGCATTGTAACACTCTTGATTAAACCATTTCTTTTTTTCTTTTGAAAATTTACATAAACTCGGCTTATTTATTTTTCTGTTTTTACCAAAAACACTGAAAGCATGTTCTTGCATATAAACTGTGAATTGTTCGACCGATTGATCAACGCTTGTCAAATGTAAGTTTTGCACGATTTGATCTATATTCGTTTTGTTATCTATTAAAGCATTCCTAAATAATTCAACACGCGTGTTATCCCATGCAATATACGACTCGCTATTCGGTACTACGTCATCACGATTCGGACGAAGGCGTGGTTTACATCGCAAATGTATATGTATAGCGTTATGGTCTGAAAACTCGGTCGGTTTTATAATATCAAAGAGGGATATCATATCAAAGTTTACCCGATGTGTTAATAAGTAATCAACTGTTGACAATCCATTATTACCGATAAAAGAAAAGTCACCTATATTCTTGTCGCTGTGAAGTCGGCCGTTACATATTAATAAATTTGTTGTTTTATACATTTGTATCAATCGCTTACCATGATTATCTAATACTGTGTCTTTGTTTGCTCTTATTAAAATGTTATACTCATTATCTATCAGATCAGTATTGTCATCTATTAATTTATCATATACTATAAAATCAGATTCCTTAGATGTTCTAGTGTTTAAGTCGCCAGTTACGAAGACTTGACGTTGAATGCTATACTTTTCAATGCCTATTTCAATCAGTTCAAATAAATCTTCTTGATAACGATTAAGAAGATTTGAATCAAAAAGAGGAATATATGTTCAGCAAATGAATACATCCGTATTAGAGTTAAATATAGATTTACATAGTTTAAACCACATAATACCACACTGATGTTCTTCTATAAAGTTAATCTTGTCACACAATTCAGATTTATAATATATTGTAATTCCACCAGAGTAGCGTCCTTTACGTGTGGTTACAGATTTGTTTCCGTACAAATGATGTGCATTATATCCTTGAATATTCAGGTTGTAATGTGTTTTTTGTGATAACCAAGTTTCAGTTAAGATGTTTATGTCATGTTTTTTGATTAAATCCACAAAATCTGGATCAGCGATTTTCCGTACTAACCCGTTGACATTCCATGACAATAAATAAAGTGGGTTCTCTTCACGACTTCCCTATGATGTGTTGTTGGTAGACTGTGATTTAAATTCAATGCCATTGATGAAAAGCTTTTCTCCTATGAATTTAACATTATTTCCCTTCCGTTTCTCAGCGTTAAAGATAGGATATAATTTTTGTCGAGCTTCGCGCCATTCTTTTAGAAGCTGCACCCCAACTCCAACATTATTTGCTTTCATGTAGTCTTAACGTCCTAAAGATGCCTTTCGTATTCCGGTCATTATAATAGTGGAATTTCACAATTATGGGTCGAGGTTTCTTGGATTTGCGATCATTGCCTAGCCTGTGTGCTCGGTCGAACACTATATTATCAGCTTTAACTTTCAATACGTCCTTAATGAATTGTTTGACAAGAATCTCGCACGCTTGCGTTTCAAGGTCTGTACTTGCTGCCATATGTGATATTTCTTGTTCGTCAGGTTCCATGCCGATGTTGTCATCACTTGTAGCTCCGTTGAAAGTATCCGTGTTACTTTGTGTAGACAAGACTGGGATTGGTGCAGTTTCTGATATGCCATAAAATATGAGATTATCCCTCATACTACGGAATTCATTCTCGGCCACCTTAGCTTGGATTTGAGCGTTGGTGCATTCAAGGCTTTTTATAGTATGTTTCATAGAGTTACATTTTTCTTTAAGAGAGTTCACATCTGTTGTTGTTGTACTCAATTCTAATGATTGCCTTTCGTATTCTGAATTAATAAACGAGTTGAGCTGTTCCGTATCACTGACCCGCTTGTCTATGTCACTGACTTTTATCGATAAATCACTGAGTTGAGCGGTCATCAAATTAACTGATTTTTCAATTCCATCGATTTTAGAAACACTTGTTTTTATGTTTTTTATGTCATCTGACATGATTTTAATGTCTTCCATCATATCAATTGCCCACTGAGGTGGAGTGGCAGCTGGTGTTATCCCGAACTGAGTTGGTGACGGTTGCATGTATTGTCCTGGAAAAGCCGGTGAATATCCAATATTGGTCATGTTACTCATATTATTCATGTTAGTTAATGGAGAACCATAAACAAAGTACTCTGGTTGTAAATTGTTTTTGTTTTGGTTCTTTACACGTTTGTGTGTATTGTCGTCCGCACTATCGTTCAAATCTGATATCGACGCACTAGTTAGACCGGTTTTAGAATGGTCAGTATGTTCATCCGTGCGTTCAACACATATGTCAAATAATGGCGAAATTTGTTTTCGCTTTTTCTTCTTATTTTGCTTTTTATTTTGATTTTTCGTTTCCACAGACATGAAGAAAATGTGTTAATATACCTTTTAACATATGTTCGTAAATTTTTAAGCATACGTGCATTAAACTATTTCAATGAGCATTCGTTGTTGTAACGATTAATTTATTCGAGTAACTATAAAAAATTTTTTGAATTTAAAAGAATGATACCATCGTTCTATCACTTTATTATGCACGTGACTGTGACTTCATACCAGCTCGTTCAAACATAATGCGGATAAAATCAATTTCCATGTATATTTTTCAATTGTGGTATGAAGATATCCGCTATTTCGTATGAGGAATGTATTTCATTGCAACATCAACAACATAAACAACATCCATACTGCAATTTGAAGTTTGATATTTCTATTTAATTTATATTTTAGACTATAGTTCAAAGTCATGTCTGTTTGTTAAGAAGGACTTTTTCAACTCATTGAAAACAGTTAATCTTTAAAAGCATTGATTACTTAATATATTTCATCAACATAAGCATTTACCACAGTATGTCTCGTCACTGCCATCCAAACACTGCGGGGACCCGTTACAACGTACACTAAGAGGAACGCACTGACCGTTATCACATGAAAACTCTGTCTTCGCACATTCATCAATATCTTGAGAAATATATCAAAGACCTAATGGTATTCATTCAATATAACACTTTAAAATCAATTTATCGTTACCTACGAAATGATTGTTTCAAGAAGGACCAAACTCCAGTTTAAATTCAAAACTACAAAGCTTAATAAAACAGAAATATTAAATTTTTGGACGGAGTTAATCGACATTTAACTTATTTCTGTCGATATGGTAAAAGTCTTTACTATTTTTTTCTTTTACATACCCACAATATTTCTCTGATAATACCGAATGAAATATCAGGGTGATATTTTTTGTTATATGAGAAACAAGCAATTAGCACATAAACATCATAAGGAAATTTCATGAACCTTATCCTACTCAAAACAAGGGTTACAAAACTTAATAAACAGTTATATATATAATATTTCTCTATTACCGGAACGATTACAATATATGTCCAGAAATGTTGTATGAAATTCAGATATGCAATTTGCCACATTTCTGTAGCACGCTCCTGTCCCGTGAAATCAACATTTTTAAGTGTACTACCAATTATCTCAATACTATTACAGAAATTAAATGGTTAATGTACTTACCACAATATTCATCGGAACCATCTATACAATCTTCGATGAAGTTACATACTTGACTGATATGAATACAGTCTCCATCATCACAACGAAATTGGTCATTGGAACATTCGGATATAACTTAAATATTAAAAAGCAAAATTATCTCAATATGATGTTTAGTACATTAACTTCTGTACGCCTTACTTACTCGTATAATATAATTCTGTTTACATGTGATGAGACTTAAATCAAATAAACTTTTTAAACTTTAACTTGAAATAACGCTTTTGATAGTAAAGTTCAAAATTAATTATGCAAATGTTGATACTAGTAAATTATGTAACGATAAATGATTAATATAATTGATGCCATTTTTGAAATTATTGACAGAATATTATGAATTCAATTTAAATATCTCCTGGGGAAATAAAATCTAGTTCAGCGGCACATTTATGAAAATTAATAATCATTAAAAGTTTTTATACCTTAACATTCTTCTTGTATTTGTTTAGTTATAATATCACATGCACATTTAAACTATATGGCATATAAACCCGAAAATATCTGCGAAATAAGCACATATGATACAATACTTTCTTACAGGTATGTGATTCTGTACAATTAATTTCATCTGTTGCATCTATGCAATCTTTGACACCATCGCATCTTACTGTGACAGATACCCAGTCACTTGTACCACATTGAAAATACGAACTCGACACAAAACTTTCAGGCATCGGCATATCTCTAATAGAGCTGCCTGCATTAGCTGTCAATCGATGTTCTACAATACATGTATATCAACTCTTCTATTGAGAGAAAACAATTAAATAGAACTACGGGCATCAGATTCAATATAAATATATGTCCACCAGAAATCCGACCGAAATATGAGGATGTCTAAGGAATTATTTAAAAGAATTGGCACCTTTACTTTTAATTTTCTAGACGTTTACACTCAATACCGTGTGTATATAGGAATTTAAGTTGAGGTTCTTGCTTCTTAATCGTATAGTTTATTATGTAATTGTTTCTTCTTATATTATCTAAAATAAATGAGAGAACTATTATAACCTTTGTATGAACAATCTGTTTCATCGGACAAATCAGGACAGTCAAACTTTTCGTCACAAACATTTTCTGTAGATAACAGGTCTCCGTTTGCGCAAGTAAACGGGTCATCATCTCTAACTTCAAATTCCCTCGGAAATACTATCGTTTGCTTGATGTCTGAAAAAGTACATATAAGATACAAGTAAAGAAAATATAAATTACTTTGAGTTTAGTAAACATATAAATTTGCCTTTTCAATAACTATAAAGATGTCTTTCATTCTTATGGCTGTATTGAATACATTATTTTTTACTGATGTCATTTTTCAATTAAAGATTTACCTATGAAAAGACAAGGTTCCCAAGAATATTCTGTAACATAACACCACAAATATCCGTCACCGAAAGGATCCCGGCATGAATTTTCTGCAGCACTCACAGATTGATCTGGGAACTTATAATCTCCCTGATGACCTCTCAGGTGACCTTTCATTTCGTCCCAACGTAAGCACCCTTTACCGCTGTAAGTTGTGTTCCATTTCCCGTTATATAACTTATGTGTATGTAAGCATCTTTCTTCAGGATTATCTAATTAAATAAATGCAAGATTTATATGATTTTTATATGATTGCATTTTGTACTTTTTTCTTCCTGAAGTTCAACGAAAAATAAAATTTACGACATGATAATTATTATCTTTTAAGCATTTCATGCTAATGTCTTAATTAAAGTGTTTGGCAAACCACATTACGATACATAAGAGGGAAATGATGACCAAAGACCGCTTACCTGTTTTTAAAATCTCTAATTACAAAGGTTGTATGATATTGATATTTATAAATGAAAAGAAGGAACAACGTTAGAGCCTAGGACTGAAGTTAAGTTCAATTATATCTCTGAAACTGTGTTTAACAAGGTCCAAAGTTTAATACTCTATCTCAAAATTCAATAAGAACGCCAAAAAGTCAAATTATTGGTCAAGTTATATTAAACTGAAATAACATTTCAAATTAACTATCTTGCCAAAATTTGAAGGTTGTACCTTCTATCACATATGAGTAGGGCATTAGATCGAAATCTAGGTTAAATAAAGTTACATTTTAGACTGAATCTGAAAATGTGCACATTGTCTACATTTCATAGCTGTGTATCAAAATACAAAATGAAAGTTAAAATCAAATCAAACTGGTATCAAATTTAATGGCATTTCATACTGTGTTAGTTGTTCAAATTTCAAGGTCACTGTGACAAGATATCTTGGTCTAATTATATAAAATGGGGTATTGTTTCGAACAATCAAAATAAAGGTCCTTCCGAAAAATTACATGTTTAGGCCTTATTGTGTCAGAGGAAAAAAATTCTTAATAAATGCAGCCCAGAAATGAGACCAATCTTGACTACGTGTATGATTGATGGGACTTTTCTACTCCATGTAAAATCAAATGACCCTTGGAGGAGCTAATTCAATTCTGAACTTATGTGCATGATTTAAAACCACTTTTGTAACGGTACAATTGTCAATGCTTCAAAAAAGCTCTAAAGAAGAAACCTTTTAATGTTTTCCTATATTACTCCGTGTAAAAGAAAACGATCTTTGTTCGGAACAATCTTTAGCCCCGTATCATAATTTGAACAAACTGAGTAAAGGTCCTTTTGACAATGATACATACAAAATATCTAAGATCTAGACATTGTACATAATATAAAGGTGAATGTTTTATTTAAGATTTTCCTATATTATTCTTTATAAATCAAGTGCCCTACGGTTCACGATTCGGGCAAAAATGGTAAGGGTCTACAAAACAATGTTAAATACCTAATATCTAAGCTCCAGGCATTGGATTGGTAGAGGAAGCCTTTTCTTAATGATAATGTGTAAAAGTGACCTAATGGCGGGCCCATCTGGCGCCTCAGGGCCAATTAGTTTAACTCAAATATTTAGGTTCTAAGCATTGAGGCTTTAAACATGCGATTTAATAATATTTTCCTAAAACTCATAAAACGCTTTGGGCAGGTAAAATTTGACCCAAAGTGTCACTTGATTTTATCGAACTAAGAGGAGGTCTACTATATGTTGTTACACACAAAATATAGAGATAAAGACCTTACAGTTTTCTTTGATGACTTCATGTCTTTGTCTTGAAATTAAGAATTTCGATAAAGATCAAAATAATAATAATAATAAAAATAATTCAGTTATACTTTAAACAATTTGTAGCAATTATATAGGTGCGTATTTTAATGTAAATATTGCAGCTACCTGAAAACTAAATGTGGCGGGTACTATATATCTAAGCTCTATGTATTGTGGTGCTATCGAAAACTTTAAAAATATATTTAAGTCCATCTGACTTCGTCTAGGAACATTTAAGGCAAGTTTCATAAATTTAGTATGAATAAGAAGTTGACGACTAACAGTCCAACGGACATTCATCGATCAATTTCGATCGCAAAAGCTCACCACGAGGACTTTGTGACCGGGTGAGCTAAAGGCCTATCATTAAAGTTTATATTTAACGACTTTGTCAAATAATTAATTTTCCTTAATGAATTTCAAATTGACAGGGGTATGATATCGTGAAAATAACACAAAACATACCTTCAACTATACACATTTCCCACCGCGTGTCTTGATCTGTGGTATAACACCAAAGATAGCCGCTATTCCAAATATCGCGACAGAAGTTGTCAACACTATTGAGGTTCTCGCCAGGAAAATTATAACCAGTTGTGTGGTGACTATGTGGAGAAAGGGTATCCCAATACTGACAAGTTTTGCCCGAGAATGTCGTATTCCTATTTCCCAAATAACGCCATTGATATTGCTGAGTGTTTGCAACTACAGGTACTGGAACAAAGTTAAGAAGTTTCCTTTATACAATTATTTTACATAATACGTCCATACTACTTTAATTTAATAACGGAATAATTTGGGAATAAGACATCAAAAATATGGATGAAATAATTCAAAACTTACGCGTCACACTGCATTCCTCTCGACTTGTAATGTTTGAAGATGTTTTGTAATGACACCAAATGAAATTTTCCCATGCCGGGTCCCGGCAGTAGTTTTTAGCTTCTTTTGTATTCTCGGTCAGCCACCATCTGTCAGTATAGGCTTGCCACCACAGTACAGAATTCTCGCTAGCTTGCTTTTCCCAAGACATACACTTATAACCAGATCTTGTTGTTGATGCTGTCCCAGAATACTGGCCCGACTTAATTTGTTCAGGGACACGTTGCCAATCCCTACCATGAACTTTTGGTACTTCTTTGTCTAGCAACACTGTATGCAAAATGCAAGAACATAAAATATGTTGACAATATGAATGCAAAGAAAACCTCTAATACTAAGCTAGTTTTCTTGATGTCTAAGTAACAATTTCCGTCAATCATTAACGACATTATACAACTTTGAACTGTTCATAAACAAAGTTCTTAATCAAAGTGCAATATTTGTCAATACACTTCTTAGAATGTATTGCAAGTTATTACTGCTGATTTGTTCAAGATGAAGCGTGGGAAAATTTCAAATGATGAATTAGTTATATGAGATGAAAAAGAGAAATGCTAATCTTTTACAAACGATTTTTTTTAAAAACAACAACATTTGCTTTTTAGTGTAACCAAAAAGTTTGGACATTAACAAAATCACGACAAAGGCAGTGTTATAAATTTCGTGGTGTCTTCGATTTTGTCTACTAATGCTTATACAATAAAAAACACAATTATAAGATAACAATTTGTTCCATTTACACAGTTACTCTGTCAATGGTGACAACTTTAATTTGTAAACTTCAAGTATTTTCACACAACCATACAAGCTTTTTTACATTGTTATATCAGACAATAATTATATATGTATCATATTTACCCATTGACTCGTTTATTATTTTTTGTTCACAGATGAAGTATTCAGCTAACACACTCTCACAATCTTCTGATTCCCATGTGTCTATATCTTCAAATGATTCATAATTCATACGTACACAGTTTCCCACAGATGGTTCGCCTACTTTCCTTAAGAAGGAAAAACACACAAAGTTTAATCTTAATCAAATCACAAAATATTGAGATACATACTCTACTTCCCTGCTTCATCAATAACATTATAATCCAAAGCAGTAATAAATCACAAAGCATATTAGTTATACGACTTTGAACTGTTTATCATTTAAAAATATGGTATAGATTAAATATGACTAATATGCTTTGAAGGTTATAACTGCTTTGGATTATTATGATATATTCATATTGCATGAAGTTTTCATATCGCAATATGTTATAGATTTAAAAAAGAACCTTAAACATATTATATAGTATTCTAAATATATTAAGTAGAATCAAAATCAGGAATGAACAAACGCAAATTGTTAACACGAAAATATTGTTTTTTAAACCAAAATTACAATTTATTATGTATGTGTCTGTGTAACGTTTGTTCAATAAATATGTCATAGAAATTGGAATGTCATATTATTTACCAAGCTGAAAATGTAACTGGTGTCATATCCTCCCATACATCGAATTTTGAACCATCAGCCATAGGATATCTATATAGACCTTTTTAAAAAGAAGGTGAGAACCATTTCATCACAAAACTTCTAATAATTCCTTTGCTACCAACATCTGTTCGGTATATAGGCACTGGTGATTCATTATTACTTACTAAAGTATAATCTATATTTATAATAAAAAATATTGTGTCTTAAAATCCTATACAAATATACCTGTATGCATAAATAAATTGCAAAAGAAAATGAAACAGAGATAAATATTGCCGTTTATTAGTTGTGTCGATCAAGTAGAAAAGAGTATGCATGAGCTTGATCTTTTTTGTAAGCAGTAATCATCATCATCATTATTTCTATAAATACTATGTTTGTTAAGATGAAACAAAATCGTTATTACCAATAAGCTAATCATTCTCCAGAACAACACTGATGTCATTGAATTATTATCTAAACCAATAATATGTTTCTAATTGTCATCATTAACTAAAGTATATTTATACCTAAATGAGCATAATAACTGGCGTTTCTAAACACACTATCAAATGTTGCCAATGGCTGTTTATCTGCGTATCTATGATCTCGTAACAAATACTTGACAAAACGGAATTCTTGTTTGGACCTCACTGAGACTAGCTTCAGGTTTCTTTCCCAACATTCCAATCCTGCGTCTTTCCAGTTTGTTAGCTTCGCAAACAGACTATAGCATTTACCAAAGGTCTCAGAGCATACTATAATGTGGAAAAATATGTAAACTTATTATAATTGAACAAACCTTGAATGTTTAATGTAATAGTTTCAAAATTATACATTAAGAATCTTGGAACACAGATAGAAGTGATTCTATTGGCAATGATGCTAAAATGAATTGGGAATTATAATTGGACTACAGTTGCAACATAGTAATTTTCTCAAGCACTTGTATTTAATAAATGAATTTCATTACACATCATTTACTCCAATTTCTTATGACTTTCTTGTTACTTATTATTTTGTAATTAATGGCTATTATATAATCAGTTACGTTTATAGTTTCAGTTACGATAATAATGTTTTAGTTAGTAACAATAAGTGAACTTTATTATTCCTATTTAACAATAAATTACAATATATTTTATGGTAATGTTTGGATAAGATAATCAAACTCCTATTAATACATGTTCATGGACAATGTGGTCGGTGTACCGCACACATTCGTTTTCAAGGACATCTAAAATTTTGCGGAAAAAGCGTAAATACTTGCTTGGACAAATTCCTCTCCCAACACAATTTTGTATTTCAACATCATCCCCATAACACGTTATACCACCATTAGACGGTGCAGGGCTGTCACAAACTCTTGTTCGAGTCATCTTTCCTATTCCACATTTTTCAGAACAACTACTCCATTGTGACCAAGGACTATAATGACCGTCTTCTAAGAATTTTAAACAGAAACAAAAAGTCAAATATTGATCAGTTTAAGTTTATAGAATTTAAAGCATACTTATTTATGTTTATATTTCATAACTGTACATGCAATTCGTTTTTTAATCATTTGCTTCTGTTGTTGTTGTTGTTTTTGTTGTTTTTGTAACGAACTTATTTCTTTAGTTAAACCTTATGCTTAAGGTCAGCGTTAAAATTGAATTTTCCTGTTTTATTAAGATTATCATTTGTTTGCTGGCAATATAATCTCAAACAAATAAACGTTATAGTTCACTGATGTATAAGGTGAAGCACGTCATATTCGAAAAGGTTTCGTTCGATTAATAAAACTGTTTAAACTGTTTTAAGCAATAGAGAAATAGAAAAGTACCTTGCGCGCCGTCACATGCTTCATCAAATGGAACTGTTGCATTGAAATTCACTGCTGCAATAAAAGTGTATAGATCTCTATTATCGTTTGAATTTTAAAAGGTAATAATACTTCCAAACTGTTTGTATGAAAGAAATATGGCCGTGAAGGAGAATGGCGCATATACAAAACCATTGTTTAACTGATAAATCCCTACTTAAAATTGCAAAATAATATTTTGTTCAAGAACATTTGATCCTGTTTATTTACAATATTCATAATTCATATGTGTTATAAATGACAGAAACATTCTATGTTACAACCATTTCGATATCCGAAACTCTTTCGATATTCGAACATAAGATTATTGGAGCATTCATATAATTTTGTCTTTTTTTAATATTTAATAAGATATCGCTTTATATCCTTCAAAATTACATTTTGAAAAAAAAAACGATTATCATTGATTTCTAATTATTTATTGGCCATAAATAGTGCAGAAAAACATAAAACATTGATTCCTTAATTGTTTATTTATTAGCCATAAATATATATAAATATATACTAAGTAAATATAACAGGATTGGCCGCCCAAGTCACGAAATTTTCTCGTTGTTTTATTGTAAAAAAAATTCCTTTGAAAATAAAAAAAGTATCACATCACTCAAAGGTATAAAAGGTTTCACTACTATAACCGCTATTGTATTATACTATATAAAAGTATATTAACAAAAATTAACGAGCAAACTTGCATTTAATGTTGGTAACCTGTAATGTATTTCAGATAATTATCTAGTAATACATTTGCAAATTACGTGTGTTTGAATTCTAAAATAAAAACAATGAAGTACCTGGTTGACCATAGATTTCTATTTCACATAAGCTAAGATACTCGTGTCTTCCTATAAGTTGTATTTTTACGTATCTAGCAGTGTGTCCAATTAACCAAATATTTCTCTGACTACCCAATCCAGCTCCACATTTATAGTGAACAACTGATAACGGACAGGAAATTCCCAGAGAAACTGCAGCATTTATTGTAGCTGCAATATATACATAATAATACATACCTATATAATTCCTAGAATTGTTTAAAGTATAACATAATAATTGTTATTTAAATCTTTATTGAAATTTCTAATTGCAAGATATAGATATAATTAATTTAGGAATATTAAAACACACACAAAAATCATATTTAAACATACGACAACAATCGGTGCTTGAGAAAATTTTCATTCTTTCCAATTCGTAGTTTCCTTGTAGATCAATTCTCCACCATGGCTGATATTCGAAATTTGTCTGAAAGCATGATAATTTTGTTTGACGAGTTGAACCATCCGTTGCCAGGTTAGGGCTTGACCAACTGTATTCTTGACTTGAGATGCTTGAAGGCTTACCAAATGCAACATTAGACACTGCAAATTAATAAATAGTTTGTTTTACTGTAACATTTGATTTTATACATAAAATACAATGTACATTTTATAAACAGTTGGAAGTTTCAATTAAACACTTTAATAATTATTGAGATTAAGAAAGTACAATGTACTCCGTGACTGTATTTAAATTTCAAATTACTCAACTATCTTTCAGTTAAAAACCAACCAAGTAGGTCATACATTTAAAGGCGAATGAATAAGTCTGCAATTATACTTTATACTACCATTATACTTTAATATCAAACACAAGTAGTCTTAACAATAAGGCGATATTACATTTTAATGAACATAAACATGTACATGAATATACTTAAACGTGTAAAAGACAACTACTTCAGCCTTATGTAATAAGAGTATAAAGCATTGTAAATTAATAAACAATTCCAGTAACATCGAAATATACATCGAAAAATAATTACACCCTTTTGTTAACATTGAGACATGAAGGTGAAGAATGTTTTTTCTTTTCTTCTAAACTTGAGTATACATTTGTACCATACAAATGTCCAATTTGCACTGCCACTGTGTGAGTAGCAAAACTATTAAAAACTTGAGAAAAGTACTTGAAATATTCAATCTACAAATACAAATAGTTGCTCTAGTGTAAGTACAAAATATCTGATGTTGTCTCAGTATTACACTCGTTAGAAAGTTTGTCTTCTTCTATTTGTAGGTGATTTTGGCAACTATTTTTGATGAAATAATTCTTAATTTACATTTACAGGAACGGCATATGGATCCTTTACATTTTACTATGTGTTTACAACTTACATGTGCAATTCAAGTCTGGTAAACACGCTCTGTTACCAATATTTGAGCCTGCACACGAACGTCCACCAAACGAAGGGGGTGGATTGTCACATTCTCTTATTCTTGGTTGTTTACCATCACAATAACATAAGTTGCTCCATGCACTCCAAAGTCCCCAGTTACCTTGAACTTTAAAAATGGAGATAAAAAAGGTGTCTACTTTAGTAAAAGCTTGAATATAATTAATTTTGTAATGCGACTGATATTAATGATACAAGAACTAAATTTCAAATGCATCTAAGCTTTAAATTCAAATTTAGTTATGCCATATTGGAAGACATATAAGATTCCCATTTCGACTGCCGCAAATGTCAAAAAGGAGATTTTTATTTCAATCATTGGAGAGCGCTCTACACGGCATTTTGCATTTTTCTATTTGATTTTTTCTAATTTGGTGGTTCCTGTTTCTATAACCAAACAGTATCGATTGCTTGCTTTTCAAGTACCTGTGACACTCATTTTTATAACCTATGATCTGATTCGTAAAGTATTTTTTCATTTATTTCCGCCGATATGACATACATCTTTGCTTGTGGAACTTTCAATTTGACACTTTCAGGTCTTTCGTGGAGAATTAGCGATGGTGCCCATGAAAAAAGTGCGTCTGCACTTAACGGCTAAACAATGGGCGAAAGCTCAGTAAAACATTCTTAAAGGGATTCAGAGGATATAAAGCATGCACATCGCATACAAGCCATCAAAAGACAAATTCAGAAAGCAAGCAACATATCCAGTCGGTGATTATACAGTAGTGAAGTAGGTCGGCTGAACGACCTTCAGGGATGAGAAATATAACATAACTGATTGAATCAAAACTGAAATTAAGGCAATTATAAATACCAAAGAGTTATTGTTGATGTGATTAGCATAGCAACATCATGCCTCTAATACTGATGTTAAATGTTTAAATTATAAACATAATATAACTTCCATTAATTACATATAAATGTAGCTGTCAACTGATCTTAATATATTTGTTTTTATTAGGTTATGTTTATGTTTTAAGCATACAAACCTGGGTCAGGAAATGGGAAATCCTTCTTTAATTTTTGTTCTATATCAGTTTCTGCGTAGTAAAAAAAAAAGAAATTATGTTAGATACATAATGTCTTTAATTTATGTTCATAACTGTACAATAAAATAAAGAACAAAACAGAAAAAAACAGCTGATCCTGAACATAATACAAACTATTAAAACTAGATAAGTGATGATACGGTTATTCGAGGAATATTATTTGAAGATCCTTTATTGCCTTAGAGCATATGCATATAGACATAATAAAACGATGTAGTCTAATATAATTTATTTAAACTTTGCATCACCTTAGACTATAACAGTAAAAGTTTATTCAAAATTGAAGGTCACCTATATGTCTATATGTAAATGCAGCATAATAATATAAATTAGCTGTGTAGTCTTAATTGATATTATAACATTTAACATCATTTAGATAAGATAGATGCAATAGCTTTGCAGTTTTTTCCTCAGGTCAAAATAAAATGTAAAAAGGGTTCGGACCCTGTTTCTTTACGTTTTGATAGTAGAATAATGTAACATTATGTATCCCAGGAAGCGACACGCTGTAAAATCCAAATCTTAAATCTAAAGATATTATGTCTCTCTCTAGAACATTGTCAGAATCTCAATATCATTACGCATTGTTAAAAAACAAGGCAAAAATAAATCAATAAAATAATGACAAATATAAAATGCGTACCAAGTACACCGTAGACCTCCACTTCACAAAGATGAAACTTTTGTATATAATGCCTCACTTGCAGCTTAACATATCTACCTCTGACGTTATGTTGGTCAAATGATTTTCTAAAAGCCATACTTCGGCACAAATAGCTAGTAACTCTTAAATCAGCAGTACTTGTTCCTACAGATATCTCGATATTTCGTGCAAGGCTCCCTAAGTTATAAAACCATAAAATGTGGGTTCACTGAATGTATTAAACAGTTGAAACAACAAAAGTGATATCAAGTTTAAACGAAGATATTCTGACTATGTTTTTACTTTATTATTTTCAGACTTTAAAAACCTATATCTAATGAAATATTTTATTAAAATTGAAAGATTGTACAATTTGTTGTTTCCAATTTTCAGCCATAATGCAATGATTTCTGCATTGCGACATTCCTTTTACGGAAATATTTCAAGATATTCATGCAGGCATTTCGGAATTATTGTACTCGAAATTTAAATATAAATTTTGTAAGCTGCAGGTTGCAGAGATATAGCTTCATGCACTTTGAAACAGTATGCAATTAAATAATCAGTAGTAAGTGTATAAAACCAAATTTAGAAATGATAAGTTTATTATTAGACTTGTTATTCATTTTAGAATCATAAGGTTGTAAAGGAACGGTATAAGATTGTAAAGAATGGTAACAATAATATAGGATAAAAATAAAACCATAATTACCTGCACTATTTTCCTGTTTATTATAAAGAACTATCCGGTCGATGATGTAGATACCTTGTAAATCTACCATCCACCATGGCTCAGGTTCCAACTTCGTATGGAAACATGCCCCATACGCGGCATCCAAATGAACAGTTCCGTCAGTTGCCTTATTAGCAGATAGAAATTCTTTCGACTGGTATATGTACAGACTAGACATAATTGCTGGTTTACCAAGGGCAACATTTGTAACTTAAAGGAGAAATCATTTTTCATAAACTTAAAATATGTTAATAAAACACACAAAAGTATATATTGATATACACTTTGAAAGTGTTACTATCGTCAGTCGTACAGAATAAGATAGCATTCAAAAAATATTTACAAATTTAAAAGTTTGAATATTATAATGCAAATAAAACATGATAAAATTCCATAAGGTGCCTTCATTTTAATATACAACTAGATCTAACAATATATCAAAAAGTAATCATAAAGTCAAATCATCAACATCCAAATTGAATGGTAAACATAGTAAAATATGAAGAGAATTACTTACTGTTTGATCGATAAGCTTGGTATGAAATCAAATTCTCCATCGAAACTCTCTCGATGATGTAAGTAAGCCGAAATCCCTCTTTGAATGTTATAAATGGTGGATCGACACCTTTATAGAAGCTAACTGTCACAGTATCGGAGGCAGAATAAATCTTTAACGGAGGTTTATTCAAGTTGCAATAGGATTTCTCAACTCCCAGGTCACGAATGAGAAATTCGGAACCATCTTCGTCTGAATAAAAAATATTATGAAAATAAAAGGTTTGTATGTATACTATACTTAAAGATTTATTACTGGGTCTCTTTTGTTAAATTATTTACTGCATCACTCACCACAAGTTCGTTCATAAATAAATGAGAAGAACATGTTCATATAAAGTCTAATTTACTAACCAGTTTTACATTTGACCAGGAATTCTACAAAGGATATCAAGATCCTCTTTCCTTGAGACGTTATCGTCCATCTTTCAGTTGTTTCAGAAAAAGGAAGTCCGAGTAAAGACATTGACGTCAATGACATTTTTGACCGAGTGCATCTTTCCTCTCTGCCCTTCTCCCATGCCAATGTAGAATCAAGAGTAAAACATGCCGGAATAGCTGCAAAAATGAATTGTACTTTATACTAGAAATCTTCAAACAACAAACATCGGATGATCATTTCTTGTGGAATAAGAACATGTATTTAATCGAAAAAAATATTTTATATAAAGCGTATAAATGGCTGATTTCTTTTATATATTTTTCCGTTGCTATTAAAGCTTTAAATTCATTTCCAATTTTTGTATTGAAACAGACTATGATTAAGTCATAATTTGAAATAAACAAGATGTAATATTCTCAATCAATTCAAATTGGATATTAACAATTGCTAACATTTTTTTCCAACATAACAAAGCTGTAAAATGTATCAAATGAGATAAAAATTACGTTACGAACTGAACGCGATAAAAACACCTACAATAATAAGCAATCTTTGAAACCAATCATATCATTTATGCACAACAAGACCATTTTACATAATGTCATTGCCTATTATCAATCTAACAACAATGTAAACCATTAGTCTTATTACTTCTTACATAGACAAATATACATGTATGTATTTATATGTAAACATAAGATGATGTACAAAGTACAAATCTAAAAACATTATCAGTTCTCTTAATTTTATGCCAATGTAATAAATACCATGACTTGAAAGAGTTTTGTAATGGAATTGAAATGACTTAAATCGGAGACAAATTACAATAGAAAAATTACAATTTTTTGCGACGATTGCCCTGAAGCCATGGCCATCAACTCTTCGTTTAGATCGTGGTAGGCAAGTTTTCAAGGTGACAATAAGCACCGATTCACTTGTTTCAATGGCAGACAAAGCTCCATTAAACCTATTATCCAACACTCTGGCAACCTCGATGGTGTTTCGTATAGAATTAGAAATCAGAATTGAATCCTCACAGTCATTTTCAATACTTGTAGAATCCTAAAGTATCAAAAATAGAGAAATTAATTATCATTGATTCAATAGTGTGCAGGTTTAATAAAATACATTTCAGACATGTTAATATATCATTAATTAATTGAAATGACAATTAGATTCGTACCTCGTACACATTGAGTGAAATGTTTGTGAAGATAAGTTTAACGTAAAACTGCGGCTCAAACGTTATGATCCACTTGCAATTATAACCACTTTCATATGTAAAGGGATATACTGGGCTTGTAATTATGCTTTCTTCATCGACCTCATAGATGTTTGCACTAGCTATGTCTCCTTGTTGAAAGTCATGCATTCGGGGTCCGGAAATAAACTGGTCTGGACAGAAATATGTATATGGTGTATAGAAAATGTATTATATTATAATAAACAATAAAATAGAGAGAAATATAGAATCCCTTAAAAACGCACAAAACGACAAATCTGAAAATGTTGCAGGCTCGGTTTGATTGAGCCTGTTCATGGAAGTAATGGAATGTGCAAGTTACAGTACACGCCCCCTAGCACCGGCCTAAGCAGTATTCAACATTTAACATGAACTGGTGAAATTTGGAATTTTGAAACATCCGCAGATGTGTTCATAAGACATGTAAATTCTAAATTTAAATATAGTGTAAACATAAAAACAGTTTTCTAGTATACGATGTTCATGACATGTCAAAAGACAAATGTTTCATATATTAAATAACTTATAATCGCTCTCTTCTAGGCGACTTCATGTATTTGAAAGATTTTATTTGGAATAAATCCGATTGCTTACACATTAAAGTAAAAACTATAGATAGATATATATTAAGCTAAAATTATTGAACTAAACGATATTCATTTCTCCTTAGAATTCATTTAGAAAATATTTATATACAAATTGGCTCTGACTTGGTTTTTTTTCCAGCTTACATGTAAATCAGTAAAATAAAAGATAGAAATTAATTATTTAACCTACAATTGTATTTGTAAAACTAGTATACCTTGATAACAGAGTTTTGTTGACCAGTACAAGGCATCAGTTTGTTGGTTGTGAATTTGATATTTCTCGTCTTTTGTTTGTCTGTAAAATGAGCAGTGGGTCGAGATCGGTGAAAATGACGCAGAGCTACAAAGCTTGGACTGCAAGCATAAAGTTGAACATTCTTCGAACGTTGATACGTTTTGCAACTCATGATATCTTGACGAGATAGGAATTCTTGATAAAGGAAACATCTCAACATCCTTTGTGCACTTTAATGAAGGGATTCCTGGATAAGAATCACAAAGAAAAAGTAACGAACGGTGCAATACATTGATACAACGTAGTTGCAATACTACGTTATAGACGTACGAACAACGTTATACTTCCTCTTATTGTACACAATTATCTCTTAACTGAATACAGTTACTTGCTTTATTGCATAAATTGAGATATGAATCCCATTGTAGCGTAATATTTACGATATATACAAATAAAAAAGCTCAGTACTATTCGGTCCCTAACTTTGTTGTGAAGTAATTGTAACCATCATGAGAGTTGATTATCGTGTTAATATTTTTTCCTTTAAGAAAGACTAAAACACACCTGATACTCTGCAACCATGTAGCTCAAACCGTAGACAATTGAGACCTTCAGTTATTGCTTTGATTATATGTAGTGTTACAAAACGTGCTTTGACAGGTTTCATGAACCAAAATGTTTGGGGTTCATCCAAAGGTCTGGTCATATCAAACTGGAAATCCTGCAAATAATTTTAACATTGGTGTTTTTTTTGTCGATAGTATATTGCAGTCGAGTACAATCATAAATTCATTCATACATTGACTTTCATCTGGTTGAATATTTTACTTTCGATTCTTGGGCGAGAATGACGACAATTGATATCAAACATTAAGTCTAATGGTCATTGTTCTGTCAACGCTGATGCAAAAATCATATTAGTATCCTAACACTTGCGGAGAAATTGGTAATTACTGGTTAGTTATCCAGGAGGAAATCTTGCTAGGTAGACTTACTGCTGAGATATGACAGTAATTCATTGAGTTCGATGTGAAAATCGGCTACTTTTTGAGGTTATGACTATTTCTTTTATCGTTATTAATAACATTATGAAATATACCACAAATGCTTATTATAAGAAATGATAATGTATGGGTTTTCGTCTTTGCAATTGTTGAATGTATCCTAACCTTTGCATAAAAGTTTACTGGATTATCCAAACATATTGATTTAAGAATATCGGCTTCCATTGATAAAAATATCATATAGTTAAAATGTTAAAAATATATTATTGCTTAAACAACATGTAAGAACTTTTTTTTTTTTGGGGGGGGGGGGAGGTGTTTTGTTTAAAAATTATTGACCGACCTGTTTGTATAGACGGAGATCCTTCTCAGTCTTTCCAAATGAAACATTTAGTACATCTACACCAAAATGCACAACAGTGTCCCAGATTACTTCATTCATAGTGGTAATAGTTTTTTGCCAATTCCACACACTGATACCTTCTACTTTAGTTTCAACAAGCAAATCAACCTAAAATACAAGATGACTGATAGAATATATATGTCTTAGATTTCTCATTTACAAGTTAACATGGCCTGACAAATCTGTGATCATTTACAAGGCGTCAGCAGTAATATTGTATTTCATCTTAAAATTACAAAAGGTTGAAGCAAATTTCGTCTTGCAAAATGGGCACATGTTCGTCAAAGGCGTCATGGTTAACCATAATATCAATATTGTAAATAGTAAAATATGATATAAAGTCTAATATGATACCTGGATGAAAGGATTGGCATCGTTTAAATCGGAACACCAACCATTATAGAAAGGTCGTGAATGTGAAGGTGGAAACATGCGCTGAAATGACGATGCAGATATTTGCATATCAAGAATTCCGCCATCAGTCATGCCAAGATCTATGTTACAAACACTACTATCATCTGAAATAAATAAATATTGAAGAATAGTTTGGAGAAAAATAAACATTGTACAATATACAAATTACTTGTTATTGTTATGATTTTATTTTATTGATTTATTTTCCATTAATTTAGGCAAAAATCACTTATCTCATAAGAACTATTTATGATAAAAATATTTATTCACTCTGTTGTGACTTAATGAAAATTTTTAAAATAATAGTTAGCTTTAGCTTTTAGTTTCACGGATATTTGTTTGATTTATGAAATATGTTAAACTTTCTTTCTGATTCATGCTACGGTCATGAAATTAGATTTCAGATAATGACCATATTTTTTTATTTCATGCAGAATAGATATAACACGAACAATGTCAAACGAAAGATAATATCAAATGCCCATATATCATGTATTTCTTTTAAGACATAATTATGTCAAGCCGTGGATGTATACCTGTAATTTCGCATGGCATTTGTTTTGAAAATTTAAAAGCCGATACTTGTTCACATATCATAGTTATCCCATTACGAATAATAAACCATATCTAAGATTTCAAGACTTTATGAAATCATAAGCATAAAGTCTTTTTCCATAAATGATAATGTCTTATACACATACTTATAAAGATAAAAAATTAAAAACATTTAAATACGAGAAAAGAAATATTATCAGCTAGTCTGTTTAGAAGAAAAAGTCAAACTGTAATGATCGCTGCAGCATCGTTGTCGGTGTCATCCTGCAAAAACTTTAATGTATGTCATTACTTGAAAAATTCTAAAGGTAACAATATAAACATTGGAATGATTGCTTATCATGACAAGAAGCAGTTGTAAAAGAAGGGACATAATTATGAAACATATATTTTTGGAGTTATGCCCATTTTTAATTTAAAATATTTGTAAAAAAGGAGAGTTAACAACGCATATGGTGCACTTGCATTTATAATATCACAGCCGTGAAATAAAGACAATCAGAATCTAATAATTAATGTTTGAAATAAGTGTTACATATATTTAAGATGATTTGCTTACTGTATATGAGCTTATCTGAAAAGACATCGATGCCTGTAGAAATATGAAGTATATGATCATCTGGATCATCCGCAGCAAGTGCGATATATCTTCCCGTCATTGATCTGAAAAATATTTACTTTACGCATATTAAATTGCCTATAAATGCAAATATGCACACAAAATAGAAAAAAATAAAACGAATGCAAATGGGTTGGACAACAAGTTCTAACAACATTACACTAAGCCTTTCCCAGGAATATATGACATAAAATGAAATCCTAACAAATACACTATTTTAAAAGAAATTAAAAAGGCAAGGTCAACTTTCGACAAAAATAAAATATATAATAAATATTCTTACAATTCTACGAACAAAATAATTTATCATTTCGTTAACTAACTGATCAAATGATAAATAGCGGAACAAAAAATTAAGCAAAGAAAACCGCACAATATGTAGCAAAGACACATAATTTACATGATAACGTAGCTGTTCAATAGGATGTCCATGTTCACATGCACAACCATGCGTGCTTTATTATTCAATCAACATTTCTTTCCGAACTTACCTAACGAGCAGTAACTGTAAAGTGCTTGTGTCAGTTTTGTAATATGGGAAAAAAATACATTTGAGTGCACATGAGTGAAGAAAACACCACTTGTCGTTACTTATAAAGCATGTTGGTATCGCGTCTGATAAACTGAAGTACGATGCCGCTGTAATTTAATAAATTATATAAATAAAATAACATTTCGAATAATCGTAAGTATGACAATGACTCAAAAACATTTAATAAACATTTAGTCGTCTACTTTGGAAAGAAGCTCTTGTTTTATCATAAAAAACAATTAATACATTACAAATATAACGTAAAATAACTGAAAAAAACAAGCAAATAAAAACCTTTTCATATTTATTATCTATTTGATATGTACATAAAATGCAAAAAAACACAACAAAATAACTTACTTTTCTTGGCCGTTTATAGGTATACAGACTGAATATAAACTTTCAAAACATTTTGACTGAGTTACTCACCATCGGAAAATTTGATCCAAACTGCAGTTATTGATAGGGATCTTCCCAAGTCAAACAACTTCCACGGCAAACTTGAGGTTTGAACCTGTGATTCTATTGCCTTCAAGAGACCTTCAATTATATAATTCTTTTCAAAATTAAACATTTAACACATTACACTGTTGCGTGTTTTCCAGAGAAAAGAAGCATTGATATGATTATTATAAATACTGTAATATCTTATATCAAAACATATACTTTTCTATTATGTGTCCCATACCTGATTAAGTAAAGAACTGCGATATTTGTCTAAAGTCATCGACTGTTGTTAGCATGTATATTATTCCTTTTGATGACTAAGTACTAATTAATGTGTTCATACATGACAGTAACAGAAACAATTAGTTTGTGTCTGAAATATATGTTTTCATTACTCTCTAAGGATTACTCTGTTAGGATATTTTATAGCTTTAACCTTTCAAAGCTATTTTCACACTTTAGTGATAAATTTTCTCTCTCAACAAAACAAATTATGTCCAGGTTGATTTCTTTATATAATTTAAAATTTAAAAATATAATTTTATATTATCATTGCATATCATATATTAATGTATTGGAGCTTTTTAAACAAAATATGTTATTGAAATAATGCCTCACTCCAGTTATTTGTATTCGACTGCTGACCAATAGTTTTATTTCCTTCCAACAAATTTGTATTTAATACAAGGTTTCCTGAAGTATACAAATCATACAAATCATCAAACAATTTCAAGGGAATTACAGGATAATTTCATTTAAAGTGTGTACATCTGCATTTATAAGTTTTAAATTGATAATCACATAACAAACATTTTTTATTGTTAAATTTCACATGAAATGTTAATGTCTCATTGAAAAGCAAGATTCTTAAAACAGTCACTACAGAAGTGACCATAAGTCACCAAAATTGCAATTGGAAAAAAACTTCAAAAAACATAAGGTTGCGTCCAGTCTAATTCTTTGTATTGATTGTAAATGTCATGTAAAAGTTGGTATTGTATATGACGAATAAAATATGTTTCAATAAAAATGTTAATATGTGCCCACCATAACTCTCAAAACGGTCTGACAGTTGTTCTTTATAAGTTCCTGAAAGAGAACATAAATGACACATAAAAGGTTGGTAATTCACTTACTACTATGAACTTATAGAATAAAAAGAAATTGACAGTGATTTTAAATCTTAAGGAGAGTTTCAAATAACAAAAATGATAATACACGAAATTCTTGTCTTCAAATATGATTATTCAAATTAGAAAAACATACAAGCAGTATTAGTAATATGTTATCATCTGCCAGTGTGTATGAACAGAAATTCCGTTATTTGTAATTCAACAATGAGTAATGAACAATTGGAAAATATAAACCTGTACTCCATATCTTTGGCATGTAGAAGCAATGTGATTGGACAAGTGTAAAGTCTGTATGATTGTCAGGAAAGCCATCTAGGTACACGCTCTCCTCGGTCAAGGTAAAACTACTAAATCTCGGACATGACGAATAACTCTCCTACCAATCATAAAAGTTGTTGATAAATTACTTTCAGGACTTTATGTCATGACAATTGCTTGTTTTGTGCTGTATTTGATATACAAATGTACATGTTTTCTCTATAATTATATTTGTGTCATACATGAGACAAACTCTATCCAAGAAAAAGATATGTTTGAAACATAATTGTATGATATATGTGGTTTAGTGTAGATTCACTTTTCATGATATTAGTGCAGATAAATAAACATGACAAACATAAACATATTACTTTATCCTTAAATATATATAAGTAAACATTTGGTGAGGAAAGTTTAGTTTAAAACATTATCTAACAAGAATTTTTTTTGGGTCTGCAATTTTCAAGTAAATTTGTTGTGATTAATGCTTCCGAGGGATCACTTTCTTTCCAGATTTTTTTTACCTCATTTCAATGCTTTTCTCTGTCATAACATTTATTCCCATAATATGTGATATTATCATTATCAAATACATACATATGTACTCATCTTTACCTTTATAAGCAAGAAAGCATTATTTGCCATGGTAACAGTTTCTGCAGAATCTGTTGTATCAGTTGATAAGCTATCTCGAGAGCACAGTGTTAAGCGTAGCGTAACTAAAGGAGAAAAGAAAATTAAATTGCCTCAAACTATGTAAACAATTACTGTAACTCACTTTTTATAGAGATTCAGATTTTATATTTACAATATACCGGAATACAGTAATATAGTAAAAGATGGTTATGTAAAACTAACACAACGTTGTCGTCATGAGGGTTTTATAACGCACTTATTATATATATATTATTAAGGCTATAAATGATATTGCTTTAAAACATGAACCAACGAAGTTGCATATTATATCAACGTCACACCATTGTTTAATGTATCTTAATGTTAACTTAAGGTTTCCTATGACTTCAAATGATCAAACATTAGTACCATTTACGTAATATTCTATAGATATATTTACCCGAATCAAGAAATGTTTCCACTGTAAACTCCGGAATATAGCCACCACTTGTCCAATATTCAATATTGCCTAAATGTAATGTCATCGTCTTGTTTGTAAATCCTTGAAAAAAATGAAAATGATTTCTAACCATATTTTTTGCTAATATATTCGTGTACATGTAAATATAAAGAGAGAGAAAAAAGATTTCGAAATAACAAAAGGGTTGAGCCCAAGTTCTTACAACAATAGCGATCGGCCATCGTCTGGAAATGATTGATACACATTTTTTAAATATCTAAGACCAACTCCATTTTTCGCCAATCAAATCGAAAAGATTCAACATTTATTTTGCTGTTGCTGTTGTTGTTGTTTTTCAACTGACCTAAATTTGTTAAATGTGTTGTTTAAAACATTTCATAAACGCAAACATTTGTTAATGTATTAAGTTGGACACGTTTGCATATAGAAAACAAAATAATAATTTCAATGGTGTGATGGAAATTAGGTTTAGCAATACATGCACTTATCATAATCTTTCATGATTCATTCAATTTATGTCAAATAGGACTTTTGTATAATTTGTGCGGTTGGAAGACACTAATAAATAAATCATAACAGTGTTTACCTGCAGGACAACCTGCGATATCCCCATAAATACTGTAATTCCCATCAGGCCATTTGCCGATATCGATAGAATCGGACTTTCTTTGTTTCGTACAGAAATTCAATCTGAAATTGTAGTCCCTGAACGGTCCAAATAAATAGGTTTCCAATTTAGGCCATTCTTCGTCGGTTATTCGCTTTGAGTCTGTTACGTTGTCACTTTGATCTAAATCAGAGACATTGAATGTCACCGAATAAGGTGTACGGAGAGACTTCCATTTCACAGAAATAAAGCCAACATCCCAGCCTTTATTGTCTGATTCAGGGCATCCGGTAATTGGCATTGGTATTGAGTACACACCTGGTGGCCAATCACTTGTCTCAGGCACTGAAACAATAACTTTATTCAAAAACATGTTTATTTTACAAGGCAAGGCGCATTTACAAAATTTAATTTTTTCATGAGAAAAGAAAACAATTTTAATATAAAAGAACTGAAAATGATGAAATGTATCAATGACAAAATACTGAATGACATAGCATTGATAAAGACAATTGCCTATATCTTATTATTAAAGATTGAATACGAAAACAATGAAGTAAATTTATATACATTATAATTATATGTATGTATGGTACATGTCATTATGCATGGAAGGACCTTTGAGAAGTTCTTGTTACGGAAAATTGTAAATACATTAAGCAAATAAACAATTAATGTCTATTTTATAACAAGTTATGCCGGTTTCTGTAATGGAGGAACAAACCGTTATTTTGAGTAATGTCATCGCATTGCACTCCCTCTTTTGTCTGTTTACATGTTGCTTGTCTGAACGTTTTAGTACTTTCCCCGCTTGCTATATCTATAATATAAACAATTAATCTAATTGAGTATCTGCAATCATACAGAACAATTGACAACGTGCAAGAATAATAATATCTGTTATATGTTGCGGTTCGGATAAAAATATCCGTCCCGAAGGGACCTGTTCATTGGGCGGTAACGAGGCATATCGAGTTGCCGCCAATGTGTGGGTTCCCGAGGGACGGATATTCCGATCCGAAAAGCAAACATGTATCAGATTTGCTTTTTTTTGCATATTCTACCATATTTCATAATATTTTGACTTTTTACTTTATTATCGCATGGTTTGAAACATTTTCTTTGTTCTTACTAACCCATTATACTCAGTACACTTTCACTGAACATTTGAAAACTGTATTGATATATAGCAGTACAGCTTTTCCATTGATTCATATAGGGAAAAAACTCGACTACTATATCGCAATTGTGTTTCTTTGCACCTGCTATATATGGTTTGATTTTTTTTACAAAGGCTCCAATGGTTACGAACATTACGAAAAATACCAACAAAGATAATCAATTAAATACAATTTATTCGCTAAAATCAAAAGGTACATCTACTGAATGAATTACTTTCTCTTGAAAAGTCCTTAAATCTTTTTTTTCTGTTTTTTCCCCCTGTTTTCTTTTATTAGCGGCTGCGAAAACACCTTAAAATAAAAAAAGCTGTGAAAAAGCTTACGACATCATTACATGGTATTGGTTCATTTTATCTGGGGTTTCGTTTTTTTGTTGCTGATTTCTATTACAAAACAATTTTTTGAAATTGCAATAAAACAGTTATAGTATATAAAACCCGTTAGTAACGGGGTATAACACAGGCTGGGCGACATCTCGGGATGTTTCTGCAAAAAATCGTCTCGGCCTCGCTATAAACAATTATTGGCCGAATCTGCTAATAAGTGAGAAGTACAAATATATTTCTGTGCACAAGTATTTGACTAAAAAGTAATCTTCACGAACTGTAAATATGTAATAGTAAAAAAGAGTAGTCAATTACAATTCTTAAACAACATCCCTTTCAAGTAACAACGTTTCAGCTAAACAACCTTTTTCAGAGTACGTAAACAAATTATAAACAATAAACAGGAACATTATGTCAACGTCAGATGACGTAAATAGCAAAGACGTCAAAACATAAACAGGCTTTTTTTGTAATAGTCATTGACAACATTGAGTTGATGCAATATATTTTTTAAAAGAGCAGTTAAATAACAAAAATAAAGTAAAAACACCTGTAAAACTGATTAAGATTGTACAAAAACCCAATAGAAAATGAATATAAACAGATCCTGTATAATGCGTAATTTTGTTATAGAATCAATTGTTGTATGCTGCAAAGTATTTTAAATTAATAGTACCTTGACCAAAGAGTGTTGATAAGAATCATTAAAGACATTTCAAACTGAACAATCTCATACGCGGCAATGAGACTGACATAAATATGTTGCCATTGTTGGCAAATACTACTGAGAGGATATTATTTCGTGTGAGTGAAATATGGAATATATTTTGACGAAATATGCGCTAAAATTCGATAAATTTTCACGAGCCGGAACCAATGAGTAAAAACAGGAAAAGTTGTTCACAAAGATCTTAATAATATAAAATAATATTTTAATTATTTATCAGCGAGATTTAATTTAATGTCGTCATCTTACACTGTGTTGAGAAAACATATAACACAATTGTCATTTTAATTTCTTATAATGAAATAAATTAACTGAAGCTATTGACATTATTTATTGAATATCTTTAACATACCGTAGGTGCAGGTGTATGATTGAAACACTATTTCAAATTGTAATGAAAGAAAAAAAACAGGAGTAAAAATAAACAGGTTTTTGCATCAAAGACATTTTAAAGATTGTAATTCGTAAGTTGATAGTGACAATATCATAAAACCTTTCAAGGTGAAGATTTAGGGAAAATGCTGACATAATATAAAATCTCTATCTAATCTTTCTAGAATTTGCTTTCTAGTCTTTTAGATCTATCTATAGGTTATATCGTAGCTCAAAACCTTGGCACATAGATGAACACACGTATGTGTGCAAAAGATAAAGTGGCATGAATGATAGTTATAGATTTTAAAATCAAATAAGAAAACTCTTATTTCAACCAATCATTTTAGAATACCCCTCAAAGCCTTTTCTAGAAGATAGTTGGGAATCCCCCCCCCCCACTTTTGAATATGAACTCATTCATTTTTGCTTTACTAATGATAAGTAACAGATAACTATAACATACGGACAAATCTAATGCAATATCATTAGCTATTAGTTTATTATATATAACATGAATTTACATCTTGCGATATTTAACGGTAGGGTTGTGACATTTAACGGAAAGTGAAACTCGCGCGACATTTAAAGTTACCATTGCGACATTTAAGGGCAGACAATTTTGAGACATATTGTGGCGGTTGCGACATTTAGCGGCAATGGTGCGACATTTAACGGCAGGTGCGACATTTCGCGGCGTTGCGACTTATAAGGTCTCACCCGGTACGGAATAAGACCCAGCCCGTTGTAGGCTAGATAATAGTTCTTTGACATTTTGAAGTGCCCTATTTCAAGTCTTTTTTTATGTGACTGGTTACATTTTAAGTGTATTTATTGTAACAGTGTACATTAAGTGTAATTTCTGATGACTTAAAAAGTTGTTTTTTTTTGTATACTTTTTGTATATGCAGGATCTTATTTCTTGTTGGAAGGATTCGAGTACTACACGCCAGCATACATGACATTTGAAACTTTGATAATTTGACAGTGACATAACAAATTAAGAAATATTGTGAAATCTAGATGGCTAACATAGGACAACTCGGGCTTCGACTAACTTGTCTAGTGTTGATGTTTAAAGCTATGAAATACAGAATTCTGCTGAGTTTAATAGAAGTCCAGAATGAAGCTTTAAATGACACAGATTTACTATAGAATACAGAAGGACGAGAATTGACTGGGCCGTGTCCATAACGGCGCCACAAAGTCTTTACATGGCTTTACATAAATATCTATCACCTTCAGTTCGTCATGGTGAACCTTTTTCCTGTGGGACACTTAGCAACATCATAATGCAATACATTTGGAAATGTTATTTTCAGCCCTAATCATTCAATGCTACAAAGTTAATCGATTCTGTATAAAACAACCGATTATCATGCAAGTAGTCATGTTATAAACTATCCATTGATGGGTAAAACTTGTTTCATTTACTTGTAGTTGATTAAAGTAAAATAAAGCTGTATATTGAATTTGATTTAATTTCACAGAAATGCTTTCAACAGAAAGAAATTATTCATCTGAAAAAAATAAAATTGATTTTTATGTTCGTCATTGATTAAACAAATTGAACTTTTCATTAAAGTTATTGATAAAAGTTCAAAGCAAAGGCAATCATTCCTTCTGTAACTGATTGTTTTAATAACCATAAAAGTGTTCTTCGTGGAGCTATTACGATTGACATTAACATATGAAATGCCAATCACTGTAGAATAGGAAGAAATGGACACAATACAAGCAATATCTACATGCATCTCTTATAGCTCTATAAATGATAATACAAAGCATCCTTTTTGTTTCAAAACCCTTTCCATTTAGAAAAAAAATCACATTCAGAAATGCGTGATCACATATATCACAAATAATTCCCTCGGAGAGAGTTAATGATGTCCAATTAAATGTATGTATCATTACACTGATAAACAATTCATTTGTTTCATTAGTTACCTTGATACCTGGCATGGTATTTATCAGACTGTAAAATCAAATTCCTTAATTGTACACGAATTGTAAGTCATGGCAATAATTATCAACTTTTAAGGAAGTTTAGTCTGAGTTAAATAGTTATTACTATTAAACATATCAGCTTTGGTCATTATTATTGCCATGTTAGTTATATATGTAAATATTTGTCATGAAGCAATATGTTCCATCTACGTTAAAGCTATTCAAATTATTCTAAACATTAAGTTTCCTTAAAAGATACCAATACTAGCTTGTTCTAGGGACTGGATTGTAGCATGATAGAAATAAACTTCGTTACATCATACCGAAACGACTTAAACTAAATATATTCAAAGAAGCTCAGCTTGGCATAAGGATCTTATAAATATTGCAATAAAACTTTGTAAAATGTACTAGTACATCTGATGTAAAGAATTTAAATGAAGCAAAACGTTCATAATATTGTGGTATTATCGATTTAAATGAAAACAACAACATGTATGTGGCTTTCATTTAAAATCATTCCTTCTAACCCTTTATCTTTATCACGCAAACGTTTATGTTTGCATCAAACTAATGCGTCATTCAGCAATAATCACATAATTAATTAAATTGTGACGACATCAGTTCATTTCTAAGACTATCAACAAATTTGTTATCTGTATGATATTCAAATCACCTAAATGAAACTACGATTAGAGTATGACGTAAATTTTATGCAACTGAAAAAAAAACGTTTATTTCCCCAATTACATTGATATGCTCACAAAAGTGTTCAGTATTTGAAAATAATTGTGCTAAATAGGTGATAATAACGCAAACACCACAAACCGTATTTGCAACATATACAAATTTATGCTTGATCAATGAAGACAAAGAATTTAGATCTGCAGTGAATAACTTTTGCCTCTTTTAGTATTTTACCTCAAGAAGTTACAACAGGTTTTCTTTCCTAACACTTCTTATCTTTTTTTCTTTTTTTTTTATAATATTGATAAATGTTTGTTATGTAAATGTTCTTAAATAAATGCGACAAATAAATAGTTACTTACTAGGATTAAAGCCTAAATGCGTTCACATTGATGTTTGAACATACGTAAGTTCAGTACTGTTGTCAGTATTAGGTATCACAATTGGTTAGTTATTTGGAGTTTCGTGATCAATGATCGATTCTAAACTATTTGTCTCTGTTTTACTTTCTCTCAAAGGATTTCCCCATTCCAGAACACTTTTTCAACAGCATATATTGTTGAAAAATAGTATGATATCAAATCAGATAATTAACTTGCAATTGAGTTTGAATTGTTCATAACAATACAACAATTAGATTCGAGTCTCTCATCTATAGATAAAGTGCCAGCTATTACAGTGAATATAGTATTTTATACTAATTGACGTATTATCAAGAATCGTCAATTTATACAGATATTTATTGAACAAAGCAATTGTTTGATCAATATGTAGTTACATGTGTATAAATTCTACATGTATAGGTATGTGACTTTACATGAAAGTAATATGTATGTTAAGTATGAAACTGAATAAAATAGATATGGATGATATAAACGAAACCGTAGTCACAAGATGTTTATTACTGTGTTACTAATTAATGAAAAGGACGAGCTCAAAGAAACGTTGCCGTTGAAATTGATAGATAAGTAAGTTTAGTGTTTGGTAAAGAAACCACATCTTTATGAAGATGAAGTATCCCTGTCGACCTTTTGATAAACAAACTCAATATTGATTATCGTGATCAAATATATCATTTTCGTCCTTTGATTTTGAAATTACTCTGGTAAAATGTTTCAAACTTTAGCAGTTATTGTAATATTAGTTAACGTTCTAAATGTATTTGTATTGACGTATAACAAGACAAAATATTTTTGACGAGTGGAAACAAAAGGCAAACGAGAACCTTACTTTTCTTGAGTAAAGAGAGCTTCAGAAAATTTGTTTGAT